TTGTCTGAGACAATCACAGAAGGGATGATGATACATTGGTTTCTGAGCCAACTAATCATAAGCCTGAAAGGCCAGTAAATTACTATTTTCTTCAAAATACAAGAACTTCATGTGAAAGTATTTCCTTGGATCACACACATATTTGTTTCTAAAATTTGGGTACTTCAAAAGGGCATACCAACATGTCAATAAATATGCAGTCTCCTTTAGCAAAATGTCTAATGTTGTTGCCAGATTAGAAATGTCTAAATGCAAATGACTCATGGGATATGCGTGCCTTCCAGAGTGACTGCCCATGGAGTTTTAATGAGTTTACTCTTTAGAAATATTAAACAAGAGACAGAGAAATAAATGACAATTTAACAATCAGTACAGTCACTGGCAGATGTTTCTGAGAAAGTTTTATTTATCTTCTACTCTGAAAAATAACTGAACAAACTCTCCAAATCAGCATTTCAATGTAAATTGCTATGCTGAGCCAGAACGAAACAAGTCAAAGGTCATACTTGAAAATTCAGTCTCTGAATAAAGACGCTTAGCAATGTTGATGGTGCATATTCTAATGTATATTTTTCTGCTAAATAGTTCAGTGCTGTGTGGTAGGAATGGATGGCATTCTTTGGACTATTTCAGAATATTTCCATTGCCTTGAGAATCAGCAAAGACGGCCTCAATGAATCAGCAAAAAAGACATGTTTAACATTTGTAGAAGAGGTGTCTCTTCATAAACAATTTTTCCATGGAGTCCCTGCTAATTGATTATTTAGCCAAAAACTGTCCTTGGCATGTCTTATCTATAGGGATCTTCAGAAAAATGTAGCCTGAACTACTCTGTATGTCAGAACAATTTTCATAGCTGGTTCATGAGTGTTCAGGGTATTTCACGTGTGTTGCAGTACTAGGTTTGTGTGATTTTTTTCCAGGAACAATACTATCCATTTTGTTTCATTAATCATCAACAGTGTTGAAATGTTGCTAAAATCAAGGTGGATGACATCCACTACTTTCTGCTCATTATATCACATAAGGCAATCAGATTTGTCAGGCATGATTTACCCTGGGTAAATACATGCTGATGGTTCCTAGTTGCCTTCTTCTCTTTCATGTGCCTAGAAACATGTTCCAAGAGGATTTGCCTCTTGATTTTCCCAGAGATCAAAGTGAGGGTGACCAGTGATATAGTGAAGTGGATTGTTCTTTTGGCTTTACAGTAAATGTAATAATCTGAGAGTAAATGTTCCAAATGAGTTTTGCCATTTTAAAACTAATTTTTTATTATCCACATACTGATCACAAGAAATGTAAGAAGTTCTGAATTCTTTTTATGAGGATTCTAAAGTATGATCTGGATTGCATATTAGTATTTGGTATTCTGTATTTGTTCTTGTTTCTTCATTCAGAGCTAAATATAAAATCCACTAACAGATTTTACCTTTCAGTAAACTATTCCCTTATTGTTTATTCTGCAGTCTTTACAGAAGTGACACACACACTTTTATACATATTGACACAAACAAGTATGGAACCAGACTCGTCTCAGTAGTGACAGACAACAAAAGTTGCAAGTTGGAGCTGGGGAGGTTCAAGCTAGATTTCAGGAAAGCTCTTCTCAATAGGATATTAGTGCAACATGGGAACAGGTCACCCAAAGAGGATATCCAATCTCTGTCCTTAAAAGTTTCAAGATTTGGTTAGACAAAGTCATGGCTGAGCTGATCTGCTTACATGAGTCATCTACTTACATGACCTCAAGAGGTTCCTCCCAACTAAAATTTCTTCCATGTGCGTATGCATCCTGTGTGAATCTTGACTCAGTGACATGGCTTGGGGGCCATTTTTTCTCTTATGTCTTTTCAAGTCCCTGTGGCTGGACATAAAGTGGACAGACTGAATACCAAAGAAAATGTATCATAGTGCAAGAGAATGAAGTCCATCATGGAAACAGTTATGAAGTTGCTCTTTCCCAAGGGAGTGATTCCTAAGTCACATTAACACAAGCTTTATCTTGCCGTTGTTCCTGTGGTGGCAGAGGTTACATTAAAGAAATTTCGTTCTTACATTTTGAACATCATCCTGAACTCAAAAGGCAGAGATCAGAGACCAGAGAGCCCGGGAAGACCTGCAGAGCTCTTGCAGAGGCCCAGTGAAGGCTCGTCCTCAACAGTGGATAATTCAGTGACACTCCTTCTATTTCCTAACAGACCAGGCAATGTGATGCCTACTGAGGTCCTTGAAAATCATGTGCACAGCCTAAGTCCTTAGTTCTTAGGCCAAAAAGTTGTCTCCCAGAAAATGTGGAAGCCACTGTACTCTCTGTTAGGGAATGCTAAAACAAGTGTTGATAGAAGGCTTACATAAAAAAAAAAAAAAAAAAAAAATCATGTAATGAAGAAACAGTGGATGTAGATTGGACTGTGGAATATTTATTTCTACTATCACCTCAAAGGAAATGATTAAAATTCCAGTGCTTCCTGCACCTACATCAGACCTCCCTTCTGTTACTGAGGGCTTTCTGTAGTTTCTGGACCTTTCCTGAAGGAGGAAAATCCTCAGTGTCTGAATTGGAGTGCACATATGGGTGCTAAGAACTGTCAAAGAAGCGTAAACTACAAGGAGGTGGTCTAGGTGACACATTCAGTCTTTTCCTTATCACCAGAGGACAGAAAATCTGGAGAAAACAGTAGCTGTGAGTTTCCCAGGAAGCATTGTCTTCTGGGGGAAAGTTTTTAGATGGGCAGGACAGTAGGAGAATATGCTGAATCTGCTTTTATGCACAGAGGCAGGAATAACCTTTTATAACTCTGGTTTTAGGTACCTTCTGAGTTCACTCCTGTGCAGGAGCAAGTCTGTAACCGTCTGCCCTCTCTGTAGTGTCGTCCTATTCATTAGGAGCTGAAGATGGGACTTAGTGCTTCTCTGAGCTTCACTGACTTCTGAGCAGCTGTACCTATGCAAATACAGCTCTGTATATATATACAAATATACTAATATAGTTCTGTAAGAAATATTACTGTGGGCAGTCCACATGTGGTGGCATGCTGCTTTATTCTCTACAGAGCAGGAGAAGATGCCCACCTGTAACCTCCTAATCCCCTTCCCCATTGCCTTTGTGCACAGAGAGTGCGTGTGAACGAGCAGAGGAGAGCCACCCTTCTTTTACTAGACACATCCTTTCAACTCCATCGACTGAGGTTGATCACTAGCCTTTGTGCGTGGTTATTAGATGCTATTTCTTTATTCCACAGATATGTCTTCATGTCTAAACTGACTGGGATTATTTCAAGAGACTTTGTTGTTTTTTTTTTTCCCAATCACTTCACTAAATTAAAAAATGTATTTTTTTCATTATCCGAATTCTTATCATTCTATCAGGCAGGTAATCAATATTATCTATTAATATTATATTCTCATGAGTGTAGTGTGAGGTTTGGGTTGTTTTCTACTATCTTCAAGTAAATATCTCTATTTTTCCCATTGTTTTTTAGTGTAGAGAGTTAGATTTGGGATATTTACTAGTACGAGGTGGGGGGCAGTGGTCCATTTTATATATTTTTTTCATTATTTCTCAAAATGAAGCATTTAAATCTTTGACCTACTCTTGTTTTATTAATCTTCCCAGTGAGAAATAAACATCAGAAATGCTTTATAGACTGTGTGAATTACTTTCTACTGTTCATCTGAAGTACTGGTTATTCTGCATCAGAAGAGGAAAGTTATTGGACATTTCATTTAAAGGGCAAAGTTGGTCTTCCTTTCTCGAAGTAGCCAAGACCCACTCTTATTAATTTTAAAACACAAAATCCTGTAATACTTGACTAGCTTAACAGTACAAGTTTATTATGTTTCAGATATACAGGCTCCATAAAAGGTTTATTTTTCTCTGAAGTTTAATTTAAATATTCCTATACAGAGCATCAAGAACAAGGTATATAATTCTAAGTGAAGTAAGAGCAGAGGAAACGTGCATTTGTTTCGTTTCTGAGTGGAGTAAACAAAACTGAAATCAAATGAAAGTACTTTTGTCAGATATAGTGGGGATCAGATCTGGCCCACTGTGCAGAAGATTTCCTCTCCTCTTCAAGTGGAGCCCTACAACCTATTTTCAATATGCTCCTTAATAACAAGAAGTATCATGAAGCTTTTCCTCAATTATAAGGATACAAAACCAATGGGATAAAAATCATGCCAATTAAGTTACCTCTCTTTCTTTTGTTGACAACTCAGTAACTATTTCAGCAAGCCCTATTATGAGATTTTGCACATCTTAACCTGGTTCAAGACAGGGATGCTTGGCCCATTAAATCTGGTCCAGGTTACCATGGCAATATAATCACTATTCAATTTTCTTTAAATTGCAAATGCGGGTTTGCATGAAGCAATCTCCTCACTGCACTGAGACAGCATTTCTCCAGGTCTCTAATTCCAGCGGGGAGTAGGCTCCTTACATGGCTGCATGCAGCTGACACCAGGTTATTGAAATGGCCACCTCTTGCCCACCCACAACCAGTATGGGGAAGGGTGGGAACCAGCCAGCACTAGGCTCTTCGACCTGCAGTGAAAACTTTACATTCCTTGTGCTTTTCTCTCTCCCTCTGGGTTTGTCAAGTCATCACTTGGTTTGGAGGAAGAGAGTTAAAAGTGTTGTGCTAGTTTTTCTCAAGAGTTTGACCAAATTAGTGTGACATCTGATGATAAGAGAAACAATGTAAGAGCAAAAGTGAAATATGAGGTGAAATAAATTAAAAACTTGTACATGAAAGAGGGTAGATATATAATCTCAGTTTTTATCATAGCAATGACAGTAAATGTTTCTAAGGGTGGCATAAGAGTAAGATACTGGGAAGATATTAAGTGGGAAAGATCTGGATTTCTGTTTTGTTTCATAAATGTGGTAGTTCTGATTACTATACTTTGAGGAAGGTAATCTACTGATTCATGCTTTAAAATGTGTGATAAGCCTTTTCTCTAAACAATTCTTTGGGTTTTTATATTTTTTTTAGCCTGAAGATACATTGGCTGAGCCAGTGGAAGCACCCCCAACTATAGTGTCTTATTTGGAAGAAAACGACTTCTCTGGAAATCACAGACCAGAAGAAACCTCTGAAGCAGATAAGCTTAGAGAACGAGGCACTGCCTTTTTTTTTTTCTTGTCCCCTCTTTTTTTGGGGGGTGGTGGGGTCATTTATATTTTCTAGGCCTGAGTCTGTCATTTCCCTTTATATGAAAAGCCACTGTAATATTTTGAGTGCTGCCAGGAATGCAAAATCCTATGGTTTTGGACATCCTGTGTTTAGAAAAGAATTGGCACATCAGACATTAGGTATTTGAAACTGCAGTCTGTTAGACAGCAATTTGTTAATAGCAGCAAAGGTTGTGGTAGTAACTACAGCCACCGTTCAACCCACCTCTCACTTTTCACTCCATATAGGTGATTATCTCAGTCGTTGTTAATCATGCAGAGAATAGATTTGCACATCTACAGTGTGAAAGTTTCAGTCTACAATTTATATTTTAAAATGAAAAAAAAATATAAAATAAAAGGATAAAACTAAGAAGCTGACCTGAGGAGCTGCTGCTATGATGCTCTACAACACTCCAGTAAAGTGCAAGTGTTAGGCAAAGGGAATGAAAGGAGAAAAATCCTCTTCATTCTGCTCAGGTCAGTGAGAAGCACGGCACTTCTTGAGACATGCCTCTGCAAACAGTGTTACTGGCTCTAAAGTCATGTGGTATCTTTAAAAGGAAATTAAGATAAGTATTTAATTTGATGACCTTCTGTTATGGTGAAGCACAGCCTTTCATGTAAAACTGAATAGCACCACTGAATAATCAACTATATCCTGCTTATATTCCCTGCAAAGTATGTGAATCTGCCTAGTGCACCGATGGGGTGTTTTGGATGTGTGTGTAGGCAGTGAAGTTATAAGAGTAGGGCATGATTCACTGAGGAATCCAGTCCTACACTAGTAAGATAATTTCGGTGCACTCCTAGAAAACAGAAAGTAAAGCTAGTTATCTTAATAAAGCCAAAGACAGTGTTCCTATTTAAATTTCATACATACTTCAGATAGTACCTGTTGTACATACCTCTTATTTTTTATTTTATATAGATGAAAAATGGGCAACCATTAGACTAGAGCTTGAGGCAAAGAAGATGATGTAATACAGTCTTTGTCCTTAAAATAAACTTTTGTTTTATAATCTTATTCTCACTTTTATCTTTTTTTTCATTCCTTTTAAAATTTTCAGAGGAATAAAATGACTAATATTAATCTTTGGAATGTGTTTCGGTCATAATCTAAATCATTTATTTTTTCATAAAACTTGCAGAATCTGCTCTGATAAATACCTCTGGGTGGGTTTTATTTTTTTCTGTCTCTCATTAATAAGTGATTATTTTATTTAGATTCAGGTGTCATGGAAACTGGACAAGGGAACAGTTCATCTACCACTGTCACACAGAAAATCTTAAGAGAAGATGGTGGCTCTGGTGCTAGTTTTTTGCCAGGAGAAAGCAGAGAGGAGGTCTGTACAATAGGTTTATCATATATCTGGTCTTTTTGTGGAAAGAGCAGGAAAACTTATGAATTTTAGGTGCTTTTCTGAGCTGGTAACTTCATCTATTCTATCTTAGAAGCATGCCAAAACCAAAGTTGCTTTTTACATTCTTGAATGTCTTCTCATTACATCAAGCTGAAAAGCACAGACACCATGCAAAAGTCTGGATCTATAACCATTGAGATGGGCTTGAGATTTTGTACTAACAAAACAAATTTGTTCTTTCAGGTTTGCATTTTTTCATTTTGCATTTAAGAAAGTGAGAAACAAAGGAAAGAAGCCACGTAAATCCTCACCATAAAAGCTCACGATTGTTATTGCCTAAAAGCAGCCATCTTGGTCTTACTCAGAGTAACTGCTTTGCAGGTGAAAGTCCTGCTCTGTTCTCAGAAGTGTATCATATAAATGGGTTTAAAATTACACTCTCTGAGTGCTCACCAAGTGTTTCTGTGTGAAGTATCAAGTGCGAAGAAGCACTTAATTATCACAGTGCTTCATTACCATGTGATTCAAAGAGACTAAAATTAAACCACCCTAAACTCCGAAGGAATCCACCCCTAAATTGTATATTGCTGGCTTTCCTTAGGTGCCCATGGACTGATCTGAAAAGTTATAGCTTATGAAAATTATTCCTTTATAAACCCAGTCTTACTTGGATTACCATCCAAGAGATTGATCCTATATTCCATGTTTTGACAAGGGAATGACACCGTGGATTGCACTGGAAAGGTGTCTGCAACTCCTACTTATTTCTTTAAGAAAGCAGTGTATGCTGCCTCGTGACAGCTGCATGCGTTAACACCCCGAGGTGAATAATCAATTAAAAAAAAAAAAAATCAGTGTTCCCGGCATTCACTATAAAAAGGTGCTTTGACTAATGAAATATTAAGACTGAACAACCTTTCCACCCCTAGATGGCCTTATAAAGGATCAAAGGTGAGGCAAGCCAGTAAAGTTGTTTGGGGTCCTTGTATTATTCATGTTCATGTCAGAGCAGTTACATGAATAAATGCTGTTTACAGCCATGTCTAGCTTCTCTCTTGGCTGACAGCACATTTTTTAAAAAGTATTCTACAAGAGGCAATATCTGGATATCTTTCACCTGTCAGAGATGCCTTCCAAAAATCCTGGTCAGTCTGTCTTCTCGTAAGTGTCCAAGCAGGAATTACTTTCAGGACTCTGATGGAAAAATTGATTCTAGAAAGTGTGTGTGCCACCATCAAGTGAGTTGTACACTACTGAACAGAGGAAACTCTGACAAAGATGGGCTGTAATTTAATTAACAAATCATTTCTGCCAGGAGCAGGAATAACTATAAATTGCATGCAAAGCACTGAGACTGGTCACATTTTCAAACTCACTTTTGTCAAATCTCTTATAAAATTCAGTAGTCCTTTTGGGTAGACCCCTGTGGGCCTGGCTCCTAGACAAGGAAATTAAGAGAAAATGCAAGGCTGTAGCCTGTCTCTACTGTGAGGTTCACACAGTGCTAAGAAAAATGGCAGCCCTTTTAACCCCTAAGTACAGAGTACTCCAGCCTACACGACTGCAGGAATTAGAAACCCCAGAGCAGCTGGCTATGCCATATGTAGCAAAGTCACCCTCCCTAGTGAGATACTGAGCTTTGAAAGATACTGTGCCCACTGCATTTGTAAGATGATGTGTAACCTGAATTATGTGTGATTCTGCAAATTAAAATTACATACACCACTCATTTGGAATACTGTGAGTTGGAGGGTTCCAGCTACTCAAATACTTGCCCTACTTGTTGAGATATTTCAAAATAATCAGCTAGCAGTACATTTTTCATTAATTAACATTCCTGATCCAACATCCACCACAGATTTTTCTGAACAGAAAATAAATAATGATCTTTCCTTCCTCTTGCCTTTGTGACTCCTGTGCCAAGAGTCCATTCTTTGTATTGCTTGAAACTGCAGTCAGTTATGGCTGCTTCTGTTTGCCAGAGAACATACAGCATCAAGAATGACAGAACTTCTGTTCTGAAGTTTTAATGCTTTATCCAAGTGTTTAAGCCAGCTCTTTACAGGGTCATTCAGTGTTTCTGTGTTTATTGTGGCAAATTATAAGAAATGGTGAAACATTAGATTAAGGATCAGCCTTTCGTAGCTGACACACAAAAGGCTTTAATATTTTTGGAGAACTTTCAAATATGATTCCTCTAACATTTTCATGTCTACTTTTTTTAAAAAGTAGCAATTTTAATGTCAGTATGAACAATTGCTCTTACCATACATATTTTTCAGTTTGGGGCCATTTTTCTTAAATAAAAACCCAGTCTTGATTTAATTAGTGCGACACAAAAAGTTACATCTATTGTGACAAGTAGTTTTGCTACTTACTAATCTTGACAAAATTTTTCCTGAATTTATTCCAATTTCCACATCCTTTTCACTACATATGTACCCAAGATGGCTATAGAATATGCTACTGAACAATCTTTTAGAAAATAATAATTGTTAAAAATTGGTACTGCATTGAAAAATGGTCTTTGTGAGTAGATGGTAGAAGTGGCTCTATCTCCTGTAAGTTTGCCATTGTACAAGATCCCCCATTGTACCAGTTACGCAATTTATAATCCAATTAATATGGGTGATGCTGATTAGGCACAGCATTATATTTTTTCATTGTTGCATAGAACTCAGACAAATGCCCCTCAGGAAAAATTGCTGAAGTCAGATCAGCAGTGTTACTGTTAACAAGCACCCATAACAAAGAAAATTATGACCTGTTTGTCAGACAAAACCATGGTGATCTAGCATTCATTATGTTCACACTTTGATTTATATTAGACTAGACTAGACTAGACTAGAATAATAGACTATTTCGGTTGGAAGGAACCTACCACAATCACCTAGTCCAACCTCCTGACCACTTCAGGGCTCACTCAAAGCTAAAGCATGGTATTAAGAGCGTTGTCCAAATGCCTCTTAAACACTGACCAGCTTGGAGCATCAACCACCTCTCCAGGAAGCCTCTTCCAGGGTTTGAGCACCCTCTCAGTAAAGGAACGTTTCCTCCTGTCAAGGTTTGAGCCATTCCCAGTGACCTGGCCCTGGGTCCCAAGGAGAAGAGCTCAGCCCCTCCCTCCCCACGTCCCCTCCTCAGGAAGCTGTAGGGAGCAGGGAGGTCGCCCCTCAGCCTCCTTCTCTCCAACTAGACAAACCCTGTGTCCTCAGCCTCAGAGGCCATGCCTGCCAGCCCCTTCCCCAGCTTTGGTGCACTCCTCTGGACGCGTTCAGGGACCTCCGCGTCCCGTTGGGAGTGGTGGGGCTCAGGCCCGCACACCCACTCCAGGTGAGGCCGCACCAGTGCTCAATGCACCGGGACAATCCCCGCTCCTGCCCCGCTCGCCGTGCACCCATGTCTGATGCACCCCAGGAGGGGGGTCGCCCTCCTGGCTGCCAGGGCACACTGCTGGCTCCCCCCCACCCTGCTGCCCACCAGCACCCCCAGACCCCTCCTGCAGGGCTGCTCCCCAGCCGCTCCTCCCCCAGGTCAGACTTGTGCCCAGCATCACTCTGTCCCAGGCATTCAACTCCTGCATCCGGATCGTTGGTACAAAGACTGAGCAGCACTGGCCCCAGACCGAGCCCCGAGGAACGGAGCTGGTGACCGGTCACCAGCCAGACGTAGCCCCGCTCACTGCAACTCTTTGAGCTCTGCCCTGCAGCCAGTTCTTCACCCACCGCACCGTGACCCTGTTCACCGGACAGCTTGTCCAAAAGGGTGCTGGGAGGGACAGTATCAAAAGCCTTACTAAAATCCAGAAAAACTACATTGACCGCCTTCCCTCCCTCCACCACATGAGTGACCTTATCATAGAAGGATATCAAATTAGTTAGACAGGACTTTCCCTTTCTGAACCCATGTTGACTGTGCCTGATGATTGCATTGTTCTTTAAATGCCTTTCAATAGTACTTAGTATAATCTTCTCCATAATTTTTCCAGAAACCAGAAACAGGTCTGTAGTTCTCTGGGCCTTCCATCACACCTTTCTTGTAGACTGGAATAACATCAGCCAACTTCCAGTCAGCGGGGACTTCCCCAGACTCCCAAGACCTTTGATAGATGATTGAGAGCGGTCCTGCCATAACATCCACCAGCTCCTTCAGTACTCCAACAACCCTTATCAACAATCCTGTTATCTCTCTCAGGTTATGATCTTACCCACAGCTTAGCTAACTAGGTTCCCTTCAAGCACTTTTCCAGATGAGAAAAAAATCTCTAATGAGACCAATTGAAAAAAAAATCTCTGGTCTTTAGGAACTTTCCTAGTGACAAAACCCAGGGGGATCTTTAAAAAATCAGCTAGCAGCTCATTTTTTGAAAGCTGTCATCCTGCTAACTTTAAAATGCTTGGATAGTTACTACACTACGTCCCTCTTAGTTCCATTTGCTAGTAATGGAACACAATATTTTTAATTATTGCTATAAAATGTGAGTAAACCCTATTGCTTGTTTCAAAATATGATGCAAAAATTACTTCAATGTTTCTTCCTGTATACTGGATTTTAATTTAAATATGCATTAGTGTCTGAGCTTCACCACTGAAAGGAGTCTTTTTGTTTGTGGTGTATTTAAATCATTCTTTTTATTATTCTTACTTTCCTTTGTCCAAATACGGGTGTTTAGCAATTTTTTGCTCTTGCTTGTCCATTTTTGCTATTTGCTATCAGTTTCCTCATTTCATCTTCTGTCACTTTACTTTTTAACCAAGATGGATATGTAACCCTCTCTTGTTAGAGCTGTATATCTCAAAGGAGTTCCTAAACATCTCTTCTTAACCTTCACAATTTTCTCCCAGACTTTGTTTGTAAAATTGATCTTTTTCAAACCTACATTATTAATTTAGACTGTGCAGATTTGTGCAGATATGAAATTAGACCATGTCACTTGCAGCTAGGTAACCAGCTCTTATTTTTTTTCATCTCAATGAGCAATTTATTTGTACTTGCATGAATGATCTCTAATATGGACTGCCTTTGCTGAATGGAATATATTGTTTGTATGGTACATAACAAGTTTCTGACTGCATTGAACAAAGCAGGGGTCCTAGGAGAAAGGGAAGAGAGGGGGGAAAAGAGAAAGAAAAATGGGAAAAGTAATGCAAAATACTTTTCATATTTCACATTTTATTTACTCAGGGCCAGAAAGGTCAGGAAGAAGACGGGTCCACAGGATCTCCAGGAAGGCCAGGAGTAGAAGACGTGCAGAAAAAAGATCAAGGACCTCCTGGACTTCCAGGGAAACTTGGAGAACAGGGTCAGCCGGTGAGTATTTTCTGTCTGTTGAAAGAATGCCTGTATTTTAGAAAAAATAATAGTCACGCACCACACATGCATAAAGGGCCAAAACGCCACAGTCTCACACACTGTCACCAGTTATACTTCCACAAGATGGCTTTTTAGCCCCACCAGATCATCTCAGGAGCGTCATATCTGCTGTGCACATGTGTCAACATCTATACAAGGGCCTGAGGGGAGACAGTCATCAGAGAGCACGAGGCAAACAACTGCAGTGCCAACGTACTAACATTCTTAGAGTGTCAATTCCACAAACTCTTCAGGCAGCCCTTGCCGGGCTGCACCACCCTCCCCGGTGCCATGTTTGAGCATGGTCAAAGCTGCTCGACTTCAGGCCTCAGCGGCTTCTCTATATCCAGGATGTGTCACACATCATATCCTTCTGAACCATCAGCACAAGATGCATCCAATTGAACAGAGGTGCAAAACAGATCACACTGTGATGCACTACTTGTTACAGTTCTAGTTTGTTATTTTGTCACTACATGACACATCGAGCTATAGTTAATTGCTTTTCTCTTTTGTTGCTTCTTTGTTACAATGCTTTATTTACCTTTCTAACAAAGTTGTTTTATTTTAGGACATTCCTGGTAAATATGGGTTACCGGTAAGTACTTACACATATTTTGGTTAACTGAAGAAAAAAAACCCAACATTTTTTTTATCAGAGACTCAGCTATATTGAAGCTTAAGCAGCAAAGTGCTTTCTCCATGTGCTCTCTTTAGAAAGCAGCTCTGGCGCTGTAGTTGACCCCCTCAGGTTGCCAAGGGAGGCCTACCCAGGTTTCTAAGAGAAACTTATGATTTCCCAGTTGCAAAGAACATAAGAGCTATGGCATGTCTTAAGCAGCTGTACAAGGATTCCATCTCTGGTGAGGCTGGCTTTTTTGCAGACAGGAACTTTAAAAGAGGACATGCTCAGACCCAGAACTCTTCCAGGGCAAACCAAAGTGCTTCATTGACCCTTCAAAGACACATGCTGCCATGTTGCCTGCTCCTAACCTCAGCTGCTATTAACATTAGAGATGTACCTCTCACCCCTCAACTCTTCTGCAGTAATTCAGCTGCACCTTCTGCTTCACCCTTCCTTCTTTCCTTCCCCTACATTCCTCTATTTTATCCTCTCTTCTGTCACATTTGCTGTCATCTTCCTGAATTCCTGAAGGTTCCTCCCACCCTTCTCCAGATGGCTCCCACCCTTAGGTCTGTTCACCACGAGCCGCTGGCAGATTGCACGTGCGTCCTCCGCGCTGAACTATCGCCCAGCAATGCACACGATAACAAATCCCTAGCTGTCATATTCCATGAGTGCCTCAGCTGCTGTTGAAGCTTTACTACCCAGCTTCTCTGTTTCCTTACTCACTATTTGCTGCTGCCACTTTGTGGATCTTTCCCTTCGCTAAGACCTTCCCATCCAGAGACTGTCATCATCATCATCATCATCATCATCATCATCATCATCATCATCATCATCATCATGCCTGTTCCTTCTTTCCTACACCACCATGCACCACTGCTGTGAGCTACCCCCTCCAAGTGAACCTCAAATTAAACTGGTGTGTTTTAAGATATTTAAAAAAAAAAAAAAAAAAAAATCAGTAGTCATTCATGGGATTCTTTATTCAGCTCCTGCAGGAATGCTGCCTGAATACATTGGTATATGCTCAGAAAGATGTAGCTGGTTTTGCAATTATTTAGCCTAAGATCAGGTTATGTGTTGTTAGAGAATTTATGGGCAAGAGGTTTACATCTGAATTAACAGAAGTCTGACTACTTTCGAGCAGAACATTTTGAAAGAAAATTCTATGAAACCAAAATAATGGGGAAATGTCTTATAGAAAATTCTGCAAATGTAATTCAAATGTTTCAAAATAAATTGTTTTGTCCTTGTAAACAAATCCTTGTGAAACAATCTTACTTCCTATTGTAGACATTTTGTTGTATCTTGTAAAATGAACCACTGTCCATTATTTTTTATATATACTTCTTTGTCTGTGTGCAGCTGGGTTACAATCATGCATATACCTATGCAACTTTACTACTGGATTGACGGTGCTTCACTCAGCAATAAAATTATTATGCACTAGATTTATACTGTCCATGTGTTTGCCACTTTTCTATAAAATCGATACCAATTACTCTACAGGAAAAAGAATAATAGGAAGAGAAATCCTTTTAGTATTACAGATACATTTTTCTTCATAATATGTTTATACAATCCATCTTTAAACTTAGTCCAGCCCTAAAACTTGAGCAGTAGAGTCAATAATTACAGTTGTCAAGACTACCAAAATGTTATTAGGGAAAATGGAGTTTATTTGCCTCCTGATTTTTTTTCCAGTGTCCTAACCAAATTCGTAAATAGCACCACTTCACAACAGCACTGACTTTAAAGCTGGTGGGAGTTCTTTCTAACCAATGATCAGGCCTCTATAGGAAGAACATATGCATGTTAATTGTAGATAAGATAAACACGTATAGAAAGGTTATTTGGGATTAATTTGGCTGATGAAGTTTAGAATGGAAAATGCTATGTAGTACCACACATTCCCTGTCAGGTGCATGTACTCAGGAGAGCATCCTACTTGGTAGGAACTGGCTATATTTAGGTGGGTCAAGGCAAAAAGGGTTTCAGTAGAAGGTGGGAACAGGCTAATGCCAATGGTATGATTTGGTGCACTCAGGGCAGCAGTTTGCAGCAGTGTGTTACAACTATATCTCCATATTCTCTGTTGACTATCACTTCCGCATGAAATCAAAAATAGATTTCTTCCAATTGTCCATTTTCTCATAGTTTGAAAGTTGTTAAGGAAGAGGCAGAATTCTAGCCTGGAATTTATCTGCTGTAAGCATATTCAGCAACTTTGGAATAAATTAAGACTTTCTTACCTCTTAGATAAGTAAATGGCCAAGACACAGGAAGTTTTAAGAGGACTTTTCAGACAGCTATCACTATTTGTTCTAATATAACATTATGGAATTCGAAATATGTTTCATCAGTATTGTGTGGTCTGCTTAACATCGTATCAAATCCAAACGCAGCCTGCCAAGCATTGCCATGGGTATCCCCCAAACAGGCTTCACTGCCACTTTGCTGTAGGCAGAGCAGATGTGGCAGGAGGCACATTTTGTGCACTGCCAGCTGCACAGAGATGTAAGTTCCATATCTCCTCTTGCTGCACAAACCAGGAGTTAGAGTCTGGCACTCTTACGGCCAGCCTCTGCTGCTAAGTGTACAGCCTCTTTAACCTGCATAAAAGATAATATATATTTTTAAAAAATTTTATTTCCTTTTAGGGTAACAATGGACTTCAGGGGTTACCAGGACTGAAAGGAAAAGCAGGCCAAAAAGGTGAAAAGGTATGTGTCCTGTTAATAGCCAACAATCAATCAGATCACATTTATGCTTGGACATGTGTTAATTTGGTACACTCTGAGAGAAAAACAATAATAATAATAATAATAGGGAATCACAGGAAGAGTTTAAACATCCTGCTGTTCAGCCATGAATCTGCATAAAGGGCAACCATAACAGAATCATAAGGATTTTTCAATAATATGAATAAACTTCAGCACCAGAAAAAAGTTGGGCTTTCACAAGAGAGCTAAGGAAGATATATTTAACATTTAATAAAGAAAACTCCGTTCTTATATATAACTTCTCTGTGCAGCTTACTCCACAGGCTGATCTAAGAGAAGCGGTATAATCATATTACCCTTATGAAATGAACATAATTGAAGTAAGAGCTAAACCATCTGAACTTACATCACTTCTAAGATGAAAGGAGCTATAAGGGATTGATCTATCATTAAAGCACACACTGTACACAAAATTTGCATTCAGCCAGTAACTCCAAGTGCCAAATTAATACTCCGTTTCATCTGTTTACCAAAACAATCCAATTTTCATAAAATCACAAACATAATCCATATGAAGTTCATGTATTCAGATTCAATTTGAAAGGGTCCAGAATCATTTCAAAGTCACAATTAGTATCCAGTACAGGTGTCAGCTTACAGGACTGCATGGCAACCTCCCATCTCCCCGTCCAGCTGAGCAGTCTGTCTATTGTAATGGAAAAACATGTTGGGCAAAGGGTCATCGTAAGCTGAAGAGAGGTGAGGGCATGTCGGGCAGTCAGGCAGCATCCAAGGTGCAACACAGTGGGGGACACTCGCACTCGCCTGGTGAAAGCAGCATGTCTGGGACCCCTCTCGGGTCCATGTTCACCAAAGCAGGCAGAAGATGAAGCAAACAGGAGGACTTAGAAGTCCATGCACAGTTACAGGGCTAGCAGCTCTCTGAGGTTACAGAGATGCGGTGGGATAGCTCGCAGCTGGAGCGCTGTGGTGTATGGACACAGGCCCTTCAGGGAAGACAGACTGGGAGGGCAGATTATCAGCAAGATATTAAACTGGCTGTTAACAGGCACTGCAGGCACTCTGTACAGGCATCTCAGAGCCTCGCTTCTGAAACCTCTGAGCAGTCTCAGATCAGCAAAGGGCAGCTTGATGGAATTCTTGAGCCAGGAGTCTCTTTCTCTCCACTTTGTCTCTCCATTCCTCCCCACTCTTCACCCTATCCCCAGCCCTGGATTCCACTGGCAAAGTTTAGCAGCAGAAATCAGAAGAGTCTAAACTGCAGGGGAGAACACAATTAGAAGCAAATTCCAAATAAAGGACTGTGCTATTGGTAGAGGACTTGGACAAGGTGCCACTTACATATCCATCAGTGCTAAAACCTGCAGCATGCATCACAGAATTCCAGAATCACTGAGGTGGGGAGGAGTATCTGGAGATTGTGTAGTCCAGCACCCTTGCTCAAAGCAGAGGCAACTAGAGTGGGTGGCCCAAGACTGTGTCCAGTCTGGTTTTAATATCTCCAAGGATGGAGATTCCACATCTCTATGTAACCTGCTTGAGTGCTTGATCACCCTTAGGGCTAAAAAGAAAAAACAAAAAGAGGGATTGGTGTACATTTAAATGGAATTTCTTACATTTCAATTTATGCTCATGCCCTCTTGTCCTTTCCCTGAATACCGCTGAGAAAATTCTGACTCGATCTTCTTCATTCGCACCCATCACGTATATGTGCACATTGACAAGATCCTCTCCATGTCATCTTTTCTCTGGGCTAAATAGTTTAATCTCTCTCAGTCTCCCCTCAAAAATCAGAAGCTCCAGTCCTTCAGTTGCCTTTGTGGCATTTAACTGGTCTCACTCCCCATCTCTCTTGTCCTGGGGAGCCAAACCTGGACACAGTACTTCAGGTGAGTAGAGCAGAAGGATAACCTCCCTCAACCCGTCAGCCGTGCAGCAACTGGTACATGGTATCACCTAACAGTTCTGTGGTTCAGACACTAAAATAAGTGATTGTGATACCACCAAGAACTGCAGTGCCATTAGTCTCACTTGAAAAATATTGCAGCAGTTCTAGATATATTTCAACAGTAGCATACACTAAGTAGTGTGGCGTAACTCAGTGTGCTATTAGAGTACAAGATAGGCTAGGCTAAGGTTTCCAAAGCTAGAAAGAGTAGCAGGCACTGATTTATGGCAGTCATGTACCTAGAACTGTCCCTACTCTAATGAGTCCCTCAAAATCACTACTGAGTTTGTACGTGGATGCCACTGGTATGATTTATGTGGCATTCAGTATTATAAGCTGCCAGGTAAATACCACAACACTCTTGATGATGGCATTATGAGATGATTTTTCCTTCCGTTCTGAATAACCTCTGTCATATTTTCATATCATTCCAAAATGTGCAACCAATATAATCACTTTCCAACAGAGATGGATTTTCTACAGCACTTCCCAACCAGCTCAGTGCTTCTAAGTTAAATCACACAAACGTCACTGGGAATAGTAATATACAGTTTCTATGCTTTACTAATAATAGTAATTTTATATGTAATATTAATAATTAATTAATTTGGTATATCTCAAAGGCAAAATACAGTTCAAGGAAATATGTTCTGCTACAAATTAGTTAACAAGGTCTTAAGTGATGAACTACTGATGTTAGGAATTAATGTCACGGTTCTTGTCCGTTTTGGACAATGCTGTATCCAGAGACCAGCACTTCACTGTACTGTGGGAGGAGCAGACTGGTTTTGCCCTAGGAGCTCCGTGGACTCAAGATCCTGCCAACTCACTATTCCCTTGCATGAGTGGACTGCATGACAGGATGAAACAATGGCTGATCTGCTCTTGCAGAGCCATCACTGGGACAGTGATATGCAGGAATAGTACCACCTCCTAAGCTTGATAACATGTGGCACAGCAGTCTCTGAGAAGGAAGGTACCATCTTGCATAGCCCCACTGGTGAAAGGGATTCATGCTTTGTTTTGAGCTGGCACTGGTCTCAGACACTTTGTGTCTGGCAGAGTGGTCTATCCTTCATGACATGTCTACACACTTGTCAGCCTTTCCATCACTTTGTCTGAAGCCCTTGAGCAGAAATAGAATCTCTGGATGTAGCCCAGGAGCTGCACAGGTGTCTGAAGCCCATGATTTCCTATAACTCTCCCTCCCCACCTGGCTAATTCTCTACATTTTTCCTTCCTGATACAGAGCTGATTTGGATAGTGCCTTCCCTCTCTATGGACACTTGCCAGCAGCCTCCTTTGGTTCTTCTGCACTGTGGAACTACTATAGCCCCTCTAGCAAGGGCTCATCTTCCCCTATAGTATTTGTCAATCACACAGTGAAGATGAAAAAAATGGCCTAAACATCATTTGACCATTAGCTTCCCAAGTTTCCTGCAAATCTGCTCTGGTCATTCTTGTGACCAGAGCCATTTCCAGGATGTTTGGTACTGACAGAAATAATTCATGTTAGTAAACCACAAAATCAGTCAAACTGCTTTTCATGAAAACAAAACGAATGGAAAAGATTTCAAGATTATGGTTGTTTACATTTCTTCTACTTATAAGCAAAGTACAAATTCGCAAAAGAAGCTCTATTTTGCAGCTGCTGCTGCTGCTGATGTTGTCAGGTAACCATTCTGATCTCTGGCAACGAGTGCTGCGCCTGCCATGCCAAAAGACACAGGCCCAGGAACTGCCTGAATTGCCAATGGTCCAGACTTGTGCTCATGGTCCCTGACAATGTTTTGGCCCATGTCAAATAGTCCTCTCTCAGACAATGCCTCGGCGTTGTTCAGGGGTAGCATCGGTTGCTAACTGTTCCCAGGCTGCTGCCAGATGGGACTGTGCACAGGCTGGCTCTGTTCGTGCTGCGTGCTCCCCCAGTGCTACCCCAGCAGGCTTTGTACTTTCAAATACTTGTCGTGCTGACAGGTTGCAGGTTAGTTCTCCTGTTATTTGATGAAAATTGCACAAAAACCCCATACTTGAATTTTAGTTTTGAACATACAGGGCTAAAAGGAGGCCCAGGGCCAAGTACCTAAGTACTGTGAGCACAGCTGGTCCATTCCACCTGACCTCAGGGCCAAAGAATGGTCCACAGCCTTATTTTATTGATTAGAATAGACATCAGAAGGAGATCACTTTGTCAGGAGGAGAAGCAGCTTAGCTAAAGTGAGCTGAGGCTATTATCTGGAAGCAAAAGACTCCCACAGTTTGTTCCCTATATGACTATTTTAGCTAAGATATCTTAAGCTTTGTTTTCCATTTTTAGAATTGGGCTAATATTTTCAAGGGATACTTCAGAGAGTAATTGTGAAGATAACAGCTGCTAAAAGTCCTAATGATATGTTCAAAAGCACTAAGGAATACTGACAACTTCATATGCAGATATTTTTCTTGGCAATACTTTAACCAGACCCAGTTCCTGCAGCAGAAAGCAGAACAAAGAAGGCACTGCTCTGATCCTCTTTTACACATGTAAATAATTTTTAAATTATTAGTTTTCCAGAGAATTATTTCATTATCCCGATCAGTGTGATTGCCTAGTACCAGTTATGTTGGTAGGATGAGCAAAGCTTAAACAATTGATCTGTGTACACACAAAAACTTCAAACCAGTTATGCTCTCTAAAGACGATCAGCAATTTTTCAGCATAATATTTAAATCTGAGGAGCAATAGCAGTATCCACCTGCCTGTTTCTGGTTCTTCTCATTGAAAATGGGAATCTGGGAATAAATGGGGTGCTACATATCAGCAGAGAGTGGGATGCTGGCTGTCACTTTATCACTGTGGTCCTTGTTCAGTGCAGAGACACAGCCATGAGATACTCCTTAGGAACGGGTACAGTTAGGCTTCCTAGACATTACTGTGATCCAAGTGTGAGAGCTCAGGTTTTTTAATTCCTTGTGATACACGCAAAGTGGAAGGAATTGCATGAAAACAAGCACAAAACACTGACGGGAGTTAATGTGATAATCACTGAAAAAAAAAAAAAAAGCAAAGAGTATGTTAAAATGAATGAAGAGCATCTGTAAATGAACACACTGGCAGACAGTGAAAATAGCCCTGAATTAATTAAACACATTCTCTGTGAATATGACTGAAGTATCACTATAGGAACCATTCGACAAAGCCACAGGGAACAAAGAAATGAATGAATACATTTATCTAATGAACTCTCAAGCATAAAGAGCAAGTGACAAAGAAGGTAAAACTCAACATTTCCTGCTATGTGACCAGATATATGAATTTAGAGAACACAGTTAAAATGCTCATAAGATCAGGTAACAAATAGACAGGTTATAGGGTAAAGCACAGATCAGTAGGCTGCTACCAGTGTCAATTATGTCTCTGTGACTTCTACCCCTTTGAGATAGATCAGTGAAACCAGTCTGGTTTGTCTCCTCCTGGTGCCAGGTGGGAAGGAGGTTACACCTTACAGCTCTGCTGTGTCATGATGGGTGTCACGATGGGTGGGTAGGAGTCTGTTCTATGTGAAAGCGTTGGTAGAGGGAAGGCTGAGCCTCTCACTCCCAACGGTGAGAGAAGCTCTGGGATATGAGCTCTTTCTTCCCCTCTAAGTGTACATCTGTCCCAAAACTAGGAGCACCGTGTAGGAAGAATGTCCAAAATGCACACTGAGGGACTCCTCAGAACAGTGAACTGCAGTTATTGGATGATGAAGGCCAGAAATGTGAGACAGACAGGGAGGGAGAGGAGGACACTGTATTTCCTCATGGCACTCCCTCTATCAGACGTATCAGGTAAAAAGCAAGTGGGATCAATCACTTTTAGATGCACACAAGACTTCAGAAAATGAAATGAAATGAGTGTCAATCATTTGATGAAAACAACATGCATACTAAGAAACCATAATGTTCTGGTCTGCTAGTTATTCATGATCCTACTGGCTCCATTTTAGGGGATGCAGAGGCATATCCTTCTGCCAAAAGAGTTTAAAACACAAAAGCCGAATTCTGCTTAGTGAGCTCTCCAGAAAAAGGCACATAGAATGTTGAACATAAATACAAAGACATGTTATAAGAGTTTCAATATAGGATTAGAAAAGTCGAGTCAGAACCTCATTTCTTGACTGAAAAATGCTAGAGTTGATCAGAAAATGTAATGGAAGTTGTAAATATCTTAAGCAGAATCACTTCAAACTAACCTCAGAAAAATGTCAGAGCTGATGTAAGAAAGCTAAAGAAGAAGAAATGGCAGTAATTATGACAGAAAATGATAACAGTTCTGAACAGGGCCTTTCATTGTGGTGGCAGTGGATAGAGGTCAACACATAGGAGAATCATCCTGACATGGTGGGATTGGAAAAAGCATTACAGGTGGTAGAAATAAAATGAATAAATTTATCTGTTGAGTACCATGGTGTGACTACATTTTCTACTTACTTACTTATGGGGGGGAGGGGGAAGGGTCATATAATGAACCCTAAAAATGCATGATCCACAATAAAACATTATTCTGACGAGAAATATACTCTGTCTAATGCTATTAACGTTTCTTGTACATTTGCAAATTCATTGCAGAAGTCATAAAGAGAAAAATCCTTTCTTCCTTTGACAATGCAAAGATCATGTTTCTTGGGAGCTTATCAGAAATGAACAAAGTTCATCTGTGCCCTTAGGATCTAAGCAGACACTTTCATTTTTTCCTGTGACTAGAAATCCACACAGATTACACCTAGTGCTGAAAAACTCTGGTCTGCATTTATTTGATTAAATCCTTGCTGATTTACCCTCATTCATGTTTTAGGGTGATCCTGGTGAGGGATTGCCAGGACCTCCTGGACTACCAGGACCCGCAGGACCATCTGCTCCTTCCAGAGGTTTAGTGAGTATTTGGGGTTCTCTGTCAATGAGCTCAGCTTGCCATAGGGAAATCCAGAACTAATAGGAGGTTTTCTCAGGGAAAGTAGCTTGACTGCCACAGAGATAATCATATTTCCTAAAACACTCATGCAGAAATGCAAATAAATGTCTGGCTAAAGAGTGTGAGTACTGTAATCTACATAAACACCCAGTATTGACATTTTAAAAAGTCAGGGGATGCGTGTGATCTCCTGTGCAAAACCAATAATATATGGGAGAACAAGAGACAAAAATTTCCTCAATAGGGTGTTACAAACGTGAATTATTCATTTCTTCCCACTACTGAACACAGAAGTGGTTTGACAGTCACTTAACGTTTGCTGTCATTAAATACTACAACACATACCAGCATGGTGACAGTGTTCATATTTTGAATGCTCAGTACTCTGGCAATGTTAAAAATGTTTCAAATTCATCTCTCTTCTGTACTTGGACCTTCCCCACTGTTTCCATGAGGTTACATGTGTACGCAGCCGAAGGAGGAATCTGGCCTGAATTTTCAGTTCATGGTGTGGGAGCTGATTTTATAAGTAGACACAACCCACCATTGACACCAGTGGAAGTACTGTGGTGAGCTTTTAAACAAATCTGTCACATTGAGCATTATGAATATTTAAGAAGATAGTTTGCAACACATTCCAGTGACCAAAATGGATTATATGCTGCCCTGATCTAGAGTCTGCTAAGTTATATCAATCTGTTTCTGTGGCAAAAAAAAAAAAAAAAAAAAAAAAAAAATAGAGAAGCAGCATTATGAAGGGCTGCACTATTTATCCCCCACTGGTACTGACTTCAAGAGACCAGCAAAGCAGCTCCAGATCACTAGGACAAGGTGCTCCAGTCCAACAGCTTTTCTCACCCAAAGGCCACTTCTCTAAACGTAGCAGTGAACACCAGGTCCTGCACTGCCTTTACTTTCTTACTGGCTGTGATACCAAGTTCCAATGCCTTTTATTCTGGAGTGAAGGGAAAGAAATCTCAGTGCAGCCGGGGAATGAATCCCTGATCCCTGGGCTTCTGAAACATTACCTTTGGTACTGTCATAACAGATTCAGGTACTAGTTCTCTGTGTACTTTGGGCTGTAGGTTACAAAGAATACACAGCCATGAAACTCATCAAGGACTTGCAATGGGAAATTGTAGTAGTTAATTTACTTTAATATGCGTTGACATTATTACATTTTAAATGTGGTGGAACTCGCACATGTAGAAAAGTTGTATTTCAACTGCCAAGTTTATTTGTTGCACATTTTGGTTTATTCTTTTTAAACTTTAAGATTATGAGTTCTATAAAACTTTCATAGCAGTTGCTATAATCTTAAAAAACGGATAACTGGACTTCCTTCTACTTTGCTATATATACTATGCAGACAAATCATGGAAAATTTTCCATGAAAAATACTTCTCTTTCTTTAGAGATTTTAAAAAATGCTTTGACAGTATGTGCACTGACTGCAGTTTGCACTATAGGTTCCATAATATAGGACGTTGGTTTGAAGCTGAAAACCTTGAATCTGAAGTTGTCTTATAGATTAGTACAACCAGATTGCAATATTAAAAACAAAAAGTTTTACTAACCAAATGTTTTAGAAAAAGCTTTAGTTTATTAATTTCCATTTATAAAATGCCTCTTTGGATTCCAGTTGTAGGAATCTCAGAATTTGTCTTTTGAACTAAGAGGCACATTCTAGGAAGCAGTGGCTAGTTGTTAGGCATGCATTTTAGGATATTCTTCATGTTGACAGGTATCTTTCCAAAGTTTAAATTTGTCTGAGATAGCTCTTCATCTTCAGTTCACTTAAACAGTCACACAGCATGTGTGTCCTCAGGTTTGTAATCACTGTACTCACAGAGCATCTGCAGGTAAATATACAGAGGAGTGTCTACACAAAAATATGGTATGAAACACCAGAAACATGACTGAAAAGTTGTATTATAATTTATTTCACCAGTGACACTCTGCTTCAAGGATATTGACTATAACTGTGTTTGCAGTAATTGGTGAGTGATATTTTAATTTGTCATCTTTAGAAGCAATATTTTTAAATGGAATTCTCTTAATTTCAGAATAGACTGGAACCTGAAGAATCGGGTTCTGGAGACATTGACAGAGAGACTGAGATTTTAAGAGTAAGTATATAATGATGTTTATTTCTCATTAACATAATAAAGAGATTTATTTTTCTCAATCAGATTATAGAAGATCCATTTCATAATGCAAATTTTGTACATGCTTAATTCACAATATCCAGAAATGCTTTGTAGGGTTTCATTTCAGGATCTGAAAAGTCCTAGGTGCATGTGAGTAGGGAAGTGTGAGAAAGAAGACAACAAAGAAATAATGACAAGATTACTTTTTAAAATGAGAAAATCCTTTTAATCTGATTCTGAGGGGACAATAAAGAGGAGAGAGATGGAAATGATACTACTCTGCTTTTTTTTTAATTTGGAGTACCTGCTCTAGAAAATACGCATGTCTGTATGAAGTACTTTACACTGCAACTTCCACTGTTGATCCTTTGTGATGGTCGTTTGAACTTCCCTGTATCCTTGCCTTTGTGAAGAATCGTAACACCATCACATCAAGGCTGGCTAGCAGAGGGAGATGCTTTGGCTTAATGAAAGTTAATAAGATGTTGACACACGTGTTCACAAAGTGAGGCTCTCTAGGCTGTGTAACATGGTAGACAAGACTTCCATCACTGGGAAGTATTTGTGCCAGGTAAACCTGAATCATGGGTTATTAACTCAAACTTGGCCATTGGTTAAACTGCGATAGTCAAAGTAGTTGCTGTCTTAGATGTTGACCTCATCCTTCTCCTGGAGGTGTCTGTCTCATCTTCAGAAAGAGTGAACCTTGTGAACCTACTGAAGTACTTAATTTTGCAGACATCATATTCAGGAAAGTCAGCATCAGTTTCAGTTCACTTCAGTAGGCTGTGCTGTAAAATGCAGCTTTCAGCGGTGCTCAGGATCAGCAGGCACAAGGAACAGAGCAGAACAAGTGGGATGATGAGTACTGGTTTAACAGTCTGTCACTCTTAGCATTATGTGTCAACAGCCTCAAGTAAGATTTGGGTTAGGGGTTGATTTGTTACATTGGTCTTGTTCATTGACTTCACAGAGAGTTGACATATTTTGAGAGACAGAACTCAGATGGGCATGGCTCTGGATTAAAAATGGGATATCTGGCCTGGTTTTCTTGCTCTGCTTCTGAGCTGTTGAGTGGCAAAGGAAATATTTGGAGTGGGAATTTTTTTCTACTTATTTTTTTTTCTGGACTATTGTTTTCAGAGGAGAGGTTATCTTTCCTATACATCCTACACAGAACAGTGTGCCTTTTTCTGGGAAAAATAACATCAATTGACTAGAACTTGCTGCCAGATCTGGAATTATTTTGTATGTTTTGTTTTGTTCTTGAGTCACTTCTTCACCCATTATCTCTAGTGAGCCAAATCTACTTTTATCATGTTCCTGTTGAAAATCCAAGTAGCAGTCTATAAAATATGTATTGCAGTTGCAAATAATGTGGTTTTCCATCCACAGAACCAGTCAGATATATAATGAATCAGGCAACGTATTACAGATAAGGACAAATGTTAGGAAAATGAGAAGTCAAGTGGCTGAAGTTGAAGAGACATAAATGGGAAGGCTTTTGCCAATCCATCTAGGAGTGAAAGATAGTCTTTCATGCAGTCTTTGGGACGGAGCACTTCCACCCTTTGATTAGAAGCTGTTCCATCAAGAATGCTGAAGCTTTCTGAGGAATTAACTCCCCGGATGCCTGTCTCCTATGAACTCCAGAATGCTATAGCATTCCGAGGCCTCTGTTTTGCAACACATTTAGTGATATTTTTCATTCTCTCAGACTGATTTCTGCCTCAATACTTCTTTTCTGTTTTTTCTTTCCTCCAAAGTGTCAAATACGTTGTTCCCAAGGCTCTTCAGGCGGGAGTTGTCATGTACTGAAAGTTAGTTATCTTGCCTGGTGTAGATGCCCTTTAGATGCCCTATATAGTTAACCAGACGGGTGAGTGCATGGAAAGGCTCCCTGCAGAAGGATCTGTTGACCATACTGAAAATCCAGTATGACCATCTTGCTAACAGAATCCTGTAGATGACTCTAAATCAGGATTAAAGAGTTCTTGCCTTACATTGCCATGACCCAAAATTTCAAACTGTCCATATTTGCCTGCTAATACAATCAGTAACAAGGATGGACTCGCACATGAGAGAGAATATTTGCAAATTTATTATTTCTCCTGAAGTAACATATTTCATTCATTTTATTCAATTGAAATAGATCTGCTCATGTCCGTGAAAGATAGATCTTTGGAGCAGAGGCCATTTTTACAATATTAAGCACAGTCAGCTCTTTACCATGAGTACAGATTCTCAGTATTCTCAGTACTTCAGAAACAGAATGGAGAAAACTTTTGAAAAAAAATAGAGAAAAAGCCTAACCACATCTGTCTGTTCAGTGATCCCTTGTTTTCATTTTGGTTAAGTTTCTTAATATTAGGTTGACTGTTGAAATATCTAAAGTCTTCCCTGGATTACAGAGAGCTGACACAGAACTTTTTGGTTTTTAAATTACTGCTTGCTGTTGTATTCCATGAGGTGGCACAGAGAGCAAAGATGGAGCAGGTCAGTGTGACCCTATGTAAGGAGTATATCTGTGAAACTAAAACTGGTTCTTAATGAAGCCAGAGGGGGATGGTAACCCAAGCTGAGAGTTTTATGAACCTAAACAGACTGTGTGAGCTTTTCCTGTTCCATGTCTGTACAAATGAACCTGGCTAGGGCCATTTCTAACAATGCTGCTGATTTATCCAGGGTCTTCCTGGGCCACCAGGCCCTCCAGGACTGCCTGGTCTTCCGGGAAAACCAGCACCTGATGCAGGTGTAGGACCTCCTGGGTCACCAGGGGAAGATGGAGCTTCTGGTGAACGAGGCCCTGAAGTGAGTACCTATTTGTGCAAAAACATTAATGCTGTTTCTGTCCCACAACACTAAGTTCTAAAGCTTACAGTCTGTATAACTCTTAATAATATCACAGAATATTTTTAATTGAAGGGCTTGGATTTTATGCACATTCTTTACAGAAAAATAGCAAAATAAATGTCTTGTTAACCAAAGCACATTACTCCACAGCTGAATGTACATTTGGCACATAAATACTGGTGAATCTGGACCAGAACAAATAAAAAGTAAGGATGATTTTGCCAACACTAAATAACGCTAAGGTTTATTTTTCCTGTGGTGCTTTCAGGAAAATTAAGTTTGCTAAATCACTTATGTAATCTGCAGGGAATTTTTAGTATAAATTGAATTTTCTTCTTTCAGGAACTCTCTTCCTTCTTTTTCTTCAGCTAAGTAGAAACACTTATTCCTGTAGACATGTGAAATACAGTTCTGTAAAAAAGGTTGCTAAAAGTTTGAATGTTACCTACTCATTAATATATCCTCAATAAAGTGTTTTTCAGTGAAGAAAATCTTTTTTTTTTTTTTTTTGTAGCATTGGTTAGCTTTGTGAATCCTCTCTGGAACTGTATTTACTCATATGGTTTCCTTATTCTCTATCAACCATCTGCCAGTAGCAGTTGTTCTCAGGACTAGATTGGATCTATATGTTCATGTTGCTTTCAAAGTGGGGCACAATTGCTATATCTGACAAGGTGTAATTAGCACATATTAAAGAAGTGCATCAGTGACACATGTTAATGAGGAAATCTCACTGCATCTCAGCTGTGCTGGATTTTTTTTTTGAGGATAGAAACTCCTTGAGTCAGGAGTTAATACAAAATCTAAGGAGGTGGGTATGGTAAATTTTGTTTGTCTATCAAGTTAAAAGGCAACATCCTGTGTGCAAAGAGAAATTAAACACCTGAAAATCTTTAAAATGGGATCCAGGGAGCAAGTGCATGGGAAGCCAATGAAAACCAAGACCTGAAGATGTATGTACCCTGTAAGGAAACACTGAGAATAGCCTGAGTTGTATATATGATATCTCACTTAGAGCTGCAAGGAGGTACCTCCATCCAATATCTCAGAGCTTTATCTTGAAAACTAGTCCTTTTTCTGTCAGGAGCTGGATCTCATACTCTCAGGCTACAAGGAAGTGTAAGCCTCACAAATTTTTGTTCATCCAGGCTCTAGGTCCCTACAAGATGTAGTGTCCATTCAGCACATGTCAGAAATCAGGGTAATTTGGGGATTTTAAAGTTTCAGTCTTCCCTCTTGGAATAAATTGGATCCATATGAACCTCATTAAATTAAAGCTGGGATAAACAGAGTGCAGACGATGTAGCTGTACGTGGACTATTATTTTGCTGAGCTACATACAGTTTCAGCATTTGCTGCACTCAAGTGCTTTGGCTATGTTTTGAGTATTTGCTTGGTTATTAACTGAGATGCAGTTTTGTTTTACAATTTTATAGGTGATTACTAAGGCAGTTGATTGTTCTGGCCTGGTAATGAGATGTTTCACTAAGGTGAAACAACCTGGTCCCACAGAAGGAGACTCAACAAGCAGTATTTTTCACGCAGGCTTTTCACTGACATGTTTCAGAAAAGACCTCCTCTGTAAACTTTGAAGCTTTGACAACCAGGCTGCACCATAATTAACAGTTGCAGTCCAGATCCTTAAAAATGTGTCACTGACTTAAATTTGAAAGTAAATAACAAATATTTATTGAATTAGTGTACTGAAAACATTGCACTTTCTTCTGTTATTCTTTGCTTTCTAGAAATTATCAATGGATTTTTCAATGGTTTTATGCAGTGACTGTGGTAAGATGGTGTTCTGCATTCTCGATGGTTTGTTCTCAGTACTATATACAGAGTTAGGCTCTGGCCCAACAACAAGATGCACTCAGGACAGGTTTGCCCTGCAGTTACAGTAGCATAGGTCAGTTCTTGTAGACTTCAGGTAAGGGTGGAAGTAGTCAGCAGTGCTGCTGAAGCGGCATGGAGCCCAGAGCGTGCCAGCCACAAAGCCAACACGGGCAGCCTGCACTGAGCTTCATGCTGCTACAACAACAGTGACAACCTGCACAGGCTAAATTTAATGCACTCCTGGCATATCCTGCAAGGAAAAGCCTTGTATGTGCCTGGGGTTTCAGTGTTTCTGTCTCATTAAACACGTCTAAGCTGTGGGGCCTGGGTGAGCTGCTGTGTTTTAGATTGTCTGACCTTGTCGTACCCTGAGAGCGTAAAAGGATAGGACCCAGCTGTCTGCAGTGCCTTTCCACCTACATCATTCCACAGCATGGTTCCCATGGAAGAAAATCCCAATGACTGGGAAGGAAAGAAGTGGCTGGTCTGGAGGATGTAGGGAGCAGGACAAAAGGATGTATTGAGAGCACACTTGCCCCACTAGTTGTTAGGAAACTTGCCATTAACAACCCAAGGGTTGTGATAGCAGGAACCCATTTTTCATTCTTTTCTCTTCTTAATTATTCTAATTAAGGAATTAAGTCTTGAAGAGCCCATGGCTTAGTTGAAAAGAGCTATAGGTGGACTGACAGCAGCTCTCCAGTGCCCTGCGCAGTGGCCACGCTCCGAGTATGCCTCCCCCATGCTCTGATTATCCTGATGTACTCATGGCCTATCAGTCCTTCCTGGGTGTTTTCTGCATTGATTGCAAAGGGGAAAAATTTCCACTGCCCAGCCAGTCTTTTCAAACTCTTTCACAATATGCCAGACCCTCCCTCCCTGGCAGCGACAGGAGAAGGAGGTGAGGAGCCCATCCATCAACACAGTCCAGACCAGCACTGGATAGCTTACAGTCTCTAGCACAGTACCAGACTCCAGGACAGGGCTTGCTTACTTGATTTATTTTACTTGTTTCTTTATTATCAGGTTATTATTTCGCTAATATCATAAGCTTGGCTGAAAATCCATGAGATCTGTCTCATCAGACTTTTTATTTGTCATCTGGACTGTGAAATATAGTATCTTTGACAAACACATTTTCATGTTTGTGGGTTTGTTTGTTTGTAACCAAAAAAACTTGTTGTTTCAGTTAAAAGCTGAGATTCTCACCTGACTATGGGGAGCATAGCCAATGTTGCTAGACTTCCAATAATATTTCAAGACTTCAACATTGTTGGAGAGTAATAACAAACTTCTTGACCTGGGTTTTTTTAAGATGTGCCCTAAATATTTCCCACTAAGCACCATGAATACTTCAGACTAAGAGGAGCAAGTGCTGAAGACCATGGCACTGCAGTGGTTTGGGCATATGCTTCATCACACCTTTTGTCTCACTTTAAGCATAAATAGAATTCCTTCTAGAATATAACCAGGAAAAAGACAGTTTTATTACATTAATGCACTGCTTGGGCAGTTTTTCCTTGTTTTCAATTAATTAATTACCTTACTTTGTATTGTATTGTTTGAATGTAAGTTATTACTAGTCTATAGTAGTCACTGAACAACTGGCTTGAACCTAAAATAAATCACACCCTCTGGGCATTAAGAGAGTTTCCAGTATTCTGAAAATGTCTATTTTGGCAACATTTCTCAGAACCACAGTATCTTCAGAACCACAGCATCCTCAGAGAATAATTGGAGGTCTGTCCTCTAATACAGACTAGTGTTGTTCCCTAGTGGTCATATATTTAAAACTGAATTTTTTTTTTTCTCTAAAATGAAGATGTTTAGCATCTTAAGGCTTACTATCAGAAGCAGTCTGCTTTATGATCAGGCATATTTTCCCATAAAAAAAGGGTATTCTTTATATTTAGATAAAAATTCTAAAACAAAAAAAAAAAAATATAAAGAGAGTCTGGGATCAATAACAGGAAAGCAAAAATTAAAGATGTAAAAAAAAAAATAGTAACCACATTATTCAGTCAGCTTCAACATGAGATATAGTGATCAAAACTAATATCCATTGCTTTTCATGCCTGAGATACAAACAAAACCAAAACCCATATAAACTTGCAGCATAACTTAAAAATAATAAATTAAGAGACAATAACTTTAAATACATATGTGCTTTAGCCTGACTGGGAATGATTCATGAAGTTTGGAAGATGGAAAATTCCCCCACAACAGCTTAAACAGAGTAGGTTGTATTGGGATGTGTTTTTATGATCTAACCTGATAGCTGCAGAATTGTGATTCTCTTAAAATAAATACATGCTTTGGGCCTCAGTTTCCCTCCCCTTTGCCTTCTCTATTGATGCAACAAATCATACAGGCCTTGATGTGGCCATTATTCTCTGCATCTACTGATTGTTATCAGGATGGTGCTGTAAAATACAAAAGCCTGAAATGCTGGCCAGATCTCTACTGTTATGCTCCCAACACTATTTTTTTTCTGAATCCAAGACAGATCAAATTTTATTGATGATTATGACTGCAATTTTAAGAAAATCCATTGGTAAGTCTTGTAAAATAGACAGTTACCCTAAGGTTTTGTTTGCTGCATTTGACAAAATGCAGTGTTATACTAAAAGGTCCTCTATAATAGAGTCTTTTCTGTTCAAAATGTATTTTCAACATCATGACTGTGGCTGTTTCTGTATCTGTAGAAGACAGAGTACCTAGAATGGTCTAGAATATGTTGTTAAAATTTGTCATAAAGTAATAATGTGAAAAAAATTTAAAGAGAATGGAGAAATAAGTACTGATTCATCTTCTGTTTCAAAGATGAATGTGTTCCATGTTGTCCAATCTAGGATTTCACAGGCTATCATATTAACTACTTGTAGCCAGTCATTTTTCTGATACAACAGAAATCATTGTTGTCCACTTTCAGGATAATTCCTGGGAAATATATCAATTGAAAAAGTAGAAGTTAAATGTTAACCAGACTACTAAAGTGCATTTTCAGAAGAATCAGACCATGACAAGTCTGTAGACTACTGAAGGAAAACTCCAGCGACCAACACTACAGACCCATGCATTCCCACAATTTCAGATGACCTTAGAAACTGTAACCCTGCTCTCCAAAGATCTGCACACATTTGCACACCCTGGATAAATGAAGTGAGATTTATTCACAGCAGAAATTTTTGGATCTGAATCCTCCTTCCGGAACACGCCGGAAGAGTTGTGTAATTAAAGGTCTTCAGTTGCAAATCTTACTTGCAGAGGACTAGCCTACTTGAAGTTGGGTGCAGGCTTAAATCCTTGCTAAATCAAGAACTTTGTGATGTAATATCTCTTCTCACGTGAAACATGTTTTGGAAATGTTTGGGTAAAGGCTTCCTTTTGTAACAGGAAATACCTCTTCACCAACTGCTCCACATTGCATCTGATGCTGATGTGATATTGATCTGATTAAATACATATTTCCTAACCGCTACATGAAGTTAAACTGCCTCATGGCATTGTATAAGGATATTTTCTGTGGTAATTTTTTTTTAAAGTAGCTAACAAATGCATGAATACTCCCTGAAATGAATAACAAATCTCCAAGTGTTGCTTGCTAGCTACATAAGAGAGACTATTCAAAAGCTTTAAAGGAAATAAGGAGTTTGGAGCAATTAAACTTAAAATTGTTAAGCAACAGAAGGGAAATAGTCACTAAAATTTAAAACAATTATTGTTGTTAGCCCAACCTCTCCTCTAATCCTCCTCTATATAATCATGGCAAAATACAATATGAAAATGTTTGAAACATACTGAAAATATTTTTGACCTTTTTAATATTAAAAAGAATTGATTAGTTATTCTATCACATATAGTGCATCTGAAGGGCAAAAACAGGGGGGAAAAAGTAAGGAGAGCAGGGAAAATGAGGCCTTTGTGACCATTCTGAAAGCACCAGAGAAGAATGTTTTCTGTCTCCTTCTGCAACCATTTACATCCTTCCCCAAAACAGATGAATAAATAAATGGATAAAAGATTCTCAGAGGCCAGAATGCATGCTTGTAAATTTAATTAAAGGCTTTCAGAGCCCAATTTTAAAAACACAGGGCACGCAAATATGCATGTAACTGTTCTGTTTCTTGCATGTATAGTTACTCTGGGCTGGATTTCAATATGTATGTATTAACTTGTTGACCCTACAAAGCCAGTTTTTCCCAGCCTGGCTGCTCACTCAAGTGCATGCTAAATCATGGACACAACACAGGAAATTGGGTGGAGAACTAAATATACATTTTCCAAGGCAAAGTTAAAGTGAGGCATCACACAGAAAACCTGGGACACTTTCTGACTTTGTCAATACCAATATTTTCACAGCTAGCTTTCATCTGGCACTGAGGTTGCCAAAAGTGTAGGTGGCTGAAGTGCATGTGGATTTCAACCCCATCACATTTCTGGTAGAGTTATCAAAATCTGCTTGGATACACTGTTATTTTGCATGCTAACACTATATTTACATTATGTTATTTTTGTGTCTGTGATTGTTTGATATAGTTTTCTATTAAAATATATTTAAATACTGTTTGGATGCAAACCCAAACTCTCAGAAGACAAGAAATACAAATGTTAGAACTTAATGGTGTTAGGTATTACATGTTAGCCTTGCATAATATTGTATCATCAGTTGGCCCAAAATACTTACACACATGTGCTAGGAAGAGGGCTCTCAGCTGGCATCTGCTTTAGATTTACTGTCCTCTACAGGGTCCTCAAGGTCTTCCTGGTCTTGATGGAGTGGTTGGCCAACCTGGACAGAAGGGAGAAAAGGTAAGTTAAACGTCTGTCTTGCCCCTACTTCAGTGGAAAATCTTTGTCAATTCTAGGCTTTAAAGATCATAAATAGTTGTCCCCGCAACACAGTGTTGGCCGACTTCAATGTTTTTTTAATTTAATCCAACTGCTAACGGCTTATTAGAACACATCTCAAAATACATATTCAGAAATCCAGAATTCCTTATTGGGTACATTCTCATTTTCTGCAGCACGCAATAATCAAAATGTAATGTGAGCTGCTCTGTTGTGATTCATCAGTAAAAAGCCAGCCGTGCCAGTGAGTCCACAGGGGGAAAGGAAGAACTCCAGCTAGTCCAGCCCGGCACAGGCTGATGGCACATTCCCTGTGGAAAGCACCCTCTGTGAAAGAGTGGGGAACGTGTAAATGAAAGCAACAAACCATAGCATCCAGCAGAGATTTTCTTGTGTTGCCTTAGAACCAAAAGCTATGTATTGTAAAACTGCCACTCTTGTTAAGTTTCCCCAAATTATTACATCCGTTTTTTTTGCACACACCTCCCCCCTTCAAGAAGGATGTGGGGAAGACAGAGTTGGTGCATCAGAGAGCTATGGAGATGGCCAGGGGCCTTGAGTACATGACAGATGAGGAGAGGCTGAAGGAGCTCAAACCATTTAATCTGGCAAAAAGGAGACAAAGGCATGGCCAACAGATATAAAGTTATAATTGTAATCCTTTAATGAGGGCTAGTGAGTCTGCATTTGAAATACTGAATCCATTTTTTTTCACCCCACATCAGGAAGGATGTGGCAAAGACAGAAACAAAGACTACAGGAAAATTTCATCCTCTATTGGGTTTCTACACCACACTTTATGCACAGGAACCTGAAAGTAGGTTCCCAAGTGTGTATTGAAAGCTCACATAGTGTAAGGGAAATTAAAAGTCAAGTCTTAAATGGACAGAATTTTTTTTTTTTTTTTCTAAATTACAAGATTTTCTTTGGTTTAAATCTCCTCTGGAGACTGAGGGATCTGAGTTGTGATTTCAAAAGCCTGAGGCTGGTAAAACTGCAACACACATGGGAACTAGCTGCTATCCAGAAAATGCAGTATGTATGTTACAAAGCAGGCATCCGAAACTTGTGCCCATTGTAATCAGTGTTTCACATAAAGGAGTCTAAGAATAGAAAGAAGTCTAACTGAGGTAAACTGAACCTGAATTGCATAGTATAGGAAGAGACTGATGTGGAAAGGGAAGTAATTGGGAAAATTAATAAATAAATAAGGGCATAATCCTTGGGAAAAAAGGGCAAAACTCAAATGTTTTGCCTCACTGAGTCTGTTTTCTGAATTGTATATATTTGATAAAAGTTTAATTAGAAATTACATACTACATATTTACACCTGCTCCATATAATCCCTAGCATTTTGGCATAACAGGATTTTTCCATTTCTACTATTAATTTTTTTCTGAAAGCCTCGATTTAACCTATTTTTAACCATTATTCCTAATTCCTAATTAATCCAGAGAAGATTACAGGGAGAAACTGCAGGATGCTCTGAAAGTAAAGTCAATTTTTTTCCCCGGAGTGAAATTTTATGTGTTTTTTTGCCATTACTTTTGAAGAAAACATTGCTATCATTTTACTCCTGGTGCTTACTCATTTTTTTCAGTCCTTACTCAAGCAGTATTTCTGTTGAATGAGTAAGGACAGGAGCTTGCCAATAAAAAACAGTTCCATTAGATTCAGTGCAATTTGGAAAAGAAGTATTTGCATGCTGTGACTGTCTACTACATGAACTAGAAGTGTAAAATACAGTATCTAAGTGGATAAAAGCAAATCAAATAGTCTGATTGCTGCAGAGGAGCCTTAAAGTCATCATATGTCTTGTTTGGAATGGTGCCCTAGACATCTTGTGTGGGATCAGTTTCTGCTTCTGTTATATCCCATGAGAGTTTTGACATTTAAATTCAGAAACATGAGGATGTGACCTGCAATGCATAATTCTGCGTGCTCCAGACCTTTAAAGTCTACAGCCATAATTGAAATACAAGATGGCATCCTGTCTTCATACCAGACCAGAGCTATTCATTTGTCATCATAATTCCTGAATTACAGGTTATTTCTTTTTAACTAAGAGGTCTAACATTTCATGTAAAGGACATTATGACATCAAATTAAACAATATAGAAATCTGTGGGTATTTTAATTAAGCAAAAATATTGTGTGTTTTTGTTACCTGTCTAATGCTTTTACAGTAAGTAATTAGGATTTGTTTTCTTTTACAGGGTGATCAAGGTCTTCCTGGTTCTGTTGGTCCAAAGGTAAAAAAAAAAAAAAAGACAATGTCTTTATAGGATATCAGTATAACTCTGATACAGCACATTACTGAAAAGGGCTGAGATGTCTTAAAGGTTATTATTAGGAAACCTGATGAAGTTGGCAAACTTAGCTTCTCAGTTTATCAAAGTATTTCTCTAAGTGTGACCAGCAGGTCGAGGGAGGGGATTCTCCCCCTCTGCTCCGCTCTGGGGAGACCCCCCTGCAGTGCTGGGGCCAGCTCGGGGGCCCCCAACAGCAGAAGGACACGGAGCTGCTCGAGCGGGGCCAGAGGAGGCCACGGAGATGATCAGGGGGATACCCCCTCCCTGGAATGGTTCAAGGCCAGGTTGGATGGGGCTTTGAGCAACGTGGTCTAATGGAAGGTGTCCCTACCCCTACCCCAGAGGGATATGAGCTGGGTGATCTTTAAGGTCCCTTCCAACTCAAACTGTTCTATGATTCTATGATTGTACTTGTGTCTACTTATGCATGTTCAGTATACCAATAGACTGACCTTTTATTTTAGGGTGATACTGGAGTCACTGGATCAATAGGCCCCAAAGGAGAAGCTGGTGCTCTTGGGTCTCCTGGGAAACCTGGACCACCAGGGCCTCCTGGGCCCCCTGGGCCCCCTGGACCTCCTGGACCCCCAGGACTAAGCTACGGTTTGGGATTTGAGGTATTTTGCTATTATGGGGTTTGTTGTAGCTATGGTCTACTTCATTCAGAGGAGAAGCAGCATAATCACCTGTATATTTCACAGCTGTTTAAGGCTGAATTGACGACAGATAAGAGTCATTTGCTCTAGATTGAAATTTGCCTAGGAGTAACCCACAATTCCTTTTACATTTGACTGCACAATTGGCTATGCTTAAGCCATAAAAGTAATCAATTTCTTCTACAATTTTCATGAAACTATTCAGTAGCAACAGTATTCAGGTGTTATTTTTGATACTTACATCATTGCTATTATAAAAAAACTTAAATACTATGCCACAAGGGAAAACTCTTTAGCACTTTTTTTTTCATGTAAATAATTTAGAACAGTGATCTAATTATACATAGAGCCCTGACAGTATTCATTAAAATTGAACTGCAGGTCCCCCTTAAGCTATGACTTTTCCTGTGTTGCCACTCTTAAGGCCACAAGTTTAGTTTAGACATGTCACTTATGTAATGTGTACAGATGCAGATGTTGGACATTTTTGACCTCATGGTCTGTTCTACTCAGAAGAAAAATATTCTATTAAAAAACAAAACAAAACTAAACTAAACTAAACTAAACTAAAAAGAATTGAAGATGCTACTCTTTCTACTTCTGAAAATAATACCTTCATCACTTTAAAATATGAGATCTGGACAGCTCAAGCTGAGCTTTACATGTCATTTGATAGCTGCTCATTTAGATGATCTTTTCAGAGCAGAAAGTGGCTTAGCAGTACAAAAGCAAAAGCATCACACTCAGGTTCAAGAACTAGAGCTGCTGCATTACATCTTTGTGAAGGGAGGTTGACAAATGGCCTACATCAATATTCACATATGGGTTTTCCCTTTTTTTCTTTTTAGATGTATTTTTCTTTTCCAATTTAGCTGTTTGGCTCAGGAAAGTCTTTTCAGAGTTTTTGGGGGTTTATGTCATGGGACATAATACAAGTTTGAACAGAAACGGAGGGCAGTTTCATCAGAGAAGTAAGCAGTGTTTGACCAAAACTACTGACCATCTTTAGAACTGCTGCAGTAAAGTGGTGGTGTTTAAGAGAACAGTTTACTCACACGTTTCTCCTAGTATCTATACTATCCCTTTTGTATTTCTCTTTTGTCTGCTCTAGAGTCACTTTGAGTACTCCAAGTATGGAGGTGACCACTAACACTTGTTTAGAGACATATTCTGATTTCTGGTGTCTGACTAAATAATACTGTACTATATACACTGCTGGTTAATAATGTCACTGATGTTAATGGATGAAAAAAATCTCTTCAGCTGTTCACAAGTTCTTAATTTCCAGCACTGCAGTTGTTAGCAAGGAACAGCATAAAGTCTAAGCATACGAACACTCCATTGCATTAATTTAGGCACACTATAAAGGCTGGTACAGAGTCTCCCCTGAATAAATACATACTTGTCTCAGAATGAGATAAGGACTACTGGCAAGCCACATCTTCATCCTAGGCCTGGTCTGAGTTTTAGCCCAGGATGATGTCTTCTCTGACTTAGTCGTCTTCTGTGACCCTTGAGTGTTAAGAGATTCTCCACTCTTCCCCATTCACACTATTTGAGTAGAAGCCAATTTTGCCTCATTATGCCACCAAAGAGTTCCTCTCTTTGGGGAACCACTGCCACTTCTGATACCTAAGTCTCAGAGGAGCAATATTAGCAAATGTGAAAATGTGAAAACTGGAATTCCCCACTTTTGTGGACACGAACCCAGGAGGATTCCAGTCTAACTGTAGCAACAACATCTTTATCTTGAACTTCATCTAGTCCAAACAGTATTGGCATGTCATTTCCCTGAGAGGAATACTACTGTTAACAGGCTTGCTAGTTCTAGTTGATCTTTTGGATGCCTACCCCTGCCATCTGTTAAGGCAGCACCATGGTCTGCCAGTTCGTTAGGGCAACACTACCTTTTGGTTGGCAGTCTGTTTATTGCTATAAGGCTGTTTCTGCAAAACATTCCTGTTAGCACTCGTTAGCATCTGTGATCAGCTATGTGCAAAAACCAAATGGCATGGGGTTTGCTGGCACTTATGCTTGCCAAAAGAACAGTTTGAGCTGCAGAAGGTACCTGGTAAACCTATTAAAAACATGCAGATGTCAAAAGCGATGGTGTGTTATATAAAGCAGACATCTAGCACCCTTTTAAAGGGAAAAATACATTGGCACAGTGGAGGCAAGGGAAAGTAGGACCCAGAAACACAGCTTGTGGTTTACACTAAGTAGCAAGCATTTGGTTAAACAGGCCAAACAGAGTATTAGCAGATTTTCTGTTGATATTTGATACACTGATAGCTGATGGAGGAGCAAGATGAAAGCATGAATAGCATTCAGTCTCAGGTGAATTTGCATGAAAGGACTTGAGCCAGTCTGATGACTCAACATCTCCCACCTTGGTCCCCAAAAGGAAGGACCCGATTCCAGCTGTGCACTCCTCCTGCTTCTCTCATTCTTGCTCTCACGGAGTTGGTGGAAAAAGGCAGAAGAATGAATCTGTCTTTTTCGCTAAAGTCACATCAGTTGATGTTTTCCATAGCTTCGGCATTAAGCTGTCATTCCATAGCAGCTTAAGCTGACCTAATTGGTCTTCCACTCTTTCCCTTACACCATCTCCAGAGTGCGTCAGACCTGTGGCAATCTGGGCCATTTCAAGTCACTAACTAGCAGAAAGCTAAGTAGGCAAGGAGTATGGGTCCTCTAAACATGATAAGCTGATACAAAGGCTCATTGTCACTAAGAGATGAAGATTCTGCTTTGCTCCTCTTCCCCTCATCTACAGCCATTCCTGGCACATGCCTGTCTTTCACAAACATCAACATCCAGTGTTCCATAAATTTTTCCACAAGTCAATTTAAGTTATTAAAATTTTAGAGAACCATACGACCCCAAAAAATCAAGGTATTTTCAGTCATTTTAGTGATTTAAAGTGTCTCACAGGAAAGTGAGAGGATTTAACACATGGAACCGATGTTGAAAATTAAGGCTGTATGGCTGTGAGCAGGGAAGGGGAGCAAAGATCAGGATTTTCTCTTTTCAGAAAACAAAACAAAACAAAACAAAACAACAAAAAAAAAAAAACCAAACAAAACAATTAAGGCAACACAGCTGCATTTAAAACTATGTCTAAAAGCAAGCAAACAGTCTCCTGCTGGTGTGGTTCATCCAGATGGTTTGAAGCACAGTCTGACAAGTTCTGCCTTAAGGCAAGGGATAAGAACATGTGGCTGGGATGGTGCTGGGGGTAACACAGATAATTATGGCAGCCTGCAATTTAATTTCTTGGGCTGCTTTGGAACTGGCAGCTCCTGGTTCTGCCATGGATTTGGAATGTCGCAGTCAGAATGAGAGCTGGAGGGAGGTTGCAGTTTTCTGTGTAGTCTCCTTTAAAACCCCTAGAAAAACTCCACAGGGAATACGGATGCTGATCTCAAGGACTTCCACTTCACAGGGATCTTTCTGCAGTCAGTGGAGGGCAACAACACCGGTCAGTGGGCTGGAGCAAGCACATGATCCATGAGGAAAGACTCAGGAAACTGAGCTTGTTTGGTCTGGAGAAGGCTTAAGCATCTTAGCAGCCTTTTGATACCTAAAAGGAGGTCATTGAGAAGAAACACGTTCAAGATCTTTAGAGTAGTGCACAGAAAGTTGAACAACAGCAATCATAAATTGAAACAGGGGAGGTTCTGACTTAAGTAAAATATTTTTCACCTTGATGACAGCCAAACACTGGAACTTGGAGAGGCTGCAGAACATCCATCTCTGGAGGGTTCCAAGACCTGAGGGAGCAAATCCCTGAGCAGCCTGATTTGAATTCAGTGTTAAAGCTTCTTTCAATGGGAGTTTGTACTAGGTTGCCTCCAAGATCCCTCTCAACGTAATTAATTTTACAATTTTGTGATAGAACTATATTTTTCTTCACAATTTCATTTCAGCAAGGTGCATTTTAGGCAGGAGTTCAACATTCAACTGTGAGAATTAGGAAGGACCTTTATATTTGAACAATGATTGCTGTTCTTAACAAACTGCCTGCAAGTTCCCCCTGCCTTAAATCAGTTATGTAACCCTTACTAGTCATTACAATATTTCAGTAGCCGGTTGGCAAGTAAATGTTAAACAGAAAAATACTGCTACAGCATGCTCAAACATAGCATATACTTAAAACTGTTAATGCTGTCTCACTTCTGCCTGATGCTGACCAGCCTGAAGTGCTGGAGAAATGGCCTCAAATTGGCAAGACTGTAAGGACCAGTTTCTGAAAGGAAGATCAACACGTCCTTATCACATTTGAGTGGAGCCTATCTCCAGAACATCATGCACTGAACAAAAAAAAAGGTTAATGAGAAAAGATGAAAATGTTTGTGTACAGTATCTTTCCAGTTTTTTACAGAACTCCAGAAAACAGAGCAGTTTAAAAAAAAAAAAAAAAAAAAAAAAGAGAGAGATTGAGAAAAGTAAGATTAATTCTTAAATTCTGTAGCATTTTTTCTTTTCCATTAGGACATGGAAGGATCAGGTAGCATTAGCCTGTTAAGTGAATCCAGAATTCCAGGATCAAGAGGGCCAAAGGTAAGTGGGTGTTTGGGGGGAGGGGATTGTTTTTTATTACTGGGATGTTGTTTTATTCAAAACCAAAAGTGTCCTCCTCTCTGCTTTTTGGAAACTTAACCCCAGTCAACTATAGATTTGGAGTCATTGCACTGCACTGGATTCAGTTGCTCCAGAATTACAGTAAAATAACTGTCTCCTTCAAAGAATCTGAATGGTATTTCTCTGATACCTGGTTAGCTGATGATTTTTAGTTTCTGCTCTAATATATTTTGAAAGATTAAAGGATGAAATAAGAGGGGTTAATTATCTAGCTCTCTATTTCTTGTTTCACCCTAGTAGGTGCCCCTCTTGCACATGAATTACATATACTGAAATGTTACACGTAAAATGAAATGTTATAGTTTGGCAATCAAAGGTGCATAATCTGAAAAAGCACTTAAACTAAAAAATGTTCCCAGCAGTGTTGAAGCAATGTCCCAGAAGGAGGGATGTTTTTTCCTCCATCTCCATGTCTCACGAGATTTTTGCTAGTGTGGGCCACTTTAAAACACCAAGTAGGGAATATAAGAATACAACACATCAGTACTTGGATTTGTCTTCATTCTTAGCAAAACTGCAGCCTAGGATGCCTTCCCCAAAGCAGGCAATTATCCAGTATTCCTCCTCCCAGAGCTGCCTGCATTGTTCTAGTTTGATCTTCACAAGTCCTGCCCCTGTGCTCACTCCAAAAGAAACATTCGAACTTTCAAATCATAACTTTGAAAGAATGGGTCCCTTTGCCCAAGTTTGGAGAAAGTGCTGCTGATGCTGACCTTGGGTTACAGTAGATGCCAGATTGAATAGTAGACAACATGCACTATCACTGCAAATAAGGCAAACTCTGTAGCGGAATACATCAGAAAGAGAATTGCCAACAGATACAGAGTTCTTGTTATCATAGCCCTTTACTCAGGGCTAAGAGGCTGCATTGAAATACTGAATCCATTTTTCTTTATACCCCACTTCAAGAAGGATGTGGGGAAGACAGAGACAGTACAGCAGAGAGTTGTACAGATGGCATCAGGCCTTGAGTACGTGACCAGTGAGAGGCTGAAGGAGTTCGAATGGTTTGGTCTGACAAAAAGGAGAGAAAGGGAGAAATAGCTACTTACAAGTCTTTAAGGGGCAATTGCAAATACGAGGAAGCCAAGCTGTTCCTCCTAGTGCCAGATGGTGCAACAAGGGACAGTGGTCACAGTTTGCAGCTTGAGACATTCAGGCTAATCCTCGGGAGAAACTCATTCACTAGAAGGTTGGTGCAGAACTGGGGCAATTTGCCCAGGGAGGTTGTGGAAACTCTGTTCTTGGAAGTTTCCAAGACTTTGCTGGACAGACGTGACTGACCTGATCTAGAGCTGGTGACGGTTCTACTTCAAGGGGGTGACTGGATTAGAAGGCCTCCAGGAGCCCTGTAGAACCCTGTTTCTATGGTTCCATGAATTGTCAGAAATTAACTGAACACTGGAGACAGGAGCAAGCTTGAGCAGCTCTTCACTGTGCTCATTTAAAGTACTACTAATAGTGAGTCACTGAAGTTATAGCTGACTCACTTTAATATCTTAGAGACCTTTGCCCCATCTTATATCTTTTCCTAGATACTAAAAATGTGGCACAAAAAAATAGTTACAAAAATAAGAATAGAACTCGTTAGCTGAAACAAACTAGTGTCCAAAATGAGATGTCCAAAACCCGTACAAAAATTGCCTATTCTGACCTGCCTAAATGACAGCCTTACTCAGTTTTGGTTTTATAACAGGCATTGTTTCCAAGTCACTCAGCTATAAATACTGAAAAAATGTCTTATTGCAGCTGAACAAAATCCTGGAATTTTGTTCTCATGTTACTGCTTAGTCACTCTACAAAGTTTGAGTCCATAAAGAAGGCACATAAGAACTTTCCTGTAACCATGAAAATGATTACACATACTTGCTGGTACTACATGAAAGCACAATGAGCCACTTACACCCTATGATAACCCCAGAGGTTCCTGATTGTGTTTGAGTGAAAATAGAGTATCTGCTTCTAAGAGGGCTATAACTCAAGGCAGCTGCTAGGATATAAATTACATTTGTTTGCACTATATTTGTATCTGTTATTTTTTTAATTAATCTTTTATGAGAAAGTAGTGGCTATGTTTTGAAGTAGAAGCATCACATTTATTTTGTCTGTAGGCTCAACTATCACTTCCAGGGTTTTTATTCTCTTTCTTCCACAGATCAGCATAAAGTTTTGTTGGTGTTTGGTTTTTCAGTGTCTTGTCTTCATATTCCAGATGAAGACAACTCAATCACTTCGCTGAATTCTTTTTTTTCCATTCAACTTTCTAAACTGACCAATAATGAACTGTTGTTCATTTTACCATCGAAGAGTCATAATTGTACTTTCCAACTGATATCACCATATAGAGATAAGAGAGGAATTTGCATCCTCAAATGTTTGTTTCAAGATACATTTAAACCTAGCAAGATAATGCTGTGTTGCCTTCAAACTGGTAACATATCTTAATATTAGCCAAGGAGGCAAATTCAAAAAATGTTAAGCAATTGAAAGGAATCCCTAAAGTAACAAGGAACACTTGAAAGCTAACCTATTTTGCTCTGGCATATATTTTTTTTATTTCTGTATTCCCAGCATTTGCCTTAACAAGACAGCTTTTGTTTAGCATTCATATACTGACTAAGTACGGGACAAATTTTATTTCCATTTACACTGGGTATCCACCCAGAATGTGTATTAATAGGATTATTTCACATCTCCATCAGAACAGTGAGTAAATACCAGCTGGGCCGTTACATTCCAAGGCAGTTCGTGTAACATGGAATTTTTGTTTAATTTTTTTAGGACATTTGGTAGTTTCTCTTTGTCATTCATTTATACACCATTCTGGTTTCCAAGAGGTTACATGTATGCTGTTGAAAGAGAAACCTGCAAGAAGAGACCTTCTGGTATGAACCCAGAAAGTGATAGGAAAATGTTCTGGAAGGTGCCAAGGGGGAAGAAGGGAGATGTCATGACTGCTTTGCCTTGGTTTTGATTTGAGCTCAGTAGTCACTGAATTTTTCCACTTTGATGCTGCTATTGGTTAAATAACTCATGAGGAAAAAACAGAGAAATCAAAAACCAAATCAAAAAAAGGACAGATTCACAGAATGGGGTCTTAGACAGGAAGAGGGTTTTTCTATTCCTATATAAAGCTCAAGTACCACTCAGGTTTATAGTAGAGCATGACAACACCTTTTCAGCACCTTAAATGCGGAGTTAAAGAAATGTGAAGTCTTCACTGCCCTGGGAAATGACAGCAACATTGAGAGAGCAGGAAATGGAAGAAAAAAATAGGTGGAGACCCTATCCTCTCTACCTAAAATTTACACCTGAACACACACCGCACCAGCCACTGACTACCCAGAAAGCAAATTGCCAGCAATAAGTGCATGTATCTGCTTCATAGAACAAGAGCAATTTGAGATCTGGCCAGTCCCCTATGCCTAGAGTCTGCAGAGCTCAGCTTATAGTACTGAAAAAAGTCCTTCCATTGAGTACTACTCTTCTTAATGCTGGAGGACAATACTTGTGAGTCAAAAATTAAATATTTGAACAGCACATGCTAATGAATGATACTGCAAAGGACTGGCTAGAATAGATGCACTTTCACATGATGCTGCTCTATGAATACAAGTAGGTGTCAAGTCTACATGCTGAAAATGCATTTTTTGTTAAAAAATTATTCTCTGCCCTTATCTAGAAATTTTGTTTCTAAAATATTGTGGAAATACTGTTTCACAAAGTCTTCAGAAATGGAGGTAGAATCATTCCTAGGATTTAGGAACTGGCCTGGGACTGAAAAGATAGTCATAAACCTTGGCCAAGAGACTTTACCACCACGTACACTAACATTTTAGTTTTTTAATTTAGAGACGTTCATCCCCAAGATTATTGAGACACAGAGACGAACATACTATTCCCTGACTTCTTACAAAATCAAGTACACTACAGCAAAATTAATATAAAGTGGTTATAATACACTACCATTCTCATGGGGATGAATTTCACACCCACTTTTCATGATTATAAATGACTTCACTAGGCAACAGTGGAAAAATACAACCACCACCCACTGCCAAAAACCAAGAGCTAATGCATCGTGTGGAGTTTAAGGTATAGTTATGTTTCATACGTCCTTCATCCTTCAAATACCTCAGACTAGTAGAGCTGTCAGAGAAGGGCTGCTGTGATCAAAGTTTTCTCCCTTTCCTAGCAAGTAAGTATAGATCCAAATTCTGCTTTCACTTTGATTATTATGAAAAACTATTTTCATTCAAAAACAGCCTACAGTCTTCATGCATTCATGAATACAAGCACTCCTGAAAGACAGTAAGCATAAACATATCATTTGAGGCAATGGCTGTAGCTTCTTGCTGGTTTATTCCTGTTTATATTCTCTACCTCAAATGAAATAAACTAAATTTATGCTCTCTGCCATGAAATCGAGGAATCGTGTCCACTCAGAGGTAGAGTACTGCAGAATCCATCCCGAAGCTGTAAGAGAGCAGCACTCCTTAGAGTGCTTGAAGCAGTGGCGGGGTAGGTGGGGAGAGCAGTAGCGTGGGGAGGCTGAGTGAACTGGGCTGAAGGAAGACGGTGGGTCCTTCGTGGAGGCACAAGGTCACTGTGGCATTGGTAGATCTGGGGAATGTTACCATGTGCTGATTTCAGACACCAAAATGAAGGTTCAGGCATTTGGCTTGGTAGACGCTCAGCAAAAATAATGTGTGGTGACCAGAAACTCTAAGATGTGGGTGGCAACTGGGAGGAGGTGAAACACCCAGAACCATTTCACCAGTGTACACTGAGCATCGCTTTACCAAAAATACGCTCTATTTTTGCTAATCATTTTACTCCGTTCAGTCCCTTTGTTTGTAAGGGAAGTAACATGCATGTTTAAAATCCTTGTAATTACTGTTCACTTTGATATTTGAGCCCTACTGTGTCTCCGTTTCAGGGAGAAAGAGGCAACATTGGTCCACCAGGCTCAAAGGTGGGAAATTGATTTAACTTGATCTAAAACCTGTCATTTCTTCCTTTTTGTTTCCTTTCTTAATGCACTCGGGGGAATAATGAACATTTCTTGCGCTGTCAGCATATTAGAGCCCAGGGAGGCTTCTCTGGAAAACCAGAACCCTTCCTCAGTTGAATTTTGATTATCAGGAGCCAGCGTAACCTGTTACTTCTGTTTAAAATACAGCTAAAATTGCATTTTAAACCCTCAGGTGCGGGATGCCATAGTGTTCTGTGGGGACTTGGCATTTTCACCGGAACGGAAATGAAAATCAGCAAAGTTTCTACCAAAATCTAAGATCGGCACGCCCGCCGCCCGCCGCCCCCCGACTCCTTCGTACCGCGGCCTGCAGCCAGCAGGCCGCGCCGGCGCACGCCGCGCCGCCACGCGGCTGTGGTACGGCAGTGGAGCCACGCCAGGCCGGGCCAGGCCTGGGGAGCCACGCACAGCCCCAGGCCCCACAGAGGCCACTGCTGTGGCCTCTGGCTGTGTTAGCAGCTGCCCAGCCAAGCCCCGCCTAACCCACACCTGACCGCTCGGGGGGTGTAAGGTTAGGGTGGTTGGAAGGACCTCCTGAGGTCACCTAGCCCAAGGTCACACTCCGAGGGGTGTTATCGCCAACGCTAGATCACATCAGCGATTGACTTCTCTCACTGAGCCTTAAATACCTCCAGGGAGATCCCAAAACTCTTGTTCTGGTGCTTCGTCTTTAGGCAAGACAGTCTGCCCGACGTGCAGCCCGTACCCCCCAAGCCGTGATTTGTCCCGGCCGTCCCTCTCACCCCACGCACCCCCCTGCAGCTGCCGGACACGAGACCCCGTCGGCGGGGGAAGCTGCCGGCGCGCACCACTTCACACACAGCGTTCGGCCGAAACGAACGGAGCCGGACTCCGTTCTTTCTCAGCTTCCCTGCTGTTAGCCCCGTCTGTTTGGCCCGGACTCCTCCTGGAGCCCAACCCAAAGCTCCTGCCTGTGCCTCTGCGGCTTTTTGCCAGTCCCTGGCTGATTTGCGTGCCTTTTGCAGGCATAAACCAGCAGAGGGCAGTGCTAGGACTTAAAATAAAATTAAAATAAAAATAAAATATCATTTAAAAATAAAATTAAAATAAAATAAAATAAAATAAAAAATATAAAATAATAAAATAAATAAAATAAAATTAAATTAAAAATAAAATAAAATAAAATAAAATAAAATAAAATAAAATAAAATAAAATAAAATAAAATAAAATAAAATAAAATAAAATAAAATAATAAAATTAACAAGTAAAATAAAACAAAAGCTTCTCTTGTCTTTGGAACAACACTGAAATCAAGAGTTGCTCTAGGAAACAAGATAAAAGCAATTATAAATCTACCCTTCTGCTTGCTGAATATTTACAAGAGTATTATCGCAGTCTTCTAGCAGCATCTGCTTGTTTATTTAAAAAAAAAACAAAAAACAAAAAACAAAACAAAACAAAAAACAACAATGTAGCAGGACTCTGCTTGCCATAAATTCCATCTGCTGTACATATTTTGAGTGTTGCCATTTTGCAGAGATATTTGTCAGCATGATAATTAAAGCTGATGCATTGGTACACAGGACAGTTGTTTAACTCTTCTTTTTAATCTGTTTGAAACTATAGATCATTTTCTTAATTATTATACATACAAATGTTTTGTTCTGTAGTCCTAGTCTGAGTAATTATTACTGTTGATGTGATAAATATGTTTCAAACACATGTATATATTATAATAGGAGAGACTACAGTGCTATTTAGAAATAATCAATCTATCTCTTCAATCCTCAGATTAAAAAAGATTTTAGTCCTTTTATATTTGAGCAACGAGCTACATTCTTAAAATATAGAGGCACTTAGAAATAAGAATGTCTCTGTATACATTATTTATAGTAAAACTTCTTACCTAACCTGGGTCTTTCCTTCCAAATTCAATTTTGTTAGGAAAATCAATTGGTGAAATTATTCAGCGTTTGTAATAGTAGGGAGCTAATCTGCATGTACCAACATGCCTGAAATGACAGCATTCTGTTGCAGAAATGCTGCTGGTCCAAGGTTATTTCCTCTGCCTAGTTACCTTTGCTGCAGATAGATACATATAATTTTCCACAAGCACTGAAAAGACTTAAGTCCCAAGTACTATTTCTTCTAGTCGTGAAGGTGCCTAAATCCCAGTAGTTGCTTAGGTGCCTAAATCCCACTAGCATCCAAAGACACTTTTTATCCTGCACTTGTCTATAAAATTAAAATTAGAGTGCTTCAGAAATTATACTTTATCTTAATAAACAGAGTGTTTATTCCTGAGCCACGTGCTATGCTGATCACAGACAGAAATTAGAAATAACAGTGAGAACAGTGAGGGACCTTCTCAGCTAGAAATGGTGAATGAACCACAATTAGATCTCTTCAAGTGAACTTGATGTCTCCCTTAGAACTCATGCAAACTTCTACAATTTACAAGACCTTGGGGCAGGATGCTCCGCCACCTTAAGAAGACATCCCATTAATCTCTTCCAGCTACTTTCATTTGATGCCCTCTATTTCTTCTGTTAGAAGAGTGAGGCCTTAACTACTCTCTACTTTTAGAAGCCTCTACAGTATTCTTCACCCAGCTCCTCATTTGTCTCTTTTCCAAGCTAAGGAACCGAAACAAACTTTTCCTAAAAAAAAAAAAACAAAACACTGACAACCACTCCAAAACCAACCAACCAAACCAACAAACAAACAAAAACTCCTACCAACCAAACAAGCAAGCAAACAAACAAACAAACACAAAAATATTATCCCACCACTAAAACAAAACAGAGCTAGTCTGTCACTTGGATGAATCATTAGACTGTTCCGTATCATTTCCTTTGCTCTTTCATGACATGGAGAAAAACAGATGCAAAAAATTTAGTTCACTGTTTATCTAGCCCTTTAAGAATTCAGAGTCTTCTTTTATCCACTTTTCTCTGGGCAAACTGCATTATCACTACTGATACTTCTGTTTCGCCCATAGAATAGAGTAACTGATCAGATTCTTAGCAGTAATATACAGTCCTGCATTGAACTAGAGCAGGGGCTATCAAACTTTTTGCCCCACGAACCAGCTCTTGTCTGCATTTAATGCTTCTCCCTCCTCTTCCTCCAGCCTGAGAGTCACTTAACAGAAGGGTGGAAATAACCCATGAAATGTATCTTGGGGAAAAGCAACAGAATTCACCCTTTTGCTAAACAGAGGTTGGAGCGTGGAGAAGAATAATTGAAGCTGCATTTTAAAAAAACCTTCTCTGGAGAGGGGGAAAGAGCAGGAGGAGTGAAGAGAGCAGATGACTAATGAGATGATGCCGACTCCACAGACACCCCCCCCTATAAAAATGCCCCCTAATCCATTCAGAACCATACTGTGTCCCTCCCAAGAGCCTCCTGCTTGTATGAAACTGAACACAACTTGGAGCAATAATAACGGTATGAGCAATAATAACGGCATGTTTGTCGTGGCAGGGAATGCCGGGTACAGATGGAAAACCAGGCTTTCCTGGCATCGCTGGACATCCCGGAGACGTGGTGAGTAGTCATTACCTAACGTGCACTGGCTCCCAAACCTCTGCCTGAAGGATCAGCAGGAGCCCCAACAGCACTTGCTAGAAGTGTGTGGAGAGCTGGGCCTGGGTTTGTCCTGTTGAACCTGGAGCTGTTCCCCCAGACACCGAACACAGTGAGCAGAGCATCTTGCTCTCGCCGCCCTCATCAGTCAGGAGTGATACAGGCGTCTCCAGAGGCTAGTTCTGATTCTTCAATGCCCCTTTTTGTTTTAATTATTCAGAAATCACTTCTGCTTTTAATTAGAGAGAAGCCAACAGGCTCATAGGTGATTTTAATTTATTTCTCACACTTAAGAGCCATGAGGATTACAGAGATCTGTAGCTGGGAAGTCCTGCTGCTCATCCCCTGCCACCTTCCTCTCACTCGTGCCAGACAAGCTGTCTGCATCTCCAGCACAGTGAGTTGTATCAAGAGGCTGATCAAACATAGAAATACCTGCCTGAAATGTGGCTGTTTAGCTCAGCTGTGCGCCCCTGCCCAGCCCACTGGGAAATCCTGGGCACAACTGGGGTGGTTAATGGTGAAAAAGGAAGGAGCAGCCAGGCATGGCTGATTTCAGTGCAGTGAAAGAAAGGCTTGTTGAATTAATCCCCCACTAATGAAATGTTGTGTGCTCATGTGTTTCTAGTCATCTGTGAACTCTGGGGAGAACTTTTCAACATCAAATCCTCAGAGGGTCTTAGTTGAAACCATCTGTGTTTTGAGAGAGCTGGGGATTCACCATTCTGTACATGCATTTTACTGTTGTGCTTTGGTGAAGCCAGAGAAAGCACATTTTCACAATTTTTCCTTTTAAATCACTTATGTTAATTTTTTCTATCACATGCAGGGTCCAAAAGGGGAGAAGGGTGACCCAGGACCTCAGGTGAGATTATGTGGATTTCATTCTTTGTGAGAAATCTATGTGAAATGTAGTACTTAGTAAATGGGTTTTCCACCCGTAATGCTTTTGAAATAGGGTGAACCAGGGCAGGACGGGAATGGTATCGTGGGACCGCCTGGACCACCAGGACCACCAGGACCAATCATAGCAATACCTGAGGTAAGCATGTCTGTCAAGCACTAAAGTCTCTGTAACTCATCTTGTAGAGAAGAGGGCACAAGCAGTTAACAATCTGGCAATTCTGCTGTTGACTTTGAGGTCATAAATCTACTCCTCAAAACAAAAAAAAACCTCAGCATGTCTCTATATCAAATGGGTTTGTTTTGAAAAGATGAAATAGGAAGGAAAGTGGGTGAAAAACTTACATACAAGAATTATGGGGTCATATTGAGAGCTTCTTGCAAACTCTCCAGGTCATTCTGCAGGGGTTGTGAACATCAAATAAAAATCAACAGAGAAACACAAAACTGGGAATGTTTAACAGAGCAAAGCACCTGAGACACAGCAGTATGTTGGAGAGAGAAACGTTGTGTTTTCTGACAGGCAGCCACTATACAAACCAGAGCACTGACTGTTGTGGAAGCAACAGACAAAAGTACCAAAGGGTTAAATGCTCATAAAAACTGTCCATTATCCTTTAGCTGCATGTATATTTTCAGTCAGTTTTGCTTTGTGTAAAAGCCTTTGCAAAAACAATACTAGTTAGCAGTAGTGAAGGCTAGAGATTAGGATGAATCCCATTTCAAACTGACAACAAAAATTTTTGTAGTTGGCTTGATATGACATTAAGAACTGGAGAAGCTGTGAGTGGCTAAAGGAAATTCTTCACTTCTGAGAGCTGAAGGTGCCTAAAAGAGCCAGACTCGCCCATAGAAATGCATGTAACGGCAGTAAGAAGTGATTTGTGATTGCAAGAAGGGAAAATGCCCAGCTGAGAAATCTTATTAGGGAGAGCTGGTCACCAATGTTATCATAAAGCTGCGCTACACATAACATTTTTTGCTGACTGAAACAACTACGCTTTCACTTGGGTTTTTGCTACTGATAGTAAATATAGCATAAGTTGACATCCCTTAGCCCACATAACCAGTCCCAAAAGAGCTGGGTTTTTTTACTGAATTTACTGGGTATCAACCCAGGATCTTGGATGAGCAGAATTATAGATTCACAGAAATGTTTGGAAGGGGTGTCTGAAGATCATCTGGTTCAAAGCCCTGTTTGAAGTGGGACTGTCACCAGCTCTACACTTTATCATGTTTCTGTTGGAGTTTCCTGGAAATTCCTCAATAGCTGTGGAAGAAACGCTGATGTAAAATTCATGTTCTTTCTCACAGCCCTGCTACGGTGTCACTGCAGGACCTTAACTCTTATCAGTGACTAAACAGTTCTGCAGTAATAATAAACCTGAGTGTGTTGCTCCTCAGGGGAAGGACAGTATGTATAAGAAATGTAAAAAGATTATTGAAGATGACATAGCAAACAAATGACACTGGTTTGCTGGAGGTTGCATGGCTCCCTACACGTTGTGATAGTCGCTGTCCATATGTCTACCTAATGCGTAATGTCTGAAGAAACCTAGCATGCATCCTCTGAATTCTCCAGAACTTCTGCCTGAACTGCCTTTACTGTGCATTACAGAAATGTATAGACCCTGGTAGAAGCTGTACTGCATTAGGTGTATTACAAACCCATACAGAAACCCATTTCCTTCTCTAAATGCCTTGAAGTTGAAGAAAAAAGCTCTCTTACAAAGTAGGATGCATAGTATAGGTGCCTTTATGTACATTTGGGCAAACAGGTATTCAAACAGGGGTACAGTAAGAACATCTATCCTCATATGCTTCAATTTCTCTATATTGTTAATCAAATGATTTCTCTGAGAATTTGGAATGCAGGATTTTGATACAATTAATTAAACGTGTGTGCGTGGGTGTAAGTATACGTCACTATGTATGACCGAGTTCTTCCTATCTCACAAATGTTTCTGTAAGAACAGGACCTTTGATTACTATACATGTGCTGAGATAGAAGATTAAATTATCCAAATACATTTTATTGACTCGTTGTCTCATCTTCTGTAGTTAGCTTCAGATATGGAAATAATTACTATCAACTGCAGTTGGAATTACAGAATTAGAATAAATACCAGTACCAACTGTTGTAATGTGGATATTGGCTTGACATGAGTAGAGCAACAGAGATCAATTAAGTGATCTAAGGGAACCACAGAGCAGTTAGAGAGATCACTCCCTGGGTCAGGGTCTGTTGGTTCACTCATTTAACCATTGTGTAGCCAAAGACAACAATATGGAAATGGGCTAGTGGAAATCCAGTGGACTGATCTTTCAGAGTTGGAAGGAAGTTTTCTTATGAAGGGCTGTGTGGCTACAACTAAACACAGTTTATGTTACTTGATCAAAATCAAACAAATTAAAGAGCCGGTGCAGTTTCCGTCTTGTTGAATTGTTAAGATCTGACGTAGACAGCTGTGGCTCAGGGCCAGGCTGCACCAGTATCTGGCCAACAGCACATTGATTGACCTGCACTGAAAGTGGACCTTGGTTTCCTCCTCATTTAACCTGGTCCCTACGTGAACTGAGGGGATTTGATTCCTTCAGGAACCACTTTTAACACTTTTTAAAGACATAGTAAGATGAAACTGAGGTCTGCAGCGGAACCTAGCTGTTTCCAGGCTTCTGCAGTACCTACCAACACCGTGGGTCTCAGAGGCTTGCAGTCCTTTCCACCTCCAGTGTTGCCTCCTGCAGTCAGTCAGGAAATATGCTCTGAACTGCCCTGTTTAAAAATCAGTGTCCCTCAGTTTGCTGATGTTTGATATTCCAAAATTCTTAAATCAATATTCCTCACCCTATAGTGGTTATTTTGCTCTTTTGGGACGTAATCTCTGATACTCAGTTCATTTTCATGCATGGAATCATGATATCCAGGAAACCATATTAATTGCTGCTTTGACTTTATCACTCCAATTTAGTTGGGTACAGTACAGAAATAATTTTGAATAGAGAAATTTTATTGGATTTAAATTTAAAACTTTTAAACAATTATCTGTTGCTGCCATTATTCACCCATAGCTTAGGTACAAGAACTGAATGAAAGGCCTAGAGAAAGGTTAATGTTGGGAGTGTAAAGCAAATGTCAAAAGATTTTGTGTTCCTTATGTTCTTTCTGTAATTCTAATAACGGCATATTTATGCCATTTGGGTACAAAGCTGTTTTATTTAGAACCCAGCCCAGATGATCATGCTAGAAACTACTGTTTCTGACTCTTCATAACAGTGAAGAAAATATGAAAACTGATGTCGTCCTTACTTTGTAGTCAGCACTTTCTGAACTGATTCGATCTGTTGAAAAGTTACACTGCTGGATTGTTGCTATTGAAGCTGCTTGCACACCCAGAAAGGAAGATAAATAACTATATATCTGGAGCAGGTTTTGAAGAGTGCAGTCTTTTTCTCTATTCATCATCCTTGTACCCTCTCCTTTCAGATCTTCCTCAGCACTTTGTACAGCTTTATGACTTCCAACCACAATTTCCATTTGCAGCTAAACTCTATTTATGAAATATACAAAGTGCCTGATCCCAAGCTCAGCAAAGCCTTTGGAATTCTTTCCACTGACTTCAATACATTTTGGACAGAGCCCCAAAAGAATGAATGCTGAGTAATTCCACAATGAAAAGACAGTGTAAACCCAGAGCTCCTGGATTTCTGCCACCAGCTGTAGATAAAGCAGAACAATTACAGCAGCAAGACCCTTTTATTATTGTCATTAATGTAACAGTTCATGTCCCATTCCCTTTCTGGGCCATATAGAGCTGGGAATACAGTGGGACCAACAGCATTGTGCTAACCCTGGAGCAATGCAGCAGAGAGCTCATGCAGGCTGGGAGATGGAGTGCTGCCTGCAGGACTTAAGCCATCCTTTTATTTGACAGTTTTCCAGTGTTTTTTGTAGAACATGAGGACAGGGAGCAGGGAGCAGCACCCGGTAATACTAACAAGCTTTAGCTGCAAGAATCATGTTGCCAACATCACCTCAAAGTGCAGAAAGTTGACCATACACTGCTGTGTTCAGACAACAAAGGCTAGGACAGGACAGGACAGGATAGGAGGGTGATGTGACCAAGCAGGTCTGTCCTCTTTTGTGTCCTGCTTCACAATCCAGATTAGAAAAATAGTATTCAGAGACTCATAAGACAATTGGAAGTGACCTCTGGAAGCCATATGGTCAAACCTCCTGCCCAAAGAAGGGGTCCCTCCAAACTTTGTTCCTATATACTGTATTCATGACAAAAGCTGCAAAATATTGCAATCTGGATGCATTGATCTGCACATGGTTACAAGCAGAAGAGGAATTCAGATTTCACAATATCTCAGTGACAACATGCTTGTTCATGTGCTAAGTGAATCCCGGGCACCTGAAGGTGTGCCCTGCCCTGGCCTTGTGAAATTCAGAAGATTTTCATTACATTGAATGAGACTATACTGCTGCACACAGAGCCTTGTATTGAAATGGATGGCGTGGCTTGCCTGCTAAACGAGTGGACTAGTTCAAGCCTCTAAGGAGATTCAGTACATATTTCTGAATCCAAAACAAATCTAAACTGTCACACAATCAATGGGAATGTTATAGTGAAAGAAATGTAAAAAATGACAAAAACTGAGTAAGGATTTCTTTCCACCTACAACATTTATGTGGAGCAAGCACTTACATATTGTCTGTCCTTAATTGTAATGTATGACTATATGGTATATTATCGGGAACACCTATTTAAACCAGCAAGTTAGCAATCTGAAACCAAAATGAAACCAAAACGTAAGCCTAATCATAACATCGGGATAGGAATCTGGTTGGGAGCAGCTGACGTGGATTTACTAATGGCAATTCATTCCTGACCAAAATGATTGCTATCACCAAACCAATGGCCTATGAAGTGGAAAAGCGGATGATAAAATAGGTGGAAAATTGGCTTAGCTGATGGACTCAGAGACCTGTGATTGGCATTCGTGAGACTGCTTTTGGAGTACCGTGTCCAACTGTGAGATCCCAGCACAGGAACAGTACTGGCATGATGGAGCAGAGGGCGCGCAGGGCTGCCAAGGTGGTCAGGGGACTGGAGCATGGAGAGAACTGGGTCTGCTCAGCCTGGAGGAAAGAAGGCTAAGGAGAGACTTTGTTCCTGTGTACAACTACCTGATCAGAGGATACAGTGAAGATGGAGGAAACCTCTTCTTGGAGGTGTGTGACAGCATTATAAGATGTGGCAGAGACAAGCTGGAACATGGGAAATGCCAATTAGATTTAAGCAAAAACTTCTTATGCTGACAATGCTCAAATACTGTAACCAGTTGCCCAGAACAGTCGTGGTATTTCCACCCTCAGAGATGTTCGAGACTTAACTGGACAAGTCGCTGAGAGACCTGATCCAACTAGACCTGCATGGAGGAGGGGGTTGGACCAGATTATGTCCAAAAGTTCCTGTCCACATTCATTATTCTGATTCTGTCATCAAATTATGCAGAAATGCCCGAGCTAATGCTGAGCTCACTAATTCCAGGACAGGAATCAGTGTAACAGCATTGCTATTACACGGCTCTGTTCAGGCCATTTGAGACTCGGAGCTGATTAGCTTAGGTGCTGCTCCTGTCCAAGTCACTATGCTGTGCTGGGAATCAAAGCCGTTTTTTCTGATTGCAGATACAGCAGCACGGCTAGGGCTGACTCAGGAATCACTGCACGGCACTGCGTGGTGTGATGCAGACATCTCCAGAATACAATTATAACTTCAGCTCTACAACAGGATGAGTGTGCTCAGACCGATTCACCATCTTAGAACACCAGTGACATACTGGACTATAAAACCGTCAGTTTGAGCTTTGCTTTACTGAGGAGAAGTGACTTCAGGCTGCAACATTCGGTGTCATAATCTCCAAATTAAAAATGAGAGTCAGTTAAAGTTTTGAAAGCATTCTGAGATCCTTACATAAAACAACCATAAAACATAAAAGAACCATAAGACAAATGCCAGGTTTTGTTACTCCATATGTACAACAAAAATTAATAGAGAGCCTTTTCCATGGCCTTATTTGTGTTTTTCTCCCCATAGTTACAAAAGGATGCTTTAACTGTCTATACATTTCTAAAAATATATGTGTGCCCTAGATAATGAATTTGGTATCTGAAATAACCTGTTCCTTAACCACTTTTTTAGCTACTACTCAATGATACAGATGGAATTTTTAACTTTACTGGAATTAAAGGACTGCTTGGGCCTCCAGTGAGTATATGCTGCTTTACTAAATCTTCATGTTTGCTCTTTCTTCAGTGTTTTAATTATCAGCTAGAGCTGAGTTTCCTGTGCTTTAGAATTCTGTTCCTGCTACCTTCAGCACTAAGCTCTGTGGAAGTACCTCAGGGCAGAACTGAATTCTGTGTGAATTAATTGCTTTTACACATTTGTATGAACAACAGGAATTGGCTTAGCGCTGAAGCTGAGCTATATGATCAGAATGATAGAAATGTGGAACTGATGCAGAAACAGAGACCGAAATTTATGTAGCATTTCTTTCGGTTTTTCTCTGTTCTTGTTTTTAAAGTCATAAAGTGTTGGGTTAAAGCGTTTTGCTCAGTTCTGCTTGAGACTGCAACTAGGAATGCTAGTTCTGTGTCTGAGTTTAGTCACACAACAATTATAGTTGTGGACTAAAAGCTGGAAATTTCATGATAAAACAACGGATGTGAAATTCTTAATCCAGTTTCAGATCAGTTAATATTCACAAAATACACAATACATGGAAAATGCATACTCTGTTTTGCAAGTCTGTAATATGTGTTTTTAAGGAGGTTTTTGCATTTTGCAGGGGCCAGATGGCAAGCCAGGTCTACCAGGATTTCCTGTAAGTATTATGTTCCTTGGATTTAAGTACATATTTTTCAATATAGTTTAATAATTTTAAAATGTATATTGTACAGAATTTACACAAAGTCTAAGAAATTTTCATATGAGAGACTAGGTCTTTATGGAATCAACAGATATGGTAGAAATTAAGTATACTGTGACATGCACATCTCATATTTCTGCTTATCACAGAAACAATTCTGTAGTTTAAATCTAAATGTAATTGACTGTGATGAAAAATTACTATCTAAGAAAAAGACCCATGCCAGGAGAAACAAATGGAGCAAATGGACTTCTAAAAGTTATCTTCATGTGCATTATGTAATTGTATTATTCTTTGGACTTTTTCTGTCACCACTACAGAGTACAGTAAAGCCTTATGAGGTGTACCCTTTTTATTTTATCCTTTGGGAAACATTTCTTATTTTTTTTATAATAACATAGCAGTGCCACCATGAAAGCATTGCACAGCCATAGTATCAAAATGTGTCTTATACTATGCTACTGACCTATTGTGCTCAGACTGCCACACTATATAAACATTATCTGGCTTGTGACTTCATTTAGTATTGTTTATACTATTATATTTCTATCCTACATAATGTGCTATAATTATTTTCCTTTGTTATGCTTGTTTTACAGTTCAGATGCATGCATATGGTCTCAGGATCCTTTGCTTATTGCCTGAGAATAACTAAGGAGAAAACTAGGAAAGCTGAAAAATGATGTTGACAAAATGCTGGCAAATTGCCCAAAATTCTAGAGAAGGTTGTTTATTAAGTCCTGGGTTTTGTGGACTGCATAGGAAGCCAAAGAAAGGGGAAAGAAACTCCTTAAAAACACTTTTCATTTGAAAAAGAGCTGATAATCTTTACAAAGTGATATAATGAATTCTTAGTGTCTCTGTCATTTACAGAATTTCTACAGGCTTGAAAATACCATTCTTGTTTTCAGCTCAGGTCTTTTCTTTAGCTCTTCACTAATGTAGCAATCATGTAGACTTGAATTTAGTTATTGGTGGGTAAAAAAAAATGCTTCTGAATGCAGTTAGAATAGAAGATTGTAAACCAAAATGTGATCTGAGCAGCATGCTTTCACCACAGAACAGATAGAGAAATTATCTCATTTTCAAATACACAATCTTTATTTCAGATAAAACCATTTTTTTTAAAGTACTGTTAAAAATATACCTTTAGAAATTCTGTTGAAAATCAGTCTGGCTGAATGATCCTGGAGGGTGAGAATAGAGTAGTGAGAAAATAATTTCAGGCTGTATTTCCACTCTTGTTAATGTTTGCATATTTCTCTTTGTGAATGTGTGTATCATCTACACTGCGATAATCATCAGGGGAGTACTATTAACAGATTCTCCCTATATGATGTTTGTTTTAGGGAATACTTTGCTTCAGACAGCAATTCAGTCGTGTAAGACTTCTTATATTGCAACCAGAGTGATTCAAGTTCAAGTTTTCCAGTTATTTAAAATTACACTTAGTAGAAGGACCTAGCTCCATATTCTTGGCAGATCTCACCATGGATTCATGTACTTGCTTTTGCTTAGGGCCCTCGGGGACCAAAGGGTGATACTGGTTTGCCTGGATCACAAGGACCCAAAGGACAACAGGTAAGAGAAAACGCATAGGGAAATGTACATTGCTGCAAAATGTGTTACATGACAAATACTTAGTGACATGAAAAGTTTAATGGTTCTAATTTTACTAGGGATTGGGATGTTAATAAGTTTATGTGAAAAATTTACTAAGTGGAAATGGAAAGAGTGCTAAACCAAATACCTTGATATAATACTACTGAGAGCTAACATTCCTGCCCCAGTGTTGAAATTCTGCAGTGCAGCATGTACTTATCGGAATTAGTTTGCATAAAGATTAAACATGAGGTGACCTCTTCTTGCAAGTTGATTATCTGTGCTGGCACACTGGGATCCTAACCGCAAGGGCAAATAAAAAGGGATTAATCTTTTCCTCCTCCTTTGGCACAGAGGACTTTGCCTACAGAATGAAGAATGCAGTTTTCCACTCCCAAAGAAAGTATAAGACTTGGGGAGCTCTCTCCTTAGGATCCTTTCTTTTCTTCCTGCACAACAGTGTTTATTTTGTGACACTGTTGAGAGGTGACTAAGGACTGACTCTGTTATTTTGTAGATATTGCAGCTGTTGTTTTGTTATTCTTCCCCTTCTCATCCACCTGCAGGAAGCAGGAGAGAGGAACATCTAAGTTATTTCAATCTTGGGGATAACAAAAAGTGAAACAAAAGCACTTTCTGCTTATTCTTTGCAAGTAGCTTTCTCACAATAGGAAGGCTTGGAAATGGTTAACTATGGTTTGAAATGGGATTGTGTATGAGCAGCATCTTCATTTCTCAGAATGAAACATCTCAGGCCACAAACACCAGTCCTGTCGTAAAGATTCCTGTTCTTTTACAGGGTGCATAAAATTATCAAGCTCAACCTTAAAACCAACTGGGTGGCTTTTGGGTTGGGTTGTGGGGTTTTTTTGTTTGGGGGTTTTTGTTTTCGGCTTTTTTTTTGGCTTCTGCTGTCCTCACTAGAAGGAACTCAAATCTTTGAAGCTGTTATATTTTGTTCCCACCAATAACAGTGATGTTTCTTAGGCTGCTTCTGAGGTGTGGACACCAGGTTGTGCTCAAGAGTAATGAAGCTGGGAACCACAATGAAGCTGCACAGATCCCTAGGAGCATTTTGTTTTAAGGATCATGAGATGCTTCTGTGGCAAACTCAGATCCATAAAATCACAGAAGATAAAGTCAGTGAAACCAAGCCTTAGGGAGCCTCCAAAGTATCCTCAGGGAGACTCCAAAGACTCCAGATATTTAAGAACCTGTAAAAGGAACAGATTTCTTCCATTAGAGATCTTAGGAAAGCTCTTGTACCAAGCTGCCTGAGCTAGGAGGAGGAAAGTTACAGCTGAAAGATTCAGAGTGGGAACCACCAGCTGGCACTGGGGACTGGTGATTCATGGCTGTGCTGTCGTTATTCAAAGGAACTACCCCTTGAAGAAGCGGAATGCAGAGAGTCATAATTTGAATGCTAGGAACTGGCCTTCATTAAATGTAATGAAGCTGCATCATGCTAGGCGTATAGGGAGAATGATTTATGCTTTACTGATAGTAAAATCAAGACACTTAGTGTTCTATCAAGATTTTACCTTTCCAGCAGGATTTCCTGACCGCTATCTAAGCTGATGGTACACAAGAAGACACCAATAGCCTGTCTGTCTTTGGCAGAGATCTCTTTGAACACAGCATGTTTCACATAGTTACTCCACTGAGACCAATTTAAAGTCTTTTTAAAAAAAATGATATTTATCTCAGAGATTTACAGGAGCAGGATCTTTTTAGTGTACTTTATTATATTTTAAGAAAGATCAGCCCTTTTGTCCCCCAGAATCAAGTTTCACCCTACTCACGTTGATATCACTTTATGTTTGATATTACAGCGTGACTAATCTGTGATGCTTCAAACAGCAGCATTGCTGCTTTGACTTCTCCTGATTCATTGGGAACTGCTTTGTAAACTCTACAAAATTACTTTGATAATTGCAGGGTGAAAAGGGAGAACCAGGAGCTATCATTGCTGCTGATGGATCTTTAACTGAATTATTAGGACGAAAAGGGGAGAAGGTGAGTTAATACTGTGTTGGGTTCCTCCAGAATGTTTGGTGGCCTTGCTACCAGCCACCTCTGCTAGATAGTTCAGGAGTTCTCCTTGTCATGTGTGTCTGTCCTCAACAGGGTGAAGCTGGAGTGGTGGGACCAGTGGGACCAATGGTAAGACATTTCCAAAGATGAGTGGATTCTTTTTTTTTTTTATTTTGCTTTGGTTTTACAGATAATGGTAAATGTAAATGTAGCATGTTTTAGCTTTTCATTCCTTCTGAGTAGGGATGATAATGAGTATTCATGCTTCAGGATGATCAGTGTCCTTCAGAAAATACTGTGGTTATATATGTGGTTCTGTAAACTGCTGACTAAATTCAGAATTTAAATTCTGGTAGCACAAATGTATCTGCTACTATCTAAACAGACAGTGAAATATCATCAGAGCTAGAAACTTACATAACTTGTGACTCTGAGAGGGCTGGGTTTGTTTATCCCTGAAGATAAAAGGCTGAAAGGAAGTCTAATTGCTCCCTGCCACTGCCTGGAAGGGAATTATAGAACAGACAAAGTCAGGTCCTTCTCGGAGGTGCACAGGCAAAAGATGAGTGCCAGTGATAACAAGTTTCAGCAAGGGAAATTCCAACTAGATATAAATAAAAAAAAAATCACAGTAGAAGTGGTTAAACACAGAAATAGGTGCTCAGAGAGATGGTGGATTGTGGATCAAGGTGCTGAGTGACATGACCTAACTTGGAAGTTTGTCTTGCTTTAAGCAAAAGGTTGGACTAGATGATCTCTAAAGTTGTCTTCCAAACGAAATTATTCTCTATTTCTGTGATTTCCATTAAAGCAACTGACTGCATCAGGCTCAATTTCTGTTGGTGCCAATAATTTTCAACTGCTTTGGATTCTGAGGAAGCTGCAAATCAGGCAGTAGAGTCAGACCATTTACTAAAATCAGGATTTAGATGCCTTCTCTCAGGTACTTGGCCTGATAATTTTGACTGGACACAGTTTGTTCTATGAAAGCACAAGAAATTAGTTATAAAGTAGGAACAGTTGCCTAGACTCAGTAGTGTTAGAGCAGGAATTAATTTCTTCTGCTCTAGTATTCCAAAGATCAAGGATATTCAGTGTTTCTTTGCTTTGGCTTTTGATGTAGCCTGGCCTCTGTTGTCCCTAAGAGAATGTTAGTTGGTGTCATTTCTGCGTACCAAGCTGCGTAGGAGATTTTGCCATCAGTTTCCATGGTCTTTAAGAGGGGCTAACTGGGTGTACTGAGTAACTGCTTTCTTAACTACCGTCTAACAGAATACCTTGAGGAGGCTATCCTAACTTACCAGAAGGGGAGTTTCTTTCCTCCTCCTTGTATGACTGCAAGATGAGTCTATCCTTTCAGCTCGACGTAAAATCACAGAATAATTTAGAATGGAAGTGAACTTCAGAGATCGTCTAGTCCACATCACCGCCCAAAGCAGGTCTGTTTAGCTCAGGGACTTGTCCAGTTGAGTCTTCAGCATCTCTTATGATAGAGATTCCACAGCCTCTCTGGGAAGCACATGCCAGTGTTTGACAACCTTTGGGGTAAAAGAAGTTTCTCCTTCTATTTATTCAGAATTTCTTACATTCTAGCTTGTAAATATTGCCAGTTCATCCTATTGCTGTGCACCCTTCAGGACATGTCCTTTTTCTATCAGTCACAAACTCTCTGTTTACATCTCCTTTTGTACTGCCACGAGACACTTCACACAATTCAGCATGCAGACAAGGCCACTCAGAGGAAGTTCTTGCCAGCACTGGTGCGAATGATTGCACTGCAGGAGAATTTGGCACACAGAACCTGCCTCAAGACTTTGCTCAGCCAGTTCCTCTTCTTAGTGCAGAATTCGAGTTCCATCATCGCTGCTAATGTGGATGATTCATTCTGATGTTGTCCCATAGAGAAAATCCCTTTGTAGTCAGTGGGAGTCCTGTGCAGCAAAAATATGCAGACTTCAGAGTGCTGGGCCAGAGCCTTTGTGGTATAAGTTATCAAAGTTTTCATTACTATGGTTCTGTTCCACTTTGCAGGAAGTAAGACTCTGGCCCAAGAAGGGCTTTGAGGTAGCTGGAGACTCTGATCATTCCTCTATGCTATCAGGGCACAATGAACTCATACACAAGTTTCCAGAATTTAAAAAAAAATTCCCTACTCATTGCTCCCCTCCTTTTTGAGACCAGCTGGACAGAAGAGAGGATCACAGGAGCTTGGAGCATGAGGAGCTATAGAGAAGTAGTCGTTGGGCAGATGAGCGCTAGGGATAGTCAGGAGGTCAGTACTGTAAATAGCAAAAGCAAAAGACATGGACTGAATCCAACCTCCTGCCACATGGGAAATGAGAATCTTTGGCCTGCTCGATTATGCTGTTCACTCTCAGCGGAGCAGACGGCTGCACGTGACTGAATAGGTGCCCTTAGTAAGAACTACAGTGTCAGCCTGCCCAAGTCCACTCTCTGCTGTCATAAATGACATTTCCTTTCCTGGTAAGCAGCCTCCTGTGGCTTCCTCACTTCCTTCTTTCACTTCCAGCTGTGACTGCTGGCTTCTGTCTCCCGGAGCTGCTAACATCTGACAGGGGTGGGCTGGCACATTGATAGAGGAAACAGAAAAGGTGGCTCCAGCACGGTCAGCTCTCACGTTGTTGATGGTTATTTAAAGTCCCAGCTAAATCATGAGATCCAGGCACTTTGTCTAAACTAATAAAAATGTCTGTTTCCAATCAGCTTCATCACTCAGTAAAGCTCAGATTTGCATATTCTTTAAAGGCTCAAATACCAGAAAGTGAAATAGAAAAATACCCCACAACGTTTTGGATTTCTTGGGTTTTTTTCAAACGCCATTATTGGATATGGTAGCACAGAAGGGTGGGTTGAATCATTTTGAAAGCTTGGAGACACAATATTGAAGTTCACATCTGCCAGAACATATGGGCAGAAATTACCTTCAAACTGGAAATTAAATAGTTTAATAAAGGTCCTGTCATCTTCGAAGAGTTTCAGCTGCCATTAGTGAGCTTTAAATTCTGGTTACAGTGGTGATGTTATGAATCTGTATGTTCACATGTTAATCATTTCTGAATTTTATCCCTAATCTAATCTTCATTTTTGGCATGATAAAAATTACAACAATTCATGAATTTCAGCTTAATGCTAAAATAAATCATCTCATCATTTTCAGATAAATTTTCCATGAATGTACGTCACTTTTCGATGAAATGGTATTACATAAAAGAAGGACAAACACTTGTCAGTTCAAAAAAAAAAAAGTTTTGTTAATTGAAAATTCTGTCAATATGGCAATAATTTAATTCATAAAATGGATTTGTAAGAGACTGGTATTTGAAGCCAGATGGTGTTCCCATGTCAATATTCTGCTGATCAGGTGAGATGCAAAACTCTGAGTATGCAAATCATCCCAGTACAACCATTGGACTATTTCTTGCAACCTTTCTTGCTCTTCACTTGCCCGCGCTCCTTCTATGCCTTGAACTGAGAAATAACACTGCAACAGAACTAGACTGTAAATAAGGAGACTCAGTTCTGCCACAGGCTTGCTTCCTTCTTAGTCTCCATTTTCCATAATAATCAAGAGCAAGAGAGTGGCAAGATGGGGATTTCCTCTTGGTTTTTGATTGTTTGCTAGTTAATATTTGAAGTAGCAGTCGCAGTGAGAGCAAATGTTTACTGCTCTTAAAGTGATGTGCTGGAATTGTGGTTAGCAGTGTCTGTCTTCCATCAGCATAGGTCTGTGGTAACCACCATATTTCAGGTAGCAATAGAAAGTCTGTTGCAATAATCAAAGCGAAAATACTGTGATTTCTCAGGATTAAACATGTCAGTTGTCACCTATAAGTGGTATCTGCATGAGATCTATAGACAGAGATTATTTAACCAATAATGTAAGAAGGGGTATCTCTTAGCATTTCACAAGACTGAAAAAAAAAGGAAATGAAACTAGAAAGGTTGATAGATATATATAAAGAGATTGTCTAGACCGTTGTGGTTTTGTTGAGTTTCGGGAAGCTGACAGCAGATGAAAGTTTGTGGTATCCTTGGGTTTACTGCTTTTTGTTGCTCACTTGCTGGCTGCCTAGAAGTTGCATGCTTGCAAATGCCAAATCATAGATCCCCCATAGTCCTGGACCCCTTTTGCCAGACAGACTGCTTGCCCTTTCTTTTTGCAGTCACTTGCATCACTACGTGAGGCCTAATGGGTCAGTCACTCTTGTATAAAGAAGGATCTGTTACATTTCAACTATCAGCCCCATAAATCCACATACCCAGGCTGGCAAGAGGTGTGTAGAAGCCTGACACTATATGAATTATCAGGTTGATCTACAGATATTTCCTCATAGGGCCTGATTCAGAAATAATTAGAAAAACAAAGCAAACAAAAAGGAGAAGCACAAAGTATACATTACTAGCCACCTTTTCTCTACTGATTGATACATTTAATTTTCCTCTGATACATGGTGGCTCAGTTTTGAATTGCGCATGTGACAAATGACTTCATTTCAGATAACCAGTCTTTTCCAAGACAGAGTTGACTCTTACACACCAGCCTCAGCTTTTGACATCACTCAGCAAAGCAAATAGAGAGGACATTCTGTGCATTCTCTACAGACAAACACGGACTGATTTTTAATACAAATATAAAACTATGCCTCTTATTCTAAATAATCAAATAGATGTCAAAGATATGTTCCATATATTCTCCATAATCACATTTTCTTTTTTGTCCAGGGACCAATAGGACCTATTGGACCTAAAGGAGAACTTGGTTTCCCAGGACGTCCAGTATGTATTATGCTCTCAGGTGAAACAAAGATAAACAAGCTTGTTTCTGACACATATTACATTATTTCTATTTATTTCAGGGCCGCCCAGGACTGAATGGACTGAGAGGTGTGAAAGGTGATCGAGGCGAAGCGCTTAGTGTAAGACCTTATGTATTGCAATTAGCTGAAAAAATCCTGTTAAAATCTTAAGTCAAGTCTGATTTAGATTAATTCCTTTAAAATGATGACAGGACTAAAAACCTGAAATGATCTGGAAATAATTTCATGCTTCTGCTACTTCTCATATCTGGTAACAATCATTGAAAAGTCAACTTCTGAGTCCATCTGGACAGTTCTTGCAGATATACACAGTTGTATCAGCTCCCAGGTGTAACAGTTATATGTGTGATTCACTGTTAGCATACCTGGTTCAAATAGCAAACAATCTGGGATTGACAATTCTTTCTATATATCAAAGGCTTCCTGATTCAGGCTATCAGTATGACCCCTCATGGTGTGAAGATACTCCCAAAAGCTCTCACAGATCTAGCACAGGTAGAAACAGCACTTGAGCATACCACATCAAAGTGGCATCTACTCTACTAACAAGGAGATTCTTGCTAATACCTACTACCTGTTTTAGTTGCCATGTACATGCATTCAGAATAATGACCACAGCATAGGTGATAGCATATCCATGCCCACCTACAACCTGTAATTATGGAATGACAAGTGATGAACCAAGGTCCTGGTGCTGCAAGTCTGTTCTGATGCAAAGACTTCATAGAAGTGGTCCCATGGTAAACATGAAGACTGGACTACACAACAACAAACACTGCTGAGCACAAGCAATAAGTTTCACGGTAGCAGAGCATGTAGAAGTTCTGATGTCATGGGGTAATCTGTGCTAGAAAAATTGGTACCCATACCACAACAGCAGCAAATAATATTTCGTCTGCATCCAAGATATGCTGAAAAGAACAAACAAACAAACAAACAAACAAACAAACAAACAACAAACAAAAAAAAAAAAGAAAAAAAAACACAAGTATTTTACTGTGTTAGCATAGAAATCATAAGATAGGGATCAGCTAGGCATCAGAAGAGGTGACATAGTTGATATCACTGTCAATATATCTAGCTGATATACACTGATATCAGCACACTTTTTTGTAAATTAATTTTGTTATATGAGTCCTCTGGTTCTACTTTGTTTAACAGAAAAAAAAAATAAAATATGGCTCACAAATTGCAAAACACAAGTATGTTGTCTATCTGGACAATAAATATAAGTGAGATGATGATATTGCTTTATCTGACTAACAGGAAGACTGAGAACTGATAAGTATCTAAGTATCTTTACAAAAAGAAAAGACTGGGTACTAAGGGTTGCTTGCAACTCTAAAGGTGTAAATAGACATATAGTTGCTGGAAGGTGAAACCAGAGAAAATAGACAAATTCTAATTGGAAGAAAATGACAGAAAAGGTGACTAGCCACTCCAGAAAATATTAAGGGAGAAGTTCCATTCCTCCATATCTTCAAACAGTGTCAAGGTTTGTTTTCTGGACTGTCTGCTCTAACCAAACAAAAAATATTAAAGCAAGTATAACTAGCTGATGTACATCAGGTTGCAAGATTAAAACAAACAAGCAAACAAAGCAGGCTACAAGTTCTAATAGTCGTTCCTGGAGTGCCGAAGGAAGATAAAATCTAATAGTTCTCTAATTATTGATGAGATGAAGTATCATCTCACAGAAGCTTGCATTGCTGTGGAGTGAAAGGTGGACATGGCAAGGTGCCAGGGTTTTAAATGACACAGTAAAGAGTTGGCATATTTGTTTGTAAAGGGCAGTCACACCTTCAGTCTAGCAGGGTTCCTTGAAGGTGCTAATTAGCACACAGTTATCTGACTGGCACTTGAAAATATATGAATCTCAGCAGTCTTGAGAATCCCAGAGCAGTCTTGGATACCCAGTTTTCCTTGGATGAGAGATCCACAGCCTTTTAGTTTCGATTTTTAGTGCTTTGGGGTTTCTGCTTTGGGGTTGGTTTGTTTGTTTATTTGTTTGTTTTCTGCTGGAAACAACAATCTTAGACCATTTTGTTCTCCACAGAGCGACTTAGATTAAATGTTAAAATTCACCTGACAGGTTGGTCCCCATAACTGAATGCTCAGTCTCTTCTCAAGCCATTTAACACAAAACTTCTTGGTTCAATGGGGCCCTCTGAGCCCCTTCACCTTCTTTCTGTAGCCTCCGTTGTATTGTATATGATAAGGCCTGTCTAATATCTTCCTTCTTTCACTTTCTCTTACCAGGGCCTTCCTGGCTTGCCTGGACCCCCAGGACCCCCTGGACCTCCAGGACGTATAGTTTATATCAAAGGAGTAAGTACAACCGGGGATCAACTACCGGTCTCTCGCTGTAGCAGGAACACGCTGCTCTAAAAACAGTTTGGAGAGGGAAACATCAAAACTTGTTTCAGGCAAGAAAAGTTTATAGTGGGTGACCTTGCTTGTGTGCATAGGAAAAAAATCTAACTGGGGCCACCATCATGTAGGAGCTTTGCCTCCCACGCAGTGGGACCTACTGGCAGACCTGTGAGAGCTGCCAGGCAGCCGGCTGGGCTCTCTGCTCAGAAGGTGCCAATTTTTGTTTCCAGACGTGTTTTGTGTCCTGTCACGTCTAATAGATCTATTTGCTGTGTTATCTGCTGTATTATACTTATGTTCATTAAAATAATTTCCCCTCTTGTTTTCAATAGACAGTTTTCCCAGTCTCTCCTAGACCTCATTGCAAAATGCCAGTGAGTCACACACAGAATATTGCTCCTAGTAAAATGCATGGCCACGATAGTACATAACCAAAGTAGCTATATACATAACCACAGTAGCTTTGCAGCTTTTCTCCCCCTGCCTTCTGCTTTGCACCAGAGATGTGTTTTACCTAGTCTTCAAGATAACAGATTTTCAAGTGTTTAGATACCCAAAGTTAGCCATATATAAAATATAGAGCAGAACTAGAAACTCTAGAACTTTTTGCTTAAAGCACTTTGATTTCTTGGTTGTCCTAACACTTTTAATGGCTTTCAAAGCCTGTGCTTCCATAGTTTAAGAGTTGCTTTGGAGAGCTGAATGTTTATACATACATGTACACCCATTTTTCAGACATATATATTAATACCGTCCCCATGTTGTTATGCCTTTAGCCATTTTCCATTTCCCTGTCCAAAATAAGACTTATTGTGTATTTCATAGTGGCATAAAATATGCATCAGAAAAGGAAGTTCATGTTCTTTATTTGACGTTCAAATGCAGTCTATTCACATATAAACATTTATTATCTCAGGAATATCAGCAGGTGAAGCTCTGTCCCCACTTCCCAACAGAAACGACAAAGCCCCCATTACCTTCAAAGGACCTGCAATTTCACACATAGTGTCAAAATAAAGGAGAGAGGGTTTAGATTTTCAGAACACCATGATGCAATTTTTGTTTAATGAATCACAGAAATTACATCCTACAATGAATTGTGAACAGAAGTCAGTCCTGGAATTACTTTCCCTAGGGCAATATTGTACTTTTAGGCCATGGGTTAGGTACTTGGAAAGGATTCTGTCTGAGAGCCACAGTCCTCCCATGAATAGTGTGATGTGCAGTATGGCTGTTCTACTTTTCTGTTAGACAGTATAGCTCAAAATAGTATTGTGCCCCCTCCTCCAATTTCCACTCCAGGTTTTTTTTCCGATATTTTGGAGAATCGGCTCTTTACTTACACTGCAGTAAATGCAGTGACACTTATCATAACCCTTACTGATGAAGAAAGATGTATCCCAGTTTATGGATCTTTCCATTAATTAATGATAAATGGTCATTACTCTTATGGTAATTTGACATTTCTAAGGTTTTGGCCTACCACCTCCAGGCACCATCTTTTTCCCTCGTTGAATTCCTCCCTTAAATCCTCCCATTCCCACTGTATAACATTCCTGTATGTTAATCATATATACCCATAATCATATACGGGTTAGTCAGCCTCCCCTCCGAAACCTGACTGGACAAGGCCCTGAGCAACCTGATGTAGTTGATCCTGCTTTGGGCTAGCAATCGCCATAGATGCCATCCAGCCTCAACTCTCCTGTGATCATCTGTGGAATGATTCAAGCAATACAAGTCTATTTTAGCTTAATTTCAGGTAACAAGAAAAAGTCACTTTTCAAGAAGGTTACAGTCAGTGAATAGTAGCAGTAATTTTTATGTGCACAAGTAATAGAAACCTGTACTTATAAACACCTCTTCATGCATCTGCGTATTCTAGATAGGCTTGTCCTACATTTGTGAATAATCTCCTAAACCTATCCGAGTTTATAGATAAGAAGTCTGCTGTACATGCCTACATAAATGAATATCGATAAAGAACTACAGACTGAACCCCACAAGTTTTCCTCATGTGAACTGAACTTCTGAAGTTAATGGAGCTATCCATGTGAGTAAGACTTCTAAGAGCTAATACTACAGGATTAGCGAGATGCAGCACCTTCAATTTTTTTTTTTTCATACGCTTGCTTAGATTCATATAAATAGTACTAGCTAGTACTGAGATCTGTCCCTTTCCAAGCACTGTGCCCAATTTTAGTTCCTGCACTGTCCCTGTGTTGAAGACAGGAAGTAGAGGTAAGTCGCATGCCCACTGTTCCAGGTGGCTGGTGTCAGAGCAGGATAAACTAGAACAGCTTCTGCCTCCCAGTTGTGGTCTCAATGCATCTGGAGCACAGGTTGGCATCAGACGGCAGGCATAGCCATGGTCTGACGGAAAATTTACAAACTCAGTCTGTTATCTTACAGCCAAAAATCAAACCCTGCTTTTGAATGCGGTGATGTAAATTCAGAATTGTTCTTGGAGAAGGAGTTTTCTGATGCTTCACTGGCATGACTGAGAGTAGGATTTGCTGATGCCTCCAAAACGCATGTTGATACCCTCTCGCTGAAAGCATGTTGCATGTTAAAGAGAGCACAGTCCTGAAAAAAGCTTGATCAGCTAATGCTCAGACTTTGTCAAACTGGAGATAATCCCAGAGTGTTGTTATAATTTTTACTGTGATAGCATGCAAATTTTCCAGGCTCTTCAGTCACACCAAGTAATGCACTTCCATTGGTTATTGCATATGGAAAATTTTTAATGGATTCCTTTGTCTCTAGGTGAGCACCCTTTACCCTGGAAATCAAGAAGCTGTTAATGTCCATGGTGAGTATGTGTTGTTCCTTGGTTAAATAAGCTTTTTTTGCTTTTTCTTAGTTAAGCTCTTTTTGCTTTTTCTTGGCTATTCTGTAGATGGTTTTATGGGGGCGAAAAGGGAAAAAAAAAAAAAAAAAAAAAGCTGGTCTCACTTCTTTTTCAGCTGAAACTGTAAGATCATGTCTTGATCCAGTCTCAACATGATGTAGGCCAAAGAACAAATGACCATAGGTCTGAACTTTGAAGACTAAGCTTTATAAATTGAGCAGTGCAACACAGTTTCTGTAAGATCTAATCTTAGAAGTCCTCTGTCAGAGCAGAGGTGTCACACATGGCTGCACCAAATCATTACTCTCTGCTCTGTCAATGTTCCTAGGATGAAAATTCTGAAGTCCACCTGATATTGCATCCCACCAAGCAACCAGGTTGTCTCATTCCTCCAACCACTCGTTCCTCCAGTGGTTGACTGGTGGTGTCAAAAACACTTCCCTTCTCTGACTGACTGATACCAAAAAACCTAAGCTTGCCATCCTTTTCTTGAAAGAAAATTACCACAAGTTATTAACAATTCTTTCTGTGAGGGGGTGGTGATTTTTCTGGCGAGACAGAAGAAAGATTTCACATCCCCTCCTTCCCTAGAAAGGTGAGGCCTTTGAAAATAAAGTTGTTTCTGGGGCTTGGGTGTCTCTAGAACAAAAACCTGACAGGCAGACAAGGGAAGTAAGATTAATGGGGAAGGAGGATGAGAGACTCCACACATGAGGACCCTGTGGAAATTATTACAAGGTTGGAGTAGTTCTGTTAATTTTTTCTCTTTTTAGTGGAGGGGGGGTTCAGGACATTAGAGGGTCAAACCTGTGGGGTATATTGATGACCTGAGCTTTATTTCTGAATCCTTAATGCTGAATGACTGACTGACCGCTTGCTAGTGAAAGCCTAAGTCTTCTGCTCGGCAAACTGTCCACATTTCTTTAAAGCTATGTCCACAGAATTAATCGTCCATAGAGCCTAGGCTGTTCAGTGATGTTCCTAAATTCAAAGGCTCCCAATTGTTTGTCTCCCCCTGTACACAGAGACTCCAAAAGATTTCTCTGCCCATATTTTTATTTTTAATAAAGAATCCATTATCTAACAGAATAAATGCCCACAGAGTGCCCCAAGTTCTTGGTTCAAGGCATTTTCCTTATTTCTAAGAGTTGACTCTAAGCTGATAAAGGACATTCTGCTCTTTTAGACTTTCAACCTAGGGAAAACTTGATAGTGAGGATTTTTACTACAACAATTTTGTTTAAAACATGTCAACTTTATTCAATTAATCATTATAGTTTCTTTTCTCTAAATGCATACTAGTTCTCAACCCAAACAGTAAATCCTAAAGTCACTCCAGCATGCATCCCTTCTTCCTTTGGTTTAAGGAGGAAAAGTCACCATTTATGTACAATTTTCATCCCATTTTAAGATTATTGTAGTGGTCTGCCTGTTCCCTTCTTGAGCTAGTACTCCACCAAATAAGCATGAAGTGGTCACTGTGCACACCAGGCATTAAAATAAATTTAAGTCTGCATCTGTGGTTCAGTGTTTCTGTCCTTCCTCAAAGACATGCTCCAAGGATGGATTCAGTTACATGTGAAGGGAAACAGGTAACAATTCTGCACCAAAAAAAAATGGTGAATGTTGATTGAAATAGTGCTGCCTTGACCAAACTGTGTGGAAGTCCTTCAGTTCCAAGGATAGCAGAAAGTTCTGTGACAGTTTTGCCCCTTCACATCTTCCTGGAGCTGGAAAAATAGTTGGGACATTAAAGCAAAGTCCCATAGCATCCACAGGGAGCAGCTAGCAGTTTTCTTATGATCCACTAGTACACAATGGAGGAGGTCTTCTCAAGATCACAAAGGAAATAATGTCAGTGGTCTTCTTTTTATTTAACTACTTATAAAAAACATCTATTCCTGCCTATTTATTATACTTTCAGAGTAATTTTGTGGAGAAAAAAAAGCAGTACTGCAGCATCTAATATACAGCCTGAAGCTGTTTCCCAGGTTCCATCTTCTTGGGAATTAAATCCCTGTTCCGATCACTCTGTAAATGAGTCTGGAGAGCTTACAGTTCAATCAGGCAAGTCAGAGCCAGCGTGGCAAAAACAGTACGTGCAAAACAAGTTGAATAATGCAGCAGTAGTATATGTTATATCAGCTCCAAATGCTGGGGCTTGGGGCTGTTTCTGGAGGAAGAGATCTCCAGCGTGGTGGAGGGAGTAGGCAGTGGGCTGCTAGCAGCTGGAACAGCTCCTCTCCTCAGCAGTGACTGAGGCACTTGGAAAGACAAGGCCGTCTTGATCCAAATGGCAAAAGAAAGGAAGAGAAGGAAAAGAGTACAAGGGATCAGGGTAAGGGGCAAGAGTGGACATAATAAGTGGTAAATAAAGGTATCTTGAAGAAGAGGAAGTCAGAGCTTGCTGGTATAATCTCTGTATGGGTCTCAATATATTAAGCTGACCTAAAATACTGATGGCTGGATTGGAAATCTGCCTGGAAAATAACTCTGAAGATGTCACAGTTGGACAGTTAGGGTTCAGCTGACAACTAGGAAAACTGTCTAACTGCCCACCTGAGAGACTCTGTGATTGGCCTCAGTGCAACATAAAATGCATCTCCACTGTTCTGTCAATTGGCCTTTGAACATGGGCCCACCAGCTGGAGGCTGTCACCCCATAGATCATGGGAATATGACCAGCTTTCATCTTTCATGACTGAAAGACAAAAGAGAGGGGCAGAGAGGAACTGTCTAGAAACTTCTGTTGTAAGATGGGGCCCTGAAAGGGAAGATGTCCATCTCGTTCTTCTATATTTGTAGCCATTCTGCACAACTAGAAGGAAAAATGCTGTAACTATTTTTCAAATCAAGGCTTTCTTACCAATAACATCTTATTTATAAGTGGCCCAGGTCATGGCGCATGGCCTGGATACCCAAGCAAGAGATTTTTTCCATGCTTTTCCCAGTGAAATTCACAAGTGTAATCGGATCAGGTTAGAAAAGTGAGTGTTCTTAGTGATGCACTGACTACCAGCATAGATCACTACTGACTACAGGGGCTGCAGATATCACAGGCAGGGAACCATTAAAAATTACTTCAAGAGATGTGTCTTGTATCTGCTTGTCATTGTACTTCAGCATCCTTCCTGCTCATAACTCAGAATAAGACCACCTCACCTTAAACTTGAAAAGACATTTCTACCTAAGGGAATTGACTATAACATGTTATTTTGGCAGAATGATGTTATTTTACATGACTCTTGCAAAGATATTAGCAATTACTTAGGCAGAACAAAGAGAGAAAGCAGATCTAAGAAGTCTAAATACTCAGGGGTTTTTTACCCAGATATTTTTTAGGGTAAGTTTACTGTGAAAATTGAATAATATCTGGAAAAATAGAAGGTTTGGCCAGATGTATTTGGGCACAATTCTACCCTCAGCTCATCCAGATGGAAAATTATGCTAAAAGCATTTCTGTTCTCAGAGAACATTTTCTTCATTATTAACGCTTTTATGACATGAAAGAGAAATAAACAATAACATTTTTGACATTCACAGTTGCAGACATTATCATGTATTGGTCTGGTTTGGAGCCTGGCGATAGTAGAAGGTGTGGTATTGAACACAGAACCAAAACTCAAGAATAGTCTCTACGCTTGTCACAGTGAGAACAGGTTTCTTCAGAGGGTCTTAGACAAGGTGGTTAGGGAAGGGAGAGTGAAAGACTGTCTTGTAAAAGAGAGACTGTCTTGCATGTGTTGGGGTTGATAAGAGAGGACAATGAGGCAGCCATTCAATGTTCACGAGAGCGAGACAAGCATATAGGAACTGGAGCCATGTGCCCCACATGTATGGAAAAGCCTGCTCACACTTTCGGTGGTTTGGTTGTCACTGCTATAGTCTCTGCTGTTTGCAAGTTCTCACGAATTTGTGATTCTTTTATGACAGGTGGGAAAGCACACAGAGATTCCTGGGGGCTGCACAGCTCAGCAGACTTAAAAGGGGAAAAGGGAGACAGAGGTGATCCAGGACCACCAGGTACACTAAATATGATATGTCACTGACATCCTGTAAAGGAATACACATTTAACTTAAAAAGCAATTCAACAAAGTACTTTGGTACTTACCCCTGCAGCCCTGCCTGCCCAAAGACTTACATGTAGGTTCCTTGCTGAACTGACCCAGAGAACAGCAAAGCCCATAATGTTATCAAAAATGTCTTCTGAAAAGAAGTATCTGTACTGCACATTTCTGGGTATTATGAATGTTTTAAGTACAAGAACAGATATTGAAATGTAACTGGCTGTTCAGAGATTTTTTGAAATATTAGAAGGATATCATGTCCACTTCCTGAGATATCATTTTGTTGTCAATTGTTTTGAGCCAGTGCTTCCCATTTCAGGGTAACGCACCTCTGCATTCTGAGTTCAGGGCAGTCATTTGTTGGTGACAGTCCCGGCAGGAGCTGAAACTAGATGATCTCCATTTCAGCTTTTTAATATTCTATGCTCTATTTGTGATAATCATGAAAAGTCTGTGTGAACTAAAAATACCAATTCACTGGTGGTAAGAGCATCATAACAGATGTTCCTCACTGAAGATTTACTTTTCTGTATCAAAAAGTTGATACACGTTGCTAATTCTTACACATTCAAAAATAGTTACAGAAATAGGCATCTATTTGAAAAGTCTGCTGTTACAAACTCTTCCTTTTCTATACATTTTTTTAAATCTCATATACTGAGATAAAGCTCTGGTCAGAGCCAGAAATCATTTGAAATAGAAGAAGAAATATATCAAACTAATGTTGTTATACCATATTTATAATCTTTGTTGTCTAATGTGTTGTTAATAAAAACAAAACTACATCTATATGGATACTTCTGTCTTTGTTCCAAAGGCACAGTTCTGATGGCTGAAGATGACATTTTGGTTATTTTTAAGAGGACTTCTGTTTGCTCAAATAAAACATGTTTCATTGTCTTGTCCTGATCAATACCCAGTGCCTTAAAATAAGTGGTTAGTGCTTCCTAATCATCAATAAACTTGTAAAAAGAGAAGCAAGAAATATTTATAAACAGAAATTAAGAAAAATTTCTCTTCTGTACTTGTTTATCCACCATGAACTTGTCTGTTCTCTCCCAGGTTTTCTGTTTAATGCAAATTAATGTCCTACAAGTATTTTTGCCTATATCTGATGATTTCAGGTGCTTCAGAATGACAGGATTATGAGAGGATTATGTTTACGAACTTGTTGTAAAACTGCAGCTAGTGAAGGATGGTGAAGATAACACAAGTATTCTGGTTAAACTGAAAATTGAAGTCACCTTTCTCCTAAAATAACAGAGATTTATTAATTTGTTTGCCATCTGAATCCAAATAGGTTGACTACCTTCAATATTTCATGAAGTTAAAATACGTTAACTAAGACCAATTCTGTTGTTGATGCAAAAACTCTTTGGTTCTTGCTCACTGATATGTTTGCTAAACTGTTCTTTCATACAAACCAATTCTCTAGGTCTCACAGATATCCACATAATCACTGACAGTGAAAGTTCACAAGCCAGAAGTTGCAGAGTAGTAGAAATTGATTAAAGTACAGGAATTTTTCAAAACCTTCTCTGAGGGACAGATGGCTGAAGCTCCTTCCACTACAGTATCTATTGAGTTCCAACAATCAGAAAAGCTTTCTGAACTGTGGTACTTGTCCATGCCATGGATTTAATTTTTCTTTTCACAAAATGTCTCCTCTCCAACCTTACAAACAGGCTCTATTAATTGGTACCATGCAAAAATATGAATCCAACATGAAAAGTGGGTAAATGGCAGGCCACACTTTATTGAGCTACTCCGTATAGAGGCTGTGCTCCAACCATACGTGCAATGCTTCAGCACAACCCTGGTGTTTCTGGCTGGAGGAACAGAGTCTGGAGCCTTGTAAGAAAACACATTTAGAAATAGAGGAGCAGACTTCACTGTATCATAGTCTCAGACCCAATTGCCTAAGGCTGAAGATCTGCTGATCACAAATGCAGTGTACTGGCCCTTGGCCATATTCACCCCCCTTCCCTCCTGCAGGTCATTCCCCAAAAGGCCAACCTGGCATTCAGGACAAGCATTTCATCCAAATCCACACTTTGGCCTGTTTGTTTGTCCTGACACCTTCTTTTCTGTATGAAGAAGTTTCACCCTTTCCTCTGTGAATCCTGGAAGGAATGGAACTAAAGGAAAAACAGTAAGGTAGAGCAAGATGGCCTCTCACTGGTCAAGCATTAATTCTCGTAATAAGGGAGTTCTCTTGCTCCAGGGACTAACTTAGTTTCTAGATCAGATCCCAAAGCTGAAAGCAGTGTATCTTCCCATTTTCTAAAAGAAAGGTCACCAAAGTTCTGTGACTTTATGGTTGTTGGGAGGGCATGATTTTGTTATTGATTATGTGCATGCAAAGTGCCATTAGCCTGTTCCAGCAATGCCTGAGAACAAACTGAAATGAAAATGTCTGGTCTACCAGCAGAAGCAACACAACAAAGCATATTTCCCCCTGCCTAGTGTTAAAATCTCTACAGGTCCTGCTAAAAATTGCCTACCAGCCCTCCACTGAATGTCTACAGAAAAGGACTCAACTAGACTTGCCCATTGAGAAGCCATGCCCATCAAAGTTCCCTGTCTGTGTATACTAGGAAACCAAACAGATCCAGGTCACAAAGGACAATTGTCTTGCAGTTTAATTGTTCCCATGTTTCCTGGCCTGGATTAGGCTTACAAGAAGTAACACTTTCCAAGACAATGGGATGGTCTGGGGGATAGCTTAAGCCAGGGACTGGTGCAATAGGCTGTATGAGTCTCTCATGCTTCGGGAGTGAGGAGGACAGTTTAGCTATACGGATGTGCCGCTTTACCTCAGGGCTGAGGAACTGGTCTAATACAGATCACCTACCAGTGTAGGTAGAGCCCACTGGTTCCCTATCACAGATTTTTGACTTCCACTTTGAGTGGTGACCTCCCTCTTCCTCATGTACCTTGCCCAGGCCTAGTCTGCTTGCTGGTCATCCTAGAAACATCCCAGATATTACCCAGCATAGAGGTTAATACTAAGCAACATCTGAGAAGGACACCTCCCATTCCATTCCACCTGTCTGTTCCCCATCCCCTCACATGGAACAAGCAAATCACTGCAGCAAGCTGTAACTGACAGAGTTGGAATAAAATCAAAATAGCTGCTGTAGTGGGAATACATTTCTGTCCCAGAGTACAGGTGTATACAATGTCTGCTTGACTTAATTGTAGATGAGATAGCATATTGAGATCTGAGTCTTATGGATGGCATAGAGCTGGACCCAGAGATCTCAAAAATTAATCAGAACACGTTTGAAGAAAATACGTTGAGCTGTTACGAGCAGCTGTAAAAGTCTTTTTTCCAAGTGTATGCCAGAGAATATATGAAAGCTTTTTAGACTTTCTGTGCTGACTTCACAGCTTTGTCTGACTAACACTGGCAAACACAACACAGGTGGTGTAACCATTGATACTGATATTGGTTTGTGCTGCAGAAAAATGTCAAGGGACAATTTATCTATGATCAACAGTATGGCTGTAGCACTTCCTATTTCCCTTGTCAGATATGGTACTGTCCTTGCATGAAAGATAATGCAACTACTGATTGGCCACCCCCACCTCTGGAAAAACATAGGGAAAGCTTTTCTTTTACCTTCATTGCCATCAAAGGGGTTAATTTGAATGCTTCTCTTTCACCCCCTGCCCAGCTGCCATTTTTTCAGAAAACTGATATTTTTTCATCTTTGAGCCTTCTTTATTTTCAAATTTGTCTGAAAATCACGGTCAGATTCAGAAGTTACTAAGGTTGGAGGAGTGACAGACAAGATAAGGCATGTAATCCTTGCTTTGTTAGGAAACCAAACTAAAAATTATCTGTTAGATTTAAAGGTTAATGTTATTATTGTAAATAATTTTCCTTTAAACTCCTAAACCAGTAATATCCAAAGCAGTGCTTTTAAAAAGAAAATTACAGATAATTATTGTACTTTGTTGTATTTTCTTAATTTTTCAGGTCCACCTCTGTCTCCATCATATTTCAGCCACTTTATTAATAGCATAAAGGTAATTATATCCCATTTGTGTTTGAGTTCTGTTAAGCTTTTTTTTAAGTGTATTTTACTATAAATTAAGCATAAAACAGTATACCATGTTGAAATATATAAAACAGATAAGAGCATCAGCAATTACAAATTATATAAATTTTGTAAACTCCAGCTGCATAGACAAGATTTTTACAAGTATAGAGATAGCAGATGTCAGTAGTATATAGAGATTACTTTAAAAAAAGAGTTTATTACTGAGGCTTTTTACCTTCCCGGTGGTATTAAAGTGAATCATAATTCAATGTTACCTAACAAAAGTTGGTATAAATTATCTGCCATAAATGAGTGCTTTTGTTCCCATGCCAGCTCAGGTAAGAGATGTCCATTACCTAAACAGCTTCTAGAAAAATTCAGCAACAAATAACACATAGAGGTTGGGGGATGGGGAGGGGACAGGGGGAGGGAGGGAATCACTTCAGTGTAATACTATTTATCTTTTAAGCACATTGAATAAAGTAAGTTAAAGTGATGGAAACTACTTTTCCTGGAATCTCTTACAAGGAAATACACCCATACCTTGATGTGTTTAGTCTCTCTCTGTTCCATTATTCTCCTGACTGCTTCAAGTGACAAAAATGAATACCAATGCAGTATTATTTTAAATGTTTTTGAGTGAACAAGGCTCTTCATCAGTAGATCCGAAAAAAAAATAATCAAGTTATCATTTAATGACACCACGAAAAGCAGAGTACTGTCAGTTTCCTTGAAAGACTCTTAGTGCCATCTTGTTTTCTGATTTTGTTTCTGTTTGAGTGAGGGCACCTAACTTATTCCCATGACATAAAGTGCCCCATGCATGCATGGCAGAGCTGAAAGGACTTCTTTGATCTTATAGAGTAGCATCTGTAGCTTTACAGCTTTAGCTACAAAGAACTCATTTTTCATCTACTCCTTCATGTCTGCAAAATGGCATGCCATACAGAAAGCTTTATAGTCCTGTTTACTGGGAAACTAAAAAAAAAGAAAAGTCAGAGGAGGAGCTATATATAGGCATCTCTCCTGGCTTTCTGCAGCTACCTGCCATTCTTGCTTTGCCCTTTGTATCTTCTATTCACAGATTTATTTCTCTGAAAGGTGAAACAAAGTAGATCAAAAAAAGTCAAAGGAAAAAAAAAAAATCAGCAGATAAACAGAAGGAAATAATGTGAGGAGGAACCTACAATTGCTGTGGCTCAATTTGCACAGAAAGACAATGACCTGTTATTTAAACGCTTCTCCTTACCTGTCACTCTGTTCCCCAAACTAACTGATATTCAAAGATGAAGGACAGAAGACTTGCAGTTCAAAGTGTCTGCAATTTTGTGTGGTGTCTCTTCTGTTATCCTGGTACACACCCCTGCACTCCTCTGTCATCCTATGCACGGTAATCTTCACTTTGCCACATACTTTTAAATAGCTGGCCATTCCATGACAATCTTGCTTTGTTTTTTCCTTGATGATGGAGAAAAGCAGAAAGCCAGGCTTTTATGCTTCCTCTGACTTTCCCTTTGCCTCCAGCTACAGCACAGGACAAGGTTTTGCTGGGCAGAAGAGCAGGAAATAGCAACAGAGGCATTTTCTCTGCCACCACCTAACCCCACCGCCCCCAGCCCCTGCCCTATTGAGCCTTGCAGCCTCAGTAGAGAAAGCAGTCCTTTTTGTTCCATGTCACTGAAAGAAGTGGTGTCAAAAAGATTTTAAGCGGATGCTTTTCTTTATTAAGCTCAGAGATTTCATGTATATTTAAAAGGTCAGTGAATAGAGTTCTGATCTCATTTCAGCTCAATGTTTTAAAATATATTCTCTTTAAAGGGTGAAAAAGGAGACAATGGAGTCACTGGTGTAAAAGGAGAAAAAGGAGAACCAAATGGAGGGTTTTTTCTGACAGGACCTCCTGGACCACCTGGAAGACCAGGATTAGTTGTAAGTCACGCAAGTTGTAGAATAGGGATATTTGTGGGTATCCACTGTTTTAATTTAGAATGTACTAAAAAAAGACAAACATCAAGATGATGCGAACTTTATAAAAACTTATATGCTAACCATTAGGTGAATATGAGAGAGCTGCATTAGGCATAAACACTGACACTTCACTCTTGTGCACAGAATTAATTTGCTATGAAAAGTTGATACAGTGTTATGCTAGCTGCCTAATACAACTACATCAGTGTATAGATTCATGCTATTAATAACATTACAAATCAAGGCAGTATGTATAACTTGTGATGCTACTACTTGTATCCTCATAGAGGCCAAAACAGGCTACATAAAGTTAGACAGAGCCTGACTTGAAAATTATTGGCCATCTAAATAATCGATCTTATTTTCTACACCAGTAATCCAAAAAAATTGATTAAAATTCCAGTGTGTACCCATCTGGATCATTCCTGTAAAATTCTAGTACTGTCTAATCTCTACCTGCTTGTTTTACGTTCTGGTAATGTCCACCACAACTGCTTTGGAGTCAAATGCACTAATTCTTTGGAAACTAGTTTATTCCTGAGATCTAGCAACAAATGCGTGGATTGCATTACTCTATTGTTATGTTCTGCACCAAGGAGCATGAATGGGTGGGTCACAGCTGAGGACAAAGCGTTAGGTTAGCAAGCACACCTTCAGAAATCCCCCTGGTGCTATTCCAAGTCGCTGAGAACCATCTCAGTGTTTAGAAATTGTGCCACTGGCAAGAAGGAGTTGGATGGCAGAGCTGAGATCCACCAGAGACTGAGCACTCCTAGTCCAGGGTCCAAAAACTCTTCCATGTACGCAGGCCAGTTTGAGCACAGGGAGCACAAGCCCTCCTCACTGAGGCTGAGGACACATTGCTAAACTGAAAATGTAGAGAAATTGAGCCTTTTTGATCTGGAAGAATGGCAGCTGGAGAGCTCAAGGGGTATGAGCTGGCATTTTATCACAGGAGTGAGAAGACCACATTCATCATGAGATGAATGAGACGAATGTCTCTCTATGCACAAGACCTTGTATAGACACATTTTATGTTAAAGCTTTCCACCGTGTACCTTCAGACAAACTTACCTTATAAGCACATCAAAGCAAGTAGTCTCAGCACGATCAGAGTTGAGATCCAGGACTCTTGAAAGTATTGTCTAGAGTTTTGCAGATATCAGCTACTCAGGAATAGGTGTGAGGACTTCCAGAAAGTTTTCTGAAACTTAAATTATTGAATTTAGTTTAGTATATGATCAAATATTTCATTTTCCATTAATATCCATGCCTCCTTGAAGAAAAATACCTACAGACTCATGTCTAAACAGTGGTGTGGTGACAGTGATTTAGAAAACATTTCCATCAGAGATGAAGGCCCTGCAGCAGTGAAACTGATACACTCAAAGTAATACTGTTTATCACTCATAGGGACCAAAAGGGGATTCACTAGTGGGACCCAGAGGACCTCCGGGGTTACCTGGCCTACCTGGCTTACCGGGTTATGGAAAAATTGGACCTCCTGGCCCACCTGGCCCACCAGGCCCACCAGGACCTCCTGCAATATATGGCTCAGGTGAGAAGGTGTGATTTTGCTTTTCACTGTATATGCAAGTGCATAGGCATGCACCCACACCCCCACACAGGCGGCCGCTTCCTTTACACACCTCTTCTTCCCTCTGCCCGCCCACTCTGGACACCCGAGTCAGGTTGCTCCCCTTTCTCCTCCTGCCCTCCACTGATTTCTCCAGTGGGGTGAGTTGGAACTGGGAGCACAAAAGGGAAAATTACTCTGCAAACAGTTTTCATTGACTAGTTCCATGAGAGCGCTACTGCATGAAAAACCTTACCGTGTCTGTGAGGAGTTTACATAACGGAGACAGGCTGCCTTAAGAACTTTGCAAAATCTATCAAACTGAGCAGCTGGCTACATTTGGGAAGATGTTAATGTGGGCCAAGATGCTTCTCTTGTCGTGAATGGATTTAAATATAGTTGGCGGCCAGTCACAAGTGGTGTTCCCCAGGGCTCAGTACTGGGGCCAGTTCTGTTTAATATCTTTATCGGTGATCTGGAGAAGGGGATCGAGTGCACCCTCAGTACATTTGCAGACAACAGCAAGTTGGGCAGGAGTGTTGATCTGCTTGGGGGCAGGAAGGCTCTACAGAGGGCTCTGGACAGGTTGGATCAATGGGCCGAGGCCGACTGTGTGAGGTTCCCCAAGGCTCAGTGCCAGGTCCTGCACTTGGGTCACAACAACCCCACACAACCCTACAGGCTTGGGGAAGAGCGAATGGAAAGTCGCCTGGTGGAAAAGGACCTGGGGGGCTATTGGTTAACAGGTGGCTGAATGTGAGCCAGCAGTGTGCCCAGGTGGCCAAGGCCAGTGGCATCCTGGCTTGTATCAGCAATAGTGCGGCCAGCAGGACTAGGGCAGGGATCATCCCCCTGCACTCGGCACTGGTGAGGCTGCACCTCGAATACTGGGTTCAGTTTTGGGTCCCTCACTGCAAGACACTGAGGTTCTGGAGTTTGACTGAAAAAGGGCAACAAGGCTGGTGAAGTGTCCAGAGCACAAGTCTCATGAGAAGCAGCTGAGGGAACTGGGGGGGTTCAGCCTGGAGAGAAGGAGGCTGAGGGGAGACCTGATCGCTCTCTCTAACAACCTGAAAGGAGGCTGTAGCAAGGTCGGGGTTGGTCTCTTCTCCCAAGTAACAAGTGATAGAACAAGAGGAAACAGCCTAAAGTTGTGTCAGGGGAGGTTTAGATTGGATATTGGGAAAAATTTCTTCACTGAAAGGGTTGCCAAACATTGGAACAGGCTGCCCAGGGAGGTGATGGTGTCACCATCCCTGGAGGGATTTAAAAGATGTGTCAGTGTGGTGCTTAAGGACAGGGTTTCAGGGTGGACTTGGCAGTGTTAGGTTAACAGTTGGACTTGATGATTTTACAGGTCTTTTCCAACCTAAATGATTCTATAATATAAAGGCAGTACCCACAGTAAAGTTTAGGTCTAGAATAAAACTGCTGGAGAACTGCTTCTAAAAGCTAGTTGCTATGCAAATACTGAATAGAAGCAAAACTCTGGGAGGGTTGGTTACTCTACCTTTAATGATTTTCGATTTATTGGATTAGAAAAGGAGTTAAATGTGCCACAAATAATCACATCAAGGGAGGAACTTTGCAAACCAGGTGGCACTGGAGCTTCAGGTGGATTATTTCAAACTTTCATCAAAGGGAATATGTGTCTATAAATCAAGTGTCACTGTTCAAGACATTTGTGCTTTTGACTTCTCCTGGGTCACAGGTCTACTAGTGACAAGGCTCATACTGTTAATGTCCAGCCCTTACATTAGGTTCTGGTGGATGGGGTCCTGGGCCCCTCCGACGTTACTCGACAGTTCCGCCTGAGTGAGTGACCGACTCCTCCCTCTGGGAACTGTGGCCAGCATGGGAATCCAGCCAAGTGAAATCAGAGCAAATCATTCCTTAATCTCAACTGAAGATGGCATACTAACAGAAAGGGAATTGTTAACTGAATAGAGAGGCTATAATGCAGATCTGTCCTGCCTAAAATTTGGGCAGGTCTAGGTAATATAGAGATCTCTCTTTCTGAGAACTAACAATCAGTCAGTTTCCCCACAAGACCTGTGCCTCCAGTATGCTAGTTTGGGGAGCACACCTCTCTGTCTCAAATTTGTTCTCTCCAGGTATTTCTTGAACCTGGTCAGACTGCTTTATACAGCTGCCCAGGGACAAGGTGAGACTACCAATCTGTTATCCAGTAAATATCATTAATTGAGTGTCTATCAGAAGTGTTCATCCTCTGAAAACTATTTCAGAAAGAAGAAATCCTTAATATGCTCAATGTTGGAACATAGGCCTGTATCTGAATTAGCCTCTGATCATCATAATATGGACAGATCCTCAGCATCCAGAAAGTCCATAAAGGCTTTCAGGCCTTTTCCTGTGTAATCTCTATCAAGCAGTTCTGAATATTAGCTAACAGACCCAGTCATACAAACCAAATTATTTTTAGTATTCCATCCTTATACTTTCGCTTATCCTCTCTGCCATTAGTTTTCATCATCCTCCTACACATTCTCCTCTTTGCTTTGTAAGAAACTTCTTTACACGGCACACTGATAGATGTCCATTTTACTAAACATTATGAACACAGATGTTTATTTATTTCCTAACTTCAAGGCACAGTTATCTCTGTTAAAGCTCTGATTGCAATATGGGGCTCACGTACTGTAATACAGGAAAAGAGGAATGGCTTATCTGAAGATAAATAGCCCTGAACACTTCTGAGAACTGAACCTCTTTCCCCTGACATTGACATGAAAGAACTACTCTGGAGGATCCTTGTAAATGCTTCAGAGCCATAGATTCTTCAATTTGTAAAAGGTGATTTCAAGGCTTCTCCAGGTTTCACAAAAACAAACATTTTTGAAGACTATAACTTGCTTTATTGATGCATAACTGCAGCCTCCTAATTCAAATTGCAGATCAGTAAAACACAAGCTCTGGAATGCAGCAGTGCTCTCAGGGTTAGCCTTTACTGACTCTTCAATGGCTCAAACTATATTTTAAAAACATATCTCTCAATCCTGCATTCTGACTATCAAACTACTTCAGAGTGGAAAGATACAATAAAAGAGAAGATAGCCAATACTTTTTCTTCATTGAATGCATTTGTGGGGGTGAGGGGAATTTATAGCTCCACTTTCACTGAAGATCACTGTGATCCTGATTCCTTTGAAAATTACAAAGGCAGAAGGTACGCTCCTTTAGCTTATCTGCTGTTACTCTCCTTCAGTCCGTTTAGTTGCTGTATCCAGCAAGCCATGGAGGAGTACACTCTGGTTATTGTGGGAAGGGCTACCAGGTGTGCTTACCAAAATTTCTCCAAAGGGTGGTTTCAGAGAATATTCCTACATTCCACCATTTCTGCTTCGCTTTTGGGGATCAGTTCTGTCCATATTTGGGTTTATGGTGCTATTTGCACAGCTAAGAGCAGCTGAACACCATTTTCAAGTGCCCAGCAAGGTAAGCATTGCGGAGTGGTTAGGAGCTGGACCTTGCAGTTCTTTGTGGATGTTTCACACTCCAGATTCACCAGCACGCTAGGACATGCTAGACGTCCCCATGCTCAGGTAGTCTGACAACTATCCACCAACTATTAGATCTCTTCCTTCCAAGTCATACCAGCTCTCATCATGCCTTTCTGTTCCTAATCAGATTTCTTACTGAGCCTTTTATATTCCCCCCCAGCAGCATACTGATGTACTCTCCTGGATACACCTGGACCTGTTTTATTACCCCCTACTTTGCATCTTTCTTTTCCTCTGTAGAAGGAGTTTCTACTTATAGTTAATACAAGGTCTGCCCAGATCTCAGCTGCAGAGCCCAGCTGGGACACACCGCAATGCTCAGCAGCGTCCATGTGCAAATTTCGGTTATCTTGATATGCGTTTTCATAAGATGCTTGCATTCAGTCTTCCATATCTTTCCTTCTTTCCTTCCTTAAAGGAAAGGAGTTTTCACTCCAGAAAGCAGGGACTTTCAGCTGAAGGTGAAATTCAATTTGGGAGTAGAGACAGGTACTAGGTACTAGATATTGTGGACTGCAGACTTAGAAGTTCAAGTTCACACCACTGGAAAATTGTCTGTTGCTTTGAAACATAAGCTGAGCTTACACCTATTAATTTTTACCTACGAAAAAGTTAATTTTTGTTTACTTCTACAGCAAAAGAAATGGTGAGTCCCTCAAAGCCTATATGGGCAAGAGCTGAAAGCTCTTCCTCTTTCATATGCACATCATTAACAGCTAGCAGAAGAACACTATGGTCAATTTAAGTGGATCTGGTTCTTCATTTGCAGAGTATCTACAACAGATTGCAATCTGTTGACCTTAACCTCCCAAGTAACAGAGAAAAGACTAAGTTTCACCACTGCTTTTAAAAAATCTTTAGAATGCATTTTCTGTTTGAACACAGCTATTCAGAACTTGACTATGTAAGGCCTATGGCTATTTAAGGCTCCCACTATTCCTAGACACCACCACTAAGTCCTTTCTTTATGTCACTCACCTTCTTTCTCAAAAAAGGTGACCCTCAATGTGTATTATATGCTTGTTTTATTTTAGCAGCTGCGATGCCTGGGCCACCAGGTCCTCCTGGAGAGCCAGGGTCACCTGCAACCAGGAATCTGGTAAGACAGCAAAATAAGGAAGTTTGCCATTGAAACCCTGTTTCAAATCTTTTGTTATTCATTGGTAGCACTGAGAGAGGAGGGAAAGCTCCATCCTGTGTTTTTATTTAGTAGAATGTTTCCTGGTTTTCTGAACCTCAAGATTTGTCAGCAGGGAATCCACATAGCTGGGAATAGTGGTGAGAAGAGAAGCCTGTCCAATGTCTTTTTAGTAATATCCTATTCAAACAAATGCAAAGATTGATGGAATGCTAAAATAATGGAAAAGTGCTTATTCCATGTTCGAAGCAATGTCTCTGAAAGAGTGTGGAAACTTAGCATGGTGAGATACTAGAATAACTACTGAATGCCCAGTTTCCATGAAAAAAAAAAAAAAAACAAAACACCCACTTTACATTACTGGATTAAAACTCAGGAATATAAGTCATTTGATGCTAAGAAGAAAACTCTAGATTTCCCTAGCACATCTAAAAATTGTTGTGACAGAGAATACATATAAATTTGTTTCCTTACTGCATGAATCAAATCAGAATCATATTCCAGATATCATTGCAGTAAAAATGACAGCTAAGGCTTCTGTCTTGTTAATTTCTAAATTAAATATTTGTAGTTTCTGAAAAAAAAAAAATTATTTGAGCTAGCAGAGGAGGTTCATTGCCATTTTTTTCCTTTTCCACACTCTCACATTATGACAGAAAAGCAAATTTGCTGGATATCTTTGGCAATCATTTGAGAATACATTAATAAAGGAGCAGACTTTCAGATCATCTACATCATATCGAATGAACTAACAAGAATCTGAGTGTAATTTTCTTAATGCCTTCCCACCATAGTGTCACCTCAGCTAACTGCTTCTTCTCATAGAAATTCAGGACCTGACAATGATTACAGATCTGGGGAGAAACAGATGTTCAGAGACTGCTGCTCCAGGGTAGAGGACTGTAGTTACAGTCTGGGAGCTACAGTCTTAGATAGGAGGTCCAAGCCCACTTAGGTCAAAACCAACATTAAAAAACAATATGCAAATCCATAGTAGGGTCTGCATGATTCATAAAGCATTAATATGCCTTCTGACACTGAAGAAATGAGAAAGAAATGACACCCAAGTTTCAAGAAATGACACTGTCAAGAAACTTGCATCTGATTTTACACTAACTACAATTATCAAACAGACTGTAGAAGCAGCCCCTCTCAGGACTGTGTTCTTATCTTCAGATGACAAAGACAGAGGTAATAGGTGCAATGTCCATATCTGGCAGACATCAGTTTAAGCCTCCTGATGATCTATAAAAGAGAAACTGAAAAATACTTGCTGTGTAAACCGGCAGGCAGCATTCAGAAACATAACAAAAGGGGTGGAAGAAAACACCCTTAAAGAAAAGAGATCACAACAACACTAAGAAAAATACAACAGAAGCAAATGTGTCTGGAATTGTGTGTGATATTTATAAGCCTTATCAAATCTCTTCTGAACTCTGCCAATTTGATCTAGTGTGCTAAATTGTAGAGATGCAATGATCTTCACTCTGTGCAAAATTAACTATTGGTGTAGTTCTACTACAATCCACAGTATGATGATGCTAATATGCCAAAGTAGCAAGATATTCATGTTACTGAAGCTTTTTGTAAGAAATTACGTAAAACTGACTTTATGACCATTTACTGCGGAAGAAGCCTTGACATTCATGTGTTCAAATGAGACTTCAATTTAACTATTTAACTTGCAAAACATTTTGTGTGTCTGATGATGCGTGTTTCATTTTTCCTACTTGACAGGTTACAACATTCAAAAACATCGAGGGTATGTTGGAAAAAGTTCATTTGGTAGCAGAAGGTACGCTAATCTACCTGAGTGAGACCAGTGAGGTTTTTATCCGTGTTCGAAATGGATGGAGAAAATTGCAGGTACTATTGCACTACAACCTAATCTTTCCCAACTCCCTTACTGCAAGTGGAGTTGTTGCAGACATTTTTTACAGGGGTGGAGAAGTATGGGTGCAAAGATTCCTTTTTTTAGTTCAGAAGCTCCTGCTGATATGTTTTTGTTTGCTTTTCCTTTTGGGTTCTTTCAGCTTGGTGAGCTAATTCCTATCCCTGCTGACAGCCTTCCTCCTCCAGCCCTATCAAGCCATGTAAGTACAAAATATTGGACTGTGAAAAACTGAGTCTAAATGTGCAAAACCAGGTGATACACTTGGCAGAAGTTGCAGACAGATCTCTGCGCAACACGATTTTCCACTGAGACTTGTCAGTTCAAAATAAGCATCCTACCACTGCATAAGCTTGCAAATTAGTTCACACCAGCCAGTCATCTGTTTCCATTATCTTCTGAGACTCCAAACACTACAAAGCAGCATCTACAAAAAGCAGAACAAAGCAGGCTGCCTACAAACAAAACAGAAAAAGAAAAAAACAACTCAAACAAACAAACAAAAAACTAAATAAAACCCACAGTATTTCCTTTTGTAAAACTGAAGTCAGTCATGTTAAGAGCTAGCCTATTTCAAGGAAATTCAAGAAAGTGTTTCTGAAAAGCAGGTTTTCTTTAAAAGATTATAGGCCTGTATTCAGGGTACGTCATCATCACCTGCATGTATCATAGCCCACAGCGTGCTGAGGTCTGTTCTAAATCCTCGTTGTTAGTTTGTACCTGACCCCATTCCGCAAGTTATTGTACCAACCTGCATGTGAACATGCTGTCTGTCCCGAAAAGTCACAGGAGGATGAAAACCAAGAAATGGAGAAGGGGATAGAGAACAGTCTCGTTGATGACAGGTTAATTGATCTGATTGCTAAGGTAATGAAAGGGCATGAGAGCTCAAGGAGCAGTGAGAAGGAAGATGGCCGGAAAGAAATAAAGAAATGTTAGAGAAGGTCAGAGAGAAGTGCATTTAGCACACTGGGATAATGTCTAGACCTCATGTTATAAGAAATTGTTTGCAGTCTCCAGCTGACACCACACGAGTTTCCCAACTGGTACAGTCAGTGGCTTGTTACTCATACTTGCCATAACTAGAGAAGAAAATTTTGCTGTTCCTGAAACAGCTCTAAAGATCATCGACCTTCTAGTCTCTACATGCCAATTGTTCAGGAGAGGGAGTCACCGAGGCCTTGAGAAATATTCCCACCCACTACATTTTCTGTTTCCACATCCTCCTCGCCTTTTCCGTTTTAATTTGCCTGAACGAGTCTTCTGCTCCCGCCCAGAGCAGGCAGCTTCCATGCAGCACTCCCAGCGCGATCCGCCTCCGGCCCCGGCTCCAGCAGAGCACCGCGGGTGGGTACGCTCGGGGCTGGCAAAGCTGCTCTGGCATCACAGCTTTCAAACACACATTTATGGGACACACCAGACTGATGTTATGTAGCTAAAGTGTCCTGGCTACAAGGTTCAGGTTTATTTTTCAGAGGCAGGACAGTATCAGATTATCCAGTGTTCAACCTCTGTTTTATTTAGAAAATTATTGAGTGACTAACATTCTGATTTAACATGTTTAACATATCTGTTTGCATGTGTTGCAATAACAGGGATTTCAGTCTCTTCCGGCACTGAGTCCGATATCAAATATGAACAATGGGAAACCAGCAGTAAGTATGGGATCTGTATTGCAACTGCATACCTGTGGTTTGAAATATGACAGTTTGCATCTTGAGGGAAATTTGTGATATTCCCTCTTCAAATTCACAGATTTTACTTTAGAAATTTACAGAAACCCTTCTTTAACTTGTTTAGACATCTCAGAGACAATTTTAAATTCTGTCCTCCAGATCTATTTTCATCATCCCAGGCCCTTTCCTATCTCAAAGCAAAAAAAAAAAAAAAAAAAAAAAAAAAAAAATCCTGATTCTGAATTAGGAATATCTCTTCACTTACTGATTGTGCCTACAACACACAGTAATTTTTAAGTTAACAATAGTGTTACAATTAAATAATTGAAATATTCATTAGAATATTTTCTATCTTCATGGCACTGTTTGTTTTAGATAGACACCTTTAAATCTAAGCCTTCATTTATAATACTTTAAAATATTTAGACAAAGAAAGAAAGGTAACTGAGTTATAGCTAAAAAGAAATCAACCAAGATAAATAGGAAGGTAGATAGATAGATAGATAGATAGATAGATAGATAGATAGATAGATAGATAGATAGATAGATAGATAGATAGATTAGATAGATAGATAGATAGATAGATAGATAGATAGATAGATAGATAGATAGATAGATAGATAGATAGATAGATAGATAGATAGATAGATAGATAGATAGATAGATAGATGATAGATAGATAGATTGATAGATGATAGATAGATGGATGGATGGATGGATGGATGGATGGATAGATAGATAGATAGATAGATAGATAGATAGATAGATAGATAGATGGATAGATAGATAGATAGACAGATAGATAGGTAAAAGTGGATTAGTTCTTGCATCTGTAGTTTGATTTAAGCATGCTACTTCTTGTGGTTTATGACAGTGAATTTTTAAACAGTACATGGTCTCTTCTTACTACTTAGTTCCATGTTTGTAGGATTTGGGATTTTGTTTATGTGATAACTCCAAGACTTCTGCTTAAAAATATTAGCTGCTTTTTAAATAATTTTATTTATTAGGAGTATATAATCTTCATGGTTTCCTTAATGTTCAAAGATAAATAGGTATTTCTACTATGGGTCTCATAGGTTTAAGAAATGTAATGTTATCAAATAACTTTCATACCTGGTATGGAAGGTACTAGTTCATGTGCCAGTAGGAGGAGGGGGGGGCAGGTCTAGTTTGTTTCCAATATATGTCTTCCTAGTACTACAAACTTTAAAAAAAAAATTGTGGCTTTTCTTCTTTTTTTTTCTTCCAGCTGCATCTGGCGGCTCTAAACTTACCATTTTCTGGTGACATGCGAGCAGATTTTCAGTGTTTCCAACAAGCCCAACTAGCAGGCTTGACATCTACCTATAGAGCCTTCCTCTCATCACATTTGCAAGATTTGGCCACAGTTGTCAGAAAAACAGACCGATACAATTTACCAATAGTCAATCTTAAGGTAAAAATGAGCGCTTAGTACCTGTTATACTTGGATAGGCTGTAGGTGCTCCAGAATCTTGGAAAATGGAAAAAGCAGAAAGTTTCAACTCAAACTGCATTTTATAAAGAAGTAGCTTTGCTTCATATTTCAGAGTAAGGTTCAAGAAACAAAAAAGTAGTAATAAAGGGTTACAGACTGTCTCACATTTCCTTTGCATTTTCAAGGGTTGCTTTTTTTCAATATCCTAAGGCTCATAGTAGAAATAAAGCCATGAGAACAAGCTACTTCGGGCAGACAGCTGACAAAGCAACAGTATGATGTTCAGCTTTCTGGATACCTTTTATAACAGCAGAGAAAGTGCATCCTCATTTCTCAAAGATAGCTATTATGTTCTACTTTCTAGTATGATCACAGAGTATATGAGGCTAAAATACCTATTTTTCTCATTTCTAAAGATAAAGGCAAATTCGGTGCTTAGGAGCGATGCTGGATTTACCCCAATGAAACTGAGAGGAGAGTCTAGAGCATGAGTCATTTTGTGGTCTCACATAAACAGACACACTCTAAAACTGAGGAAAACAAACCATGTCTCTGTAGAACTGGCTGGCTCCCAGAGCAAACGGCCAAAAGAAACCTACAGGAATAGCACGTGATGCTTGGAACGTGCTGAGCAGATGCTACGCCGAAGTGTATGCAAATACGGAGCCTTGGAGACAAATTTGTAAAGACAAGGATGTTTCAACTTTGATGGAAAAACTCAAAAGCAGTTTGAGAGGTAGACCGATGCAAAGCTTTTGCCTTGAACATTGGCAACACTTTTCACAAAATTGTGACCTCGGCAAAAGGTCCAGTACAAATTATCTCTGTGTTTTCTCTGTGACTACAGTAGTTATAAGCAAATTTTCAAACAAACCTTTAGAGAGTTAGGAGAAAAGGACAGCGGAAATGGGGATGATCAAGCTGAATATTTGGAGTGACAATAGAACAGAGACACAACTGTGAGGCAAATGTGTGGATCAGAGAGCTATTAGCACAGAGAAGATAGATGAGACGAGTTTGTCCAGGAGCATCATGCAGAAACTGATGTGAAAGCTGGAATCATAAGTGTTCTTAAATGCAGATAAGAATTTAGATGTACAGATAAGTCTATAAAAGCCAGGTATGAGATGCGGTTTGGATTTGGTTTGTTTGTAAAAGTGGCTTTGAAATTTTAACAGGGAGAAATACTTTTCAATAACTGGGAATCTATATTTAATGGAAATGGTGGACAATTCAACATTCATGTTCCAATATATTCCTTTGATGGGAGGAACGTCATGACTGATCCATCTTGGTGAGTTTACATTACCATTTATAAGTTTTACATTACATTTATTTTTACCAGCTAGTACCAGTATCAGTATCTTGGGCTACAAGAAATGTGACAAAAATTTCTCCCTTTCCTTATGCCATCTTTCTTTTCAGTTTCTGATAGCCTGAGAATGGGAAATCACCTTGTGTTTTCCTTTTCTTCCTCTCCTTTCTGTCTTCATCTTTCCCTACGCGCTGTTTGCTTCAAGCAGAAGGAAAGCAAAAATACAGGTCACCACACATATAGGTGTGCAGTTGAATAAAGCAAAAAAGAGACTTTTTCAGGAAATAACTTCTCAACATTACCTTTCAGGCCTCAAAAAATAATATGGCACGGTTCAACTACAAATGGGATCCGACTGGTTAGCAGCTACTGTGAAGCCTGGCACACAGCTGATATGGGAGCTACAGGACAAGCATCACCACTGAAGACAGGGAAACTTCTTGATCAGAAAGTTTATAGCTGTAGTAATCAGTTCATTGTTCTCTGTATTGAAAACAGTTTTGTATCTGATCCCCAAGGAAAATAATTCACCTGTTGCACATAGGAATATTCCATTTTACGGCAGAAAAAGCTGACACTGAAATTTCATCTGAAATGATGTAAATATTTTATTTTTTGTAATTGCACATTTCAGGAAAAAAATTAGCCAAAGAAAACATACCTCAACACAAACCACATTCCAGTTAGGTGGAACAGCCAGTGCCCATGCGGCTGACTTAAAGCCCTTCCCTCCGCTTGAACCCCACACGGTTCAAAGTTTGCCAACAGCTAACGCACAGCCCCCTTGTCTTTCTGGCTGAGCTGAAGATCACTTACAGGGCACAAGTCGTGCGTGGGCTATGAGGAAGCCCCAGCTGCCTGCCTCATAAACCGTATGGCTCGGCACGGCGGCTGCTGCTTCACCGTTGAGAAGCTGCCCGCTCCATGCTCTCCTTTTCACCGGCCTAGATTTTGAATACCCAAGGCACTACTCATATATATGTATACAGACACACTGTCCCTGAGCAAATAACGGGAGACTTACATCTTACAGGGCTGGAATTTTCAAAAAGCTTTAAGAACCAAGGTGCTCCCCTCCTCTGGGTTTCAGTGGAAGCTGAGTACCTAGCTCCTGTAAGCTTGTACAGATCGCAGCCTGGTGCTTACACATAAGTTTAGCAGCTTCCACATCTTACTTCAGCTTTTTTCTTTGCAGATTCTAGGCGTAGGGCTTTATGCAGGAGGAGTGAATTTCACCTCGACAAAATCTGGTCCTTATTTTGGTGCTATCGTTACCAGGAAACCTGGAGCAATGTTAATAGAAAACATCCTGTTTTACTGGTAGAACTGTGCAAAGTAAATGCAGACAAATGAACCATCTGACCTTTATTTATTTCATTACGTATTAGAGGAAGTCATTTCCTGTTGTGGCAGACTGCTGAATGAAAGATGTCTGTCTTGATTTCTTTAAAATAGGTTCTAGACATTGTTATCCCACTAAGTTATATGTAAAGTGATTTTCCTTTTTGTGAATTTACCCTTCTCGCATTCACATAATTAAAGAATTGTTAATATAAATTAACATCAGCAACAATAGGAATTATCAGTAAGTGCTAACATTCTTTGCAAGCAGTATCACTATAATATCTGAAGTCTTTTGCCTATATACTTGCCTACTGCATACTTTGAACAACATATTTACTTATATTTTATCAGGCAGTAACTATGGAGGCCAAACTCCACATTATCATTTTTTATGATTTAATCTACAGTCTGTGCTCATTTGATGACAAATAGAGTATTAGATTACTAGATTGTGACCTTCAAAAGAGAAAAACAAACCACACTTACTCTACTAAACTCATACAATTATATAGCATAATATTGTGAAATCCAGCTTTCTTTTTCCAATTTACTATAAAAGCTTATTTCCCAGGGTCAGCTGCATCATATCTTCTTTTTTTTTTTTCTTTGAAAACTCATGACTCCATTATCACAAGATGGCAATGTGGCAAAACCAGTTTATATTATATTTAAAATGTATGTACAAGAATTCACTGCGCTCATTTATAGCCCATTTCCCTAAAATGCTGAGCGCTCTTGCGACATGTCAAATTCCTTCAGTTCACACAGTGGGAGGAGTTGCGTACGTACAGCAGAGTTTCACTCCGAGTCACATAAGGTTCGAGGGGGAAAATAAAATGCTTTTACGTGCTTCCAGCAGGAACTACCTCCCTGTAATCCTGTAACTGCTGGCAGACCCCCAGCTCGGCCGAGGCACGGCCGGCGGGGTTTACGCTCGCAGCCAGTCACCCCCCAGCCACCATCCCCAGCCCTCGCTCTTCCATGCAGCCGGGGGGCTGGCGATTTCTGTGCCTATAACTGCAGGGACACGAGGGGGGGGGAAGGTGGGATCACACGGAAGAGCTGTGTGGAGGGGATGGAGAGAAGACTGAAAAGCAGCACGCGGTTTGGGGGAGATACTGAACTAGCGTTTAAGTCAGGCCCGGCAAAAACGCCGCCGGAATTCTGTTTGTGCCCGTCCTCTCACAGGGCTAACCCCTCTCTGGATCCTGAATAGCTGCTAGAGCTTAGCAGGGAACTGAATTGGTTAAGCATCATCAGCGAGATGTTACAGGACTCTCCGTGGTTGCTTCCCACCTCTAACGTTAATCTGCAGGCTGCAGGAATTTATTGCACAGCCTTCAACTTAGTACAGAGCATGAACCGTGCGTGGTCTGGGCTGCAGTGGTGCGAAGGGCACACGCCGGCAAGGGATACACCTTACCAGAGAACAGCACGACAGATCTGTTAGAAAGATGAGGGTTTCCTTGGAAAGAACACTTTTTGTCATTTTAACCAGAGCCAGTGAGGCCCTTTATACTCCCTAGTATAACTGAAGAGAAACAGTAAGATTCATCGAGGACATGACAGAAAAAAATAGCCCGGTACTTAAAAATAAATTAGCTTTCCCTATAAAAGCAGAATACTTCTTTTCAGCATGATTCCAATCCATAGGCCATGTGCACTCAAGGAAGGACATTTGCTAATTCAGGTAAGGAACTGTGTATAAAGCAAATGAATCACTAAAACGAGCACCAGAGCAAGGTTGAAAAGCATAACTGCACTTAGAAACCTATGTAGCAGTCTGCATGAATGAAATCAGAGTATGAGGAAAATAATAGCCTTCTGTCTTTAAGAGGAAGGCTCTGGCTGAAAGAATCCATTTGTTTTGAAGCTTTGATGCACTTTAAAATGAAGAAGTTAATGCACTGTAAATACAGAGGAGATTAAAATCTTATAAACCATCAGAACTCCCAGGCTGGTTGATGAATAAAATACAGCAGATTCATTTCAGCTATTGGAATGAGTATTTCCAGAAATCAAGCTCATAGCTTTGTCTTTATACGAATTATAGGCACAAGCTATAACAACAGAAGTTTCCTTTAAATCAAGAAGAATCCACAGTGGGGTTTGCTCTTCTGCAGAAGAACCAGTTCCCCATTAAAAATAATTACAATTAAATTTTAATTAACTGGTGCTTAACCTGAAAGAAAAAAAGTAAAAAAAAAAAAAAAAAAAAAAAAAAGTAAGGTCTAGGAAAAGTTAATATCCATTTGAAAAAGGAATATTGAATTGTTACTGGAAAGATTCATTTTTTTATCACAGATACTTTGGGGATGGTGCAAAATGCAGGAATATATAGTTGAAAGCTTACTACAGAGTCGTTCTAAGTGAAAAGAATTTTTTGTTATGAACATGAATTGGAACGATTTAAAAATTGACTTTGAATATATCATTCCAGATTAGACTTTGTTAGACTCACACAACAGTTTTCAGCAGAAACATCACTTTTTACTGCAACCTTTTACTGGTTTGTATTAAATTTGACAACTATCTTCAGTCCAAAGAAAGCAACAGGAGACATTATCTGTGTCATTTTCAAAAGACATGCTTTAAGTTGAAACATTTTTCTTCTAATTTACTTGCTCTTCAATAATCAAAAGGAATTAAGACTCTTCAGTAATAAATGAAAACAAATTTTCATTGTATGTCTTACTTCCCCAAGGACCATTCTTCTTAAAAAGTACTAATTCTGAAGCAGATCCCCTCCAAAAATAAAAAAAAAAAACCAACCACTTGTTAACATCATCACTTTATGCAGCCAGAATATAACTCATGCCAGCAGAGTAAATGTGTGCTTACAAATTGATAACTCTTTAGTGTTTTGAAATCAGTTCAACACAATCAATCTGTCTGAACTGACTGACCACATCTAAAGTACCATGTGGTGCAATGGTTTTTAAAATCACCTTTTACTCAAAATAGTAAGAGTTGGGTTTATTTTTTTTTTTTCTTCTGAGTTTATAGCACATTCTTCCAAATCGTTTAAAAGTTGTTGTGGGAGAATATAATTTTTAACCTGACTAGGAGAATGGGGGGAAGTCACACTGGGAGAAAGGGCAGGTGTGTGCATGCATGCACATATAAATGCAGGCATACTCATCCTCAAATAACTTTTTTCATCCTTGCCATCTCATACCCCATGGCTGAGTTAGTCTTCAGCTGCCTGATCAGCTGCTTTGACCTCATGCAAAGCAGGTAAATGTTATATTAGGATGGAGGAACTTCTGACAGCTTACAAATCCGAGCCCAACAAAAATGTGGCTTCGCCTCAACTCACTTTCCTATGGTTCTATTTCTCATGATAGCAAATATTCCCCCACAGGGTCATGTTTGTACCGAACTGTGAATATTAAGCAGCAGGTGGCAGACACCCCGCCACCCTGTTCCTGCCCACTGATTTCCTTGGCAGTAGGTAATCACCAGGTCTTTTGCCCTTTTTAGCTCAGAGCTGTTTTCTCTGGGCAGTCGCAAGGCATGACACGTTACCACTGGTCAGCAGTGTGTTGCTCTGCCTGGGTGAACTACAGTGAGGTGAGCCGTTTCTCCTCTGATGGCTGTTATCAGCAAGGCAAACCTGTGACTTTCTGCAGTGCAGCATATACGCCTCAAAGGACTGACAATCAACAAAACTACTCCTGGTGTAGTCAAAGAATGTCCTGCCCTGCTTCTGAGCCGTGCATTCAGGTGAGAGGAAAAATAATGAGCTGCCACGCGTCCTGCTTCAAAGACTCCACAGTTGCTATTCTTTTACACTGAGGCTTAGGAGTTCCTTCTGAAGTAACACTTGCAATTCTTGGTTTTGCTACAGTCCTCTGCCTGGAGAAGAGAACCTGCCTTCTAGGTTTTAAATGAATTAGACAATAGAACTGCAATTTCACTTTGGTGTTCAAGTATTGGAGCTAAAGGGACGCATTCATCTTAAAAAACATCTGATCGGGGTTTGTTGGTCTGGTGCGTAGTTAGAGCCCACGCTCTAACAGTTCCTCCCTGCTGCCTCTCCTTAATGCTTCAACAATAACTGGCCAGAGACAGAAATATTTCCAGATGAGCATCTACTTAAGTACTTTGCTACCATAATCTGAACCTAGCCTCTCTTTTTTTAACCTGTCGGAAGGCTGATATTTCTTGTGTCTTAAAAGGCCTGTTTTGCATCTCAGTGTAACTTCCACTGTTACCAGTTGATCTAAAATTTTTACTTACCAGATTCTCTCCCACTGTATCCATGATCCAAAAAAACCCGTGTTCTACTGCTAAATAGTGGACATGTATACACAACCTAATCTGGAGGTGCACCCACCGTGGACGGCTCAGCTCTAGCAGTATTGGGCTTTGCCTGGGGGGGAAAGAGAACAAGTCAGAACACATCTTCATCCCGGATGGGCAGGAGAGAGAAATGGAATGGGGGTTTTTTTCCATTTGTCCTCTCCTCCACCTCGTGATTGACCTCCTCCTTCACTTGTCCTTCCCCAACCTTTTTTATTTAAAGCTTGTGTTGCTCCTCCACGGAAAAGCTGGACACTGTTCAGAGCTGCACATAAAAGTTCCACCTTTCACATGGATCTTCTGCACACTGTTTCCCACAGCACCCAGATAAGCACTGAAGGCCAACTTCCACTTGCGTGTGCTTTGCTGGGAGCACTGGATAGGCTGGTAAGATGGTAGGGAGTCCAGAGACATCCCTTTGGAACCAGCAAGAAACTACAACTCTTCCTTCCCTTAGAAAGCAGCTAGCCTCCCTGCGTGCTCCTGCAAAGTGCGATACTGTAGCTCTTCCCAGCTCAGCGCACAGCCAGCACAGGCGGTGGGAACTTCTACATGTGAAGTCAATTCAGCATCACACCCTGGTGTTGATCAGGGGTAACATTATAAACTGCTTTCCTCAGCTGGTCTCAGGGGTACCAGAGATGCTTCAGCGGAAAAGGGGTTGACATCACTACTTTGCAAAGTTTCTCTATCATTATAGCAAAGCCATTCTTAAACCACAGTCCTAACTCAGCCATTTTTTGTTCTTGATCTCAAACATCCAGGATTCAGAAGTAACCCTTATCACAAAGATATGTCAGTCTTGACATCATACAGAAGTCAAGGTCTTTCAAACATATCCTGAGACTGCTTGCTTCCATTGTTGGGATAACCAAAGCCAGAACCACTGTACAGAAGCTAACTGGCTAGTGGGTTGTAAGATTACGCTAAAATTTGCTATGGCAGAGCTGATCAGTGTAATTAAAACATACACTGCTGACAAAGCTTGAGCACTGGGAGACTTATTTACAAGTGTTTTCATCCTTCAGGCTGCAGAATGCTTTTTTCATCCAACTAAAGCTTACAGAAATTCAAATGAGAAGACATAAGACTGCTGTTTGTGCGAAGGGTTCAGATCCAGCCAAAGCTGATGCCAGATTAATACTCGTGAATTAGAAACGGACATACAGACTGTTACTCAAAAGTTTTTTTAAAAAAATACTTATTAATAGCCAGATTTCACTGAGATCCATAGATTAAAAGTGCATTCACTATCTCTCTCCCTGCCTTCCTGTAGTTTGATATGTCTTAGAATGGTAGAATAATTTAGATTGGAAGTAATGTCAGAAGATCATCTAATCCAACTCCGGGCTCAAAGCACAGCTAAGATAACTTTGAAGTTAGATCTTCTCAAACTGCAGGTGGAGGAACTGAAGGTGCCTCGGTGTGCTCCGATGTCTATGCCTCCATTTTAAGAAGGGAAGTAGCTGCTATCTGTGCACGTACCACGATACTTTTCTGTTAGGGCAGGAAAGTATCTAGTTGGTGAACAGAGGTAATTGTCACCAAAGTCAGAATAGAGTTGTGGCCTGGGCCTCTCAAAATATATCTCCTGAAGAAAGGCCTCTGTTTTTACAGAGAAAATGTTGGGGGAGAGAAGCAAGATAAGTTAGTTGTATCTAACTCAGTCACCTCCTAATGTCCACATTTTTTTCCTGGAAAAGAGTAGAGTCAACCTTCTCAACCTGGCTACTGATGTATCAGAGGACAGTGCAAGCCTTAGGCACACACTAGCAAAGTCCAGTTCCAAATCAAGTGCCACATAGTGACAGATAATAAGCTACTCGTTCTGTCAAAGTCACTGAATCACAGTATCTTTCTTACAAAAACCCAGCTGCTCATCACCAGAAGAAAAGGTCAGGAATACTGATGAATACCTGGAGGAGGGATCAAAATAGCCACTTGCAGCTGTACCCTCTTTTACTGGTACACTCAGTAGGACATAAGGTAGGAAGGGAGAAGGGTAAAATGAGTCAAAAGGATTGGGAGGAGGAATCATAAAGCACTGAAGTTGTGGTGAATGCTATGATTGAGAAGTTAGAAGAAAATAGCAAATTATCAGCTCTGTGTAGGATGTATGAAAGCAACTCTGAAGGCGGTAAACAAGTCAGTCTACAGGTTGGAGCTAAAAAAGGGACAGTGAACTCAGAGGAGGTGTTTGTGAAGAGCAACCTAGTTAAATCTAATAGATGTCAAACACAGTGACGAAAAGGATTTCTATATCCATGTCCAAAACTCATGAATCTCTAGCTTCCTCTCAGCCCCTGGTAAATAACCATAGGCAGATATGCTTCCATTGACATTTGGGGCAATTAAAGACCAAGAATCTCTTTCTGTAGCTCGTGAATAAGAATCCACAGACACTGAAATAGTTCCAATAGGAAGGACTCAGAACAGTACTCCAAATATCCTTAGTCTTGCAATTAAGTTCTGTGAGCACAAATTCCTTGGGCATGAAACCTGTATCTCCCACTAGGATAATGGGTTAAAAGGTAACAGCTTCCAGGTAGTCTTTTTCAGAAAATCTCTGATTCTTAATAGAAACTTAACTTTGTGGAAAGAGTGACGAAGTTTAGGCAACCCTTGGTGCCTTGCTCCC